TAGAGTACATCCTCCAGCTCTTTGTTTTTGTAACAGTGGTCACTGGTCAGTTGACTTGCCAACGGGGTTCGTGGCCGCCGTCGCGGTTGAGAAGGGTTATGTACTTTATTAAAATACCTGCGCAGAAGAAAACCAGGTCACGTTGCCTCGAGACAGCAGGGAAGGGCTTGTCTCAGTACGTAACAGAAAAAAGGAAGTAGAGTACCTGCCTGGAATAATTTCTGCCCCCACTTTAGGTACGCTACGAGTCTACAAGTCCCCGCTTGTTATTACTGCTGCCTGAGACTGGGCTGGCCGAGACGACGGGGAACACATTTAAGCAACCCTTGTTTTTCGTTATCATATCATCTTTAATAGCCATATACACTGAATATGCGCCCCCGTTATAGAAACAAGAACCAAGAAGAGATATGTAGAGAGAACAGCTAACTACTCCAACCCATGCATGTCCCTTATTCGAAGAAAGCAAGAAAAAGACGGAAATAATAAAAACGGAAATAATGAAAACGGAAATAATGAAAACGGAAATAAAAACACAAATTCCTCTGTAAAGGTGAAAAAAATCAAGACGCCGCCATAATATTCGTACACCGGTCAAAAGAAAGGGGGGGAAAGAAGAAATAAAAAAAAATAGGAAGTAGAGAAGAGAAAAGTAATTCAAAACCGCCCCGTACCCTTCCCGCAGTGACCTGACTAGTAGAATATAAGAAAAAAACATTTCAAAAGAAATTTAACAGAATAGGTTTGAATCAAAAATAAGTCTGCCACACTAAAAATTTCTCGGTTGAGAATCGCCCGCTGCTTGCTCCTAGTATGCGGTACCCTTGAAGAAAAGAAGTGTAAAAGACAAAACGCCATAGAAGCACAAACCACATCTTTCCGAGAGCCTCCGGAAAGTGAAAACGGTACCAGCTCGAAAGAGTGTTGCTTGAAATGAAACCCAGACCCTTGAAAACAAACACAATAGAAAGAATGAAAGGAAGACGAAAGGAGAAAATAAGAATAAACTTGTGGTCGACAGCTTATAGCCAACTACTCGCTCACAATCTCTGAATATTTATGAGAGGTAAACGTAAGGATAAAAGTAATAATCTCGACTCTGGGGATTATTTCGGAGACATCCCCATCCCCAAACCCATGACCGGAGACATGGAGGGTAGATGCGGAGAGCCGTGGTTGGAGTGGATGGACTGAATTCCAGAAGATCGTTTTGACATAATCATTGCAGACTTCTTCTTCAAACAACCAAGTCTGACACGAATGCCTTCCATGTCTACAAAGAGTTAGAACTGGCTTATAGTAAACTAAGGAAAGAAAATACTCACACTTTTCCACGATTCGCCTATCCTCCTCCTCCATCTGCCCGCCATCCGCCTCATTCTCACTGGAATCTCTTTCCAAAACAGCTTCCAGCATCCGAATTGAAGTGACATAAGCCACCTCACACCCGTTGAGATCCTCTCCGATCAATTCATTGACAGCTGCCGCATTGCTCATCTCGAGAGCGCGGTCATACATCAATTTCTCAGCAGTCACTCCAGGAGTAACTGCTACATTCTCGGTACCCGCACCCATGTCATCGTTATCTGGGTTGTTTCTTGGGTGACTTGGATGACTTCTCGGTAACTCCTTCTGTGCGTTCATCAATTTGATACGAACAAACTCAGCCTTTTCCAAAACTTCGTTGAATCGCTCTCGAACCCATTGAACAACATTGTTGATTCGAGCGCTAGCCATTTGAGCAGCTGGGCTCATCGATCCAGGTCGTGAGTTTGATGTAGACCACCAATTGCTTGCAAATTCCATAGCCTTTGACAGCAATCCAAGTGCCTTCACGTACAAGACCAATGCCTCTTCGGCGAGTTGGACAACTGCATCTGGAGTTAGATGCATGTCGCTGCTTCCCGGAGACGATTCACCTCCAAACACTAAATCTCCAGCACTTCCCGATGAAGGTAGCAATCCAAGTCCACGAGGTGCCGAAGGAGCCGATGGCACCAACTGTGCCCATTTAACTTCTGCAAAGTTGTATACAACATCACTCCTACTCGCAGCATCTTCAATAGTTTGAATAGCCATCATATCATCTTCCGCGAGACCACCAGCATTGCTGAGCATAACCATACTTCCGGGGTTGGGTTGCGGTGGATATCCTGATTGCATGTTTGGCGGGCTCTGACTTGGTGGCGAAACACTGACGCCAAAAAGACGGGCGTTGGCGATTTCTAATGCCTTTGCTAGTGTTGACCTCCCCGGCGAAGATCCATAGCGCCGATCATAGGACCCCTTGGAGTGAGATTGAACTTCAGGGCGTCGATTGGTCACCGCAATAGCTCTCGAGGGGATTCTACGTGACAGAGCGCTTGATGAGGGTGATGGTGTAGTTCGACCAGCTCCCCTGGTTGCAATCTCATCGGCAAAAGAGTTAACCTGTACATATTGTTTGTCGATGAAAACGTAGTCCTCCTTCTCTCCATGCTCTTCTTCAACTGGTCGCATATCTCTACCACTTGGGGAGCGCTGAGAGTGCCTGTCTCTTGCTGGTTCTCCTCGCTCAATTCGTTCAACTCGTTCACCTCTTTGCACCAATAGTGAGCTACCAGGTGATGGATCTGTGCCTCTGCTGTGAACCCTCTCCATAGGTACAGCACCGGTATCTCTACCTGAATTCCACCCTTGCCTAGCTGGTGCAGTTGCATGATTCGTAAGCGAGGGGCGAGACTGTGGTCGTTCAAAAGCTGGTGATGATGGTCCAGCGGAAGGAACTTGAGTAGTGAGCCTTCGCTCAACCAACCGTGGTGAGGCCCCGGATGGGCTAAGGGTTGCAAAAGGCAAGGCGGATGACTCTACAGCTGTCCTAGCCCTTGGAGACGGTGGAATGTAGTGATGATCCGGCGCACTTCTTCCTGTTCCTTCTCGGTCGGCTCCAAGTGCCCTCTCGTCACGCGGTGTTCGCAGTGACGGGCTTCTCCTCATTGGCATTGCTTCGGTTCTGATAGCAGCCAAGCTACTTCTGGGTCTTACTACCACCTCTGATACTAAGGGTGCTGGTGCATTTACAGCAGCACCAGGGATTTCACCTCGAACCACAGGGTGATCAAAAAACTCTTGAAATGACATCCTCTCAAGTGGGTTCCTCTTCAATAAACTGCGTACCAACCCTCGAATATCATCACTTGCAATACATTCTCTAGGGAAATCGATTTTATCATTTCGAGCCTCGATCTTCCTGAGCAAATCGACGTGGTTGGGGGCACGGAAAGGCGGTCTTCCCGCGATCATTTCATAAAGAACTGTTCCGACAGACCAAAGATCCGCAGTGGCGTCGTACTTCTCGTATCGGAGGATTTCTGGTGCCATATAGAGTGGAGATCCGCAAAGAGTTTCTGCCATGGAAGTGGCAGGCAGAACTCTCGCGAATCCAAAATCCGCGAGCTTCAAGATGGGTAATGATGGGAGACCAACAAGAGCACGCGATCCTTCCAAGGGAAAAGGGTTTTCGGGGACATGTCCGTCCCAGCCTGGTGGTGGATCTAATAAGAGATTCTGGGGTTTCACGTCCCGATGAACCAGACCATCCTTCCTCAAGTACTCGAGCGCGCTCGCCAGTTGCTTTAAGAAATGTCTTACAACAACCTCGTGGAGTCCGCTTCCCGGGACGGGCGGATAATCATGCATTAGGCCTTCTAAGCAGGGGTGTATGAGATCTAAACGCTCTCTCTTCTTGATGATATGCGAAAGATCACCAACAGAGCAATATTCCATGATGAGATGGATGTACTTGTCAGTTTTCTTGCAGTCTGTGAGAGCTACAATGTGGGGATGGTTTAGCTTCTTGAGAATTTGAATTTCTGATTCAAGATTCTCGAGGAGCTTTCGATTGAGCTTGGCTCTCTGAACGACTTTGATAGCGGCGATAGACTTATTTTTCTGTGTATCAGAAAGCAAACATTAGCCGTGTGAACCAATCATATAAATGCATCGTGAAAAAGCACGAGTTTTAAACGGGTCCAAAGCGAGCGGAGCCGCAAAGTTTATTTTCGAATGAGAGTTTCACGAATAGGATGAGGATGGCCAGCGAAGCACTACCATCGAGGGTAGCGACAGCTCTTCACCATCGTCAAGGTGCATTGCAGGGTATCGAGAAGAGCACCAAAAAAGTAAAACAGAAAACACCAAGAAAACATACCGTATTGTGTCCCTTAAACACAACTGCGAATGATCCTCTACCAATTTCTGCACCTATTCTGTAATTTCCAACTTGTGTGTTCTCCGCTGGTCCTCCTCCAGCAGATGATCGAGAAGCCATGGCTACAAAAAGCTCGGGGCTGGTGTTTCGAGCCTAGATTCGAGACGATGTTTGAAGGGAGAGAGTAAATATTTCCAAAGCTGCTACCGGGCTAGCGATGCTGTGGCAAATGTTGAAATGGTGGTGTTGCCTTTATGTGTCATACATACGACGGTCGAGCGACAGTCCTATCAAGTGTATGGGGGGAGACTATGCTAGCTAACAGTAGAAGACGCGCGAGCCAAAAGATGTTGTTCTAAACAGAAATGCCCTGGGTAAGTGAATGGATAGACACAATATGGTCTAACGAGTAGAGTGTGTATTGAGAAGAAGGGTGTGTTGAACGAGAAACCCTGTGAGCGATGGGAACAAGAGAACGAGAGCTAGCTAGCTCAGGACGATATGTATGTATTGATAACCGAGACGGTTCGAAGGCGGTATTGTGCGAGTGAATGAGATAATAGATGTGAGGAGATGTAGATGGAAAGAAAAAGAATATGTAAGTTTAAGTGAAGGAGGTGGTGGTGGAAGAGGAGACAATACTTTCGAAGGGGAGGGGGGGGGGAGGCAGCGGACAAAAGGTGTGAGGAGAGGAGAGGAGGAGTTGAGAGAGGTGAATCACTAAAGGACGATAGTGAACGAGTAGATAGATAGGGAAGCCGCCAAGGTCCACCCGCGAAGGCAACACACTCTAGATAGGCCTCCCCACAAAATGTCCGCCCTTGGGGTCAGGCCTCTCTGCTGTCTATGTATCTACAAGTAGCTCTATCCAACTGTTACGTGTGCTTCTTGTGGGAGAGGACCTGGCTGAAATGTATCTAGAGCACCGTACACTGCCACTACATAAACATACAGATAGCTACAGCTGTATTGGATGGCTGCACAGGACGGTTTTGTATCTGGCAGTCATAGAGTCATAGGTAACCCACTCAGAGATAAAAGAAACCCCAAGACCACTACTAACGGTCCCAAGACCTTCTTCTCCAACGACAATATCCGGCGCCCACACATAAACAAGCAGAGTACGAAAGAGAGAGAGACTGTGCCCTTCTCTCTCCCAAATCCTGCCACCACTTGCTGCTACCAGACCAGACCAGACCTACCTAGTCGGAGATTCCCAGATGGTGAGCGTCAACTGGCATATTGCGTCGCAGCTTAACAAACTAGCCGCGTCAGGTATGGTCCAAACGAGTATTCCCCTCTCCGGAAAAGCCAGTGTCTTAGGGAAAGCAGGGTAATTCACCTGCTTCAATCACGTAGTTGGACGCCATCCGTATCCATATCCACACCCCGTGTGTGATGAAGAGATATCCGTTCTGTGAAGGCTGTAGGCTGTAGCTACCAGAAATATGGACATGTACAAGCTATCTGTTTCGACTCTCGATTGAGCGGTGGTACATGGTTTGTACATTGCAGTAGCATCATGCTGCTGTCGGTGTGCATCCAGGGTGCGTCGGTACTTCCTGGGGTCTAAAGATAACCTCGATAAGAGCCGCCGCCCCCCATCACATCACTGACCAGCAAAAGAGTGCCATCCAATCCATCCCTCGCAAAAATTCCAAGAACCGTATGCCCTAAGAGTCCTACATTCTGCAAGTCCCTCAAGCGAGACTGAAACCCGAGTCCTGAGGATCCTTCCACGTTCGGCTTATTCCTGCAGGTTCCTCGCTACATGCGGGCCTGTTTCAGACACAAAAAATCATAGTTACAATGTCATGTAGCCCAGGTCCTAGGAGCGAGATTTACGTTTGCTCGAAGGCGGAGGAGGCAGAAAGGGCAATTCATCACCCCTAGCATAGTGAACGCATCAGGGCCTCTATGATTGGCCAGTGTGACTTGAGGTAAGTACATACCTCAAAAAACGTGGGATCAACTATGGTCTTGTGCTCTTTCTGTGGGGAGAACAAACGAAAAAAGTAAAAGAATCCATAGCCCGTTATCCGAAAGTTTAAGCCTAACTATCCTGGAGAGTTTAAAACGTCCAAATTTCGCTCAGTCTCACACATCATTTATCAGATCATCTAATCTTCAATGTTACTTCTACCCCCCCCCCCCCTTTGGGACAACTGCACTCTCCTCTCCGGAAACTTATGATGTGCTTTTTGCTTGTCTGGGCTTCCCCGGGCTTCTTGCTTCCGCGGCGATAACCATGACATTGGTTTGACTGATGATGACATTTACCTCCCCATATCGTAAACAACACTTGGCCGCTTAAGTTCGTCAAATTAGACATTCGGAGAAGGCTTCCTCAAAGAATAATAATAATAAAAACATTCATAGGTATCCATGATCCATCCCTCTCTCCCCCGCAAATTGCACAAGATTACTCACGCTTCCAACACACTTGCAGTACTATGTGCTTTTGTATTATGATTCACAGCATGTTACCAGCGATCTATGAGCACCCCCTTGGAGATATCGAGGCGCCCACGGCCAGTGGAATAAATACTTACCTGTAGGTACGTCGTAAATGTGATCGATCCACTGCCCGCTGCTACCTAACTAACAACAGCAATGCCACAATTATTATTGACCACGGCAGAGGCCCCAGTCAGGTAGGTTAGCTAGTCATTTTTTTTTGTCTCCTCAATTAACGAGGATACACGATTAGCCCGTTGGAGGTGACTACTACCTGAAGCAACCACCGATACATGGTTTCTAGGCTAGGGGAGATCAGACGGCCAACCACTTCTTATGATATGCGGTCCTGTGAGCAGGAGCAGAAACAGCTGTCTTCGACTTACCGGTACTGACTGAGCTTGATTTGGACCGCGCCGCGGGTGCCCAGTGAATAAACCCATCAGTCAATTGCGATTGAGACTACATCAACAGCCGTCCCGTGCTTCTTTCTCACAAAGCTCAAAGCGAACCAAACGGATTGCCGTATGGAGCTCAGTTTTACATGTCACCATCGACAACAAGCGGCGAAAGTGTCGATAAAATCAACATCGAATCACATCCTCCACTTTGAGCTGCATCTCTAGGCCGTGTATGCTCCGCATGGAGCTAGTAGTCCCATCATCCCCACTGTGTTTCAGGATGTCCTAAACTCCCAAGTAAAACTAATAACGGATTCCGATGAGGCGTTATTCACGCGGGGAACGGGTGTTTGCAGAAACCAAGGAAACTAAGCAATAATCATGTGAAACTAAGTTTCTATCGGTTTGGTATTACATTTCTAGCGATTAAAACGATTAAAACGTCGGCACTGTTGTCCAAGATAGTTATAGTCCGGGTTTATCTGGAATTCCCGAGAACTCGGTAAATCGGTTCGGCCGGTCGGCCCTTGAGCTATAACTCGGATGAATAAGGCACAATCCTTGGTGGAATCAAACGGATGAGGAAGCAGGGAGTCCTTCAAAAAAGCGTTCCAGAAGCAGTCGGTTGGAAGAATAATAAATATTAAATTGCGTCTTGAATGTAACCGCGGGCCGAATCACGATCCTGATATCAGCTGGCGATTGTTGCCTGCATGAGAAGTCCAAGCTTTGTTCCTTTATCTGCCCGTATCCTCGTCCCTTATCTCTAACAGCCGAATGAGGGTTCAACTGTTCAACGTCAGCGCCAAAAATATCTCGGATACTGCTTCTCCTGCTCACAACCTTACAATACTTGCTCTCTTCTGGCAGAGACATGCCTTCACTCCGTACCACGACCTCGGATCTTGATATCTACTCTAGCAATTCCTAATATATGACTTGAGGCGCGCCCACCCCTTTCTTTTTAAAAGTTCATTTCTTACTGAGAGAACTCCGAAAGCACCCGTTTCGGAAAGAGGGCGGACCAGATAACCAATCTGTGCTCGCCCATATGCCCCGTCGTCCGTCCCTCGGATACTCGCATTGAGTAAAGGCGCGCGACGCTGTTAACAGCCTACTTTAAATCATGATATCGGGTGCGTACATTTGTGGACGTATGGTACCTATCATCTGAAAGAAATCGTATCTCCTGAAGGGTGGTTCATATCGTTTATCTACTGGTCATCTCCTGGGGAAAGCAGTCGCTTCGGTGATCGCGAATCTCATCTTGATAAATAACCTTCCACTCGGTGTCAATTTCAAAATACATACCTACATGCGCCAGTTGCCTCCCGAGAACTGTTCGGTTGGTCACTTGGTGGGAGATTCGCCCAATTCTATCCTGCCTGCAAGCCGCCTATTCTGTTTTCAATATTAGAGTCATAATATTACATGTAGTGACTTTTTTTTTTTTTTGACTTCCCTTTGTTCGGCGCTCACACATATATCAATTCACGAATATCATTGTGAATTCTCACAAAGAGCACCGCGGCCAACGGTCCTTTGTTATCCATCTTGATTTCCTATCTACTATCCAAACATTGGAATTCCATTCCAGACTGCGAGTCTGCGACGCAATGATAACCTTTGCAGAAACAAGGGCAAGGGTTATCATTCCTCGTAAATTGGTTTGCCCTGCATATCCTCAAACACTAGGTTAAAAAGCCTAACCTGAGTATGAGGCACGCGAACACTTTTGTATGTGAATCGAAAATCCAGCGCAGAAATCTAGAAGGTCCTTATCCTGGGACTGCAGACGACTCTATGCGCCCGCATAGCATCTACTCTATTCTGAGTACTCTACATATACGTGGCCATATCTGCGGCCATGCATGGGAGGGTGTGGCTGGATTCATTGAGAGCCACATAGACGGTCCGGTCATAGATAAGGAACCCCATTAATTGCATATACATGACATGTCTGAAGAGTGGGGTAAGGCTAGGGGAAACGAAACATTCTTACAATCTGGGGTGAAGTATACTGCGATGAGGGGGAGATGTCACGTATGTAGGTTATTCAGGCTCTTTTGGGGATCCACGTCGAGTGATTGTTTATGAAAAAACAAGCGCAGTCGATCACTGATAGGATATTCTACCGACCCCACTGGACTCGACCGTGAGACTGAGCCATACCCGGGAATACATGAGATGAACCCTCTCTATCTATCTACTCGACGATCTAATACTGGTACCCCACTAGAGTCCTATTGTTTGCTGCAGAATGGTGAAGTGGCAGTAGTAGTCAGTCGTCAGTCTAGTTCAGTCATCCCCACCACCAACATCATGGGATTGGGTACAACCACTGTACTACCGGATGATTAGTTAATCCGGAATACTAGTAAAGGCAACTCTACAGTCTCTCTTTGGTTCAATTGCGAAGTCTGCTGCTCTACTCAACCCATTAACTACCCACGCGCCGAGAGATATGCAGAAGCTCATTACACCATTGATCAACCAGAGTACCCCAAGCGACAAAAGATTCGACCGGGTATGGTATGGTCTTTGCGTTGCGCACCATGCGGGTGGGTCAGACGTCTACTCTACTCCACCACCCACTGCATAACTTCTCCGCAAAAAAATAACATTCCACTGAATTATTCATGAAGATCTGACCGGCGAAACACATAGAGGTGAAACGATATTATAGCCGGGGTTCTACGTTTTCTTGCTAGGGTGGTGATTCTTCCGAGCACCTGCGAGTGTCATGAAACCCGCACCCGACGACGTCACTGGAAAGCACAGTCCGCTCACTCACTCTCCTCTCCCTCCCGGAAGAGAGGAGGGGGCGCGAAGGAATCATAGCCTGAATAATCATATACGTTTCTTGCACTTTTCGCGCGGATCGCAGAGCGGGCCTGCATAGGGCAGTTTCTTTCAAGGGACGGGGTAACTGCGGAGTGGTTTATATGTGAGTATTCCGCCTAAGAATAAAATGAGGCGGGCGGAGATGTTACGATTATGTGGTTTGACGGTTTGTAGTCATGAGCTGTCACTCGGTAACGGGTCTTCCCGGTGGGTATTTGGTTTCTAAGAAGCCAGTAGAGGTCCTTTGCCTATAAGCAACGGGTGAAGCGGTCGACGGGAATTTGGAGTACATCATGTGGGATATCGCTGGCTTTGAATTGATCCGTTACTGGGCTCCGGAGGAATTGGTGCCATGTAAAGTTAGAGCTAGCTCTAAAGGAAAGAGGTTCAAGGCGGAAACCAAGGCGGAAACCTGATACATATCTAGAGTTGGATAGAAGCCCTGGGATAGGGTAGAGAGCCATCTCTCCATAGGTCGGGCGTCCAATGAGCTGACTCGAGCTATATTTACACCAGTACGTGTAGGCCAGCGAAGCTCGGTATTTTACTATGATTTGGACTGAGTCGGCCGATGAAGGTACATACAAACATATACATTTTGACTGGGCTAGACTCTGTGAGACACGTGCACTGTTTCGGTGAATCAAACTTTTAAGCTTTGTTAGACAGCGCCCGATCCTGGAAAATTAATCTCTCTGGGCCCGCCGCGCACTCCGCACCTGTCAACAACAGTCTGGTCCGGCCGGAGGGAGTACACCGACATATTACTGTCTAGACTAGATCAAAATTACGGGCATTGCGGTAACCTGGAAATAGGGATGAACTAATATGCACATCAAAATTGTCGCAAAAGTCTCCTGTGCGCTAGTAGCTGCAGTTTGGGATTTTCACGTAGTTTCAATAGCTGTATCTATAGCTCTTCCCGACCCTCCGCACTGCTCGCGAGACGCAACTCTCTTTGCTCGGGAGCAGCTATTTCTGATGCGCTTGCCGCGGCCATCATCGCATGGCCCGCCGGAGTATGGATGCGGCAGTGCGGCGGCAGCTAGTGTTTGGGCTGGCCTAAAGAGGTGGTCCTCTTCTTAGGTCCTTCGGCCGGTCAATATTCAGCGGATGACGCGGGTAGGCAAAAAGATCTAGTTCCTTTTTAAGGTTCTAATGAAACGTGGTTATAAAGTGGTCTGGTCAGGTACCCCTAATAGCGGTTTGGACTTATTCGAATTATACTTCGCCTGCCAGACGGGACTTGCCAGTTTGGCAGGTTTGTGCAGCCTCTAGAAATAATGAAAGCGAGGGCGCATCTAACTGGGCCGCTACCGCAATGGGTTGGGGTCCAATCAATGGCGGCCAAGAATAAAATCCTGTAATTTATCCTCCAGCTCGATCATTGACAGCTGCAACCATCGTCTCGAACTTCAGGATAACTAAATTCCAGTATTTTGTGATTTCTGGAAAGTCAAGCGGGGTTTCGTCGTTGGCTATTGAGAGAACAAACAGAACGCAGAACTACATTGTAGTGAAACACAGATTTTTTTTTTTGGGGGGGGGGCTGCACCAAGGTCTGAGTTTGTCTGCATGTTTTGGTGCCGGTCCAGATAGACAGACCTACCACATCACCTCCTTCAAAGGTCTCCGCAAGCCATACTTGAGACATTCAGAGCGACGATGGCCATTTCAACTATGTACAGATTTATCGCCCTGCAGCGGCTCAAAGATACTTTCCTGCAGCCGGGCCCCGGGTGACAGCTACTCCAGATTGTCCGGTCTTTGGACATAGCCGCTAAAAAGGAAGGAAAATAAAGAGAGACACCATAATCGGGGAGCACAAATAACGGCCACGGGATCGAAAGCCTTGGCCATAGGTATGTCAATTGCGACGTCCCAATACGCGGCGCCCGGATTCGTGCACTGTTGGTACCCTCCCGGTCGATCATTGACAGTTACGGCGAATGGACAACCTGAACTTCAGCACCGGTACCTGGGGCACAGTCTTCGCAAACTTAACCCCCGCTCCTAAACCACTAAATACATGTAGGAAAGAAAAAAATCTGGCTCCCGCATAAGAACCGAGCTTTCATCTCAAAGAGCATCTTACAGAGCTGGTTTGGGCTGGATTTTACTAATTGTTCCCTTGTTTCCGCCTAGCTACGAGTAATTAAAGTGTCTGTTTGTACTGATTAGTTATCAGTATCCGGCTGATGCGTAGGAGGAGATAACTAGGACCATGGGCGTCTTTCTACGCTGCTACTCGAAATGATGGGCACGGACCGGAAGGGGGGGGGGGGGTGAGTAGGTCAAACTCGGCACAGCTGAAACTGTATTTTGAAAGCCCCTAGGCCCGGCGGGAGCGGGCCGGTAGGCCTGTAGGAAGATAGAGAGGTTTGGTGTGTGCAAACTCACGGTATCTCCTCAGTCCCTGGCTGGGGCCCGGGAAATATGATGTCTGCCGACTCTAACTACGCATGTACTAGGCTAGGGAACTACCGGGCCTTTAACTGTAGAGCAGCAGGCAGAGAATCCTAACCAGGCAACCGAGACCATCCCCCCCCCCTCTCTCTCTGGAATAAGTCTTCTGGGATAGGTCTTCTGGACGAGCTACATGTCGGTCATGAGCACGCCGCTTTCTTGCAATTAGCGGAGGGGGAGGCCGGTTGGTCGTCAAACTTACTATAGGGGATGAGACATTGCTAGCTAGCTGTTCGCAACGGACATGTCGATTCCCAGCGCCACTGTCAGAAATTAATTATTCTTCGTGAATATCAGTGCGTGCAGGACTGATCTTTTGAAGTATATATTTTGGGCATGAGCGTGAGGGTGGTTGCAGTAGATGAAAGGATGAAGCTAATGTACTACTTACTTAAGTTGTGACTGGTAGCTATGCATTATATGGACATCGTCTCAGACCTACGGAATACGATATCCCAAGTTTTACTTCCTGATGGATCGAACGGGAAACACTTATCTTTGGATTAGAAAGTTTGTCGCGGCTGCTCGTGGTTAGAATTTGCAGTTTGCATCCTCTGGATAGCTACGCCGGACGGGAGCCCCTCAGATGGCCTAGGTCGGTACCAGACTAGTTCCTATAGGATCAATTGATGTACGCATATAGGTAGATCGATACTCTGCTTTTCTCTGGAAGATTACAGGGTGGCAAGCCTAATGGTGGGCAACGAATCGGTTTCACATAGGTAAAAACCATTTTCTTTTTGTGGATACATACCAATAGATAATTGATCGATACTGCTGTTAGTTATCAGTGGTTAGGAAGCTAGCCTTTATCAGTCAGTCGTAGCATTCGACGCTGAAAAGTACCACTGTTTGGGGACTCTGTATAATCGGTGATTGACAGCAAGAAGAACGGACGCCTCGAGCTCGATTCCTCCTGGATGGGGAACTCTGGCCTCTGAAAACCGGGGCCCTCTTTTTTTCACTGTTTCTTTTTTCTTTTCCTTTCTTCTCTCTCTCTCTTTTTTTTCTTACTGTTAGAGCTGAGGATGTCATTGGAGGAGTTAGAGGAAGGAGGAGGAGGGGGTAGAAGGAGAGAGAACTGTGGGTGGCAGTATACCAAGGCTAGATGGAACTGTAGCGTGATCTTGAGGTGGTAAGGGTAGATAGGGTTAGTGGACGAAGGCGGGGGGGTGTTTATAACTCCCTCCCCGGCCGCGGTGAAGTGAAAAGGGGACTTTTTACAAGGGTGCTTGGTTACTCGACGCGTATGGGGAGTAGTAGTTGCGCTGATAGAAGTTGTGTTGGTGGTATTGATATTGGGCGTTGGTAGTGGATAAATACGAGGATGGGCATGCAATTGATGGGGTGCTAATATCGACCGAGTGATCCCTCATGATGGAGAGTGCATGATTGAAGATGCATGTTTTTTTTATTATGTCTTTGATTACTGAGATTAACACGACCATAACCACGACCACGACCATAACTCTACGCTGCAAACTGGCTCACATTCTACTACTTACCTCGCCCGTCCAGCGTCTCTACTACCACCGCTTCCCAGTTACCGCAACCACACATCACATCCACCCCATCCTTCCACTCCGGTCCATTCACCGCACACAAACCCACATCCACATCCAAATCACAAACAACCGCACCACATCCCATATCAAAACTCAGTAATGGCTAAAAAGTCTTCCGCACTCTAGCATAAAAAAAAAGGCTATGTAGCTAGTTAACAAGTTAACAACTAACCAACCCCAAGCAAGTCCCAGCTCTAATTCCACCTCCCCACCGGCACCTGCAGCACCCCACCACCGCCACCACCGCCACCACCGCCCCCAGACCCACCACCGCCGTCGCCGTCTTCCCCGCGACTCGACGCCTTCCCCCTCCCCGCGCCGCGCGTTGGCTTGCTCTGCGCTGCTTCATGCTTCCTATCACCCCCACCCCCATTAGCCCAGAACAAAAACAAGAAAGAAAGAAAAAGAAAAAAAAAGGGGGAGAAATATACCTCAGCTCCTCCGGCACCCTACTAATCGCACTCTTCATCAGCATCTGCTTCAGCTCATACAGCACCTCCGCATCCTCGCCGCCCAGAAACGTAATCGCAACACCGCTCTTCCCCGCACGCCCCGTGCGCCCAATACGATGCGTGTACTGCTCGATGCTCGTCGCCATATTAAAGTTAATCACCAGCGACACATCAGGCACGTCGATACCTCTCCCCGCCAGGTCCGTCGCGACCAGCACGTCGGCCTGGTTGCTGCGCAGCTGCATCAGCGCCTGCTCTCGCTGGTCCTGCGACTTGGACCCGTGCAGCGTGACGGCGCGCCAGCCGATGTGCTTCAGGTCCTTGGCGACGGCGTCGCAGTTGCGCTTGATGTTGACGAAGACGATAATCGGCGCTGCGAACTCTCGCGAAGAGAGGATCTCCGAGAGACGCTTCTTGCGGCGGTCTTCGCCGGGGATGAACTCGACGCGCTGCTCGACGGTGTCGACTGCCTCGCCGGCGTTGCCGATTGTGACGATGGCGGGGCGGCGGAGGTACTTCCGCGCGATGCGCTCGATGGCGGGCGGCATGGTGGCGGTGTACATCATTGTCTGTCTGAAGCGGTCCTTGCCGCCGAGGTGCTTGGACATGAGGATGGGGTTCTCGGCGTCCTCGGTGTCGGGCTTGATGTTGTGCACGGGCAGGGCGTCGAGGATCTTGTTGACGGACTCCTCGAAGCCCATGTCGATCATGCGGTCGGCCTCGTCCATGATGACGTAGCAGCACTGCGAGAGCACCAGGAGGCGCCGCTCGAGGCAGTCGACCAGGCGGCCTGGGGTGGCGATGATGATTTCGGCGCCGTCGCGCAGGTTGTAGGCTTGTTCTTCGATGGTGTGGCCGCCGACGATGGACACGCAGGTGAAGCCGAGCGGGGTGGCGAACTTTTTGGCTTCGGACTCGATTTGTTGCGCGAGTTCGCGCGTGGGGGCGAGCACGATGGAGTAGGGGCCGTCGTTCTTGGTGAAGTCGTCGAGCGAGGGGAGTTCGGAGATGTACACGAGGAGCGGGAGGATGAAGGAGGCGGTTTTACCGGACCCGGTGACGGCGACACCGATGAGGTCGCGGTTTTGCAGCGCGATGGGGATGGCGGCACGTTGGATGGCGGAGGGGTCTTTGTAGCCTACGTCCGACACGATCTCGAGGAGGCGCTTGGGGAGGTTGGATTCGGACCATGAGCGCATGGGGTTTGGGATTGCGCCGCCTATAGTAGCCGTTAGTTATGAAAAAAGCCATATATAGAGCCAATGATAAAAATATACACATACCTCTCGTCGCAATATTGAAGTCCTCCTTAAAGATCCTCCAATCCCTCTCCTTCATCATCTCCAGCGGCTTCTCGCTCCAATGCTTATCCACCCAGTTTGCACCCTCCCTCTTCCTCCTCTCCATCTCCATAATCTCCCGCGCCCGCCGCTTCTCGTCCTCGCCGCGCGCCTCAAGCGCCTTCGCATACCCCTGCGTCGGCGCCTCCGTTTCCGCAAACCCGCCCAGCCGGCCCCGCCCAAAGAAGTGCGCCTCGGCCCGGTTCGCATACAGCGGGTTGTAGTCGGGACTCGTGTCCTCCTCGGCCCCCCACTCAAACGTAAACTTGCGCTCGCTCGTCTTGCGCCGCTTCTTCTTGGTCGACGACGTGCTGTCCGGGTCCGCGCCCATGTACCGTCGCCGGATCTCGGCCGCCTCGGCGTGCTCGGCCACGCTCCGCTTCTTGTCCTTGTCTCCTGCTCCCGCTGCCCCTCCTGCTGATGGCGGCGGCGGTGGTCCCATATTCCCACCACCGCCACCGCCGCTGCGGTTCCCGCGCATTGCGGCAGGCCCTGTCGGCGGCTCGCGGTCTCGTAGTGCTTTCGGCCCCGTGGGTGGCCCACCCCCACTGCCTCCTCCACCGCCGCCGCCGCCGCCACGATACCCATTCTGAGGATGTTGTTGCTGCTGCTGTGGCGCACCACGGCGGTCGCGGTCGCGGTTGGTGGGCTCAGGCTGTCGTGCGGCGGCGGCGGCGCGTTTCCGCTGCTCGTCGACCTCCTTCTGGCGCTTCTCGAGGGCGAGGGCCTCGCGTTGGGCCTTTGTCAGGAATTTTGGCTGGTTGGATTCTTTTGTTAGCTAGTGAAAAGGGAGGTTGGGGGTGGGAAAGGGGATGAGGGGGAGGGGAGGGGAGGGGAGGGGAGGTACTCGTTTCGCGGCCTCGTCGGCCTCTTTCTTCTTTTGAGGATCTCTTCGATGCTGAGGGTCCGCGGGAGGGGGCTGCTTTGGGGGCTGTCTTTGGGGGTGGAGGGGGTGGCGCGAGGTCGATTGGTGGTGGGGGGGGCACGTCGGGGGGCGGTGGGGGCGTGGGATGGTGGATGGTGGGGGGGGGATGGCGTCGGTGTCTGTTGGGGGGGCGGCGGGGGTGGGGGGGGTGAGGTGAGGGCGTCCATGGCTGTGTGGAGCTGGAGAGATGTCTGTGTCTGTATTCTGTGTCTGTATTGTGTCTGTATTCTGTGTCTGTATTGTCTGTCTGTGGGGGTGCTGTGTGATGTTGATGTTGATGTTGATGTTGGTGATGTTGATGTTCAGAGCAGAGGTTGTGTCTGTGTCTGTGCCACCCGAGACAGAGCCGCACATGCAATTTTTACATAAAGCGCCAGAGCGGGCATCGACAACATCACAATTCTCACTGTAGACTATATATATTCGAGTGCTGTGTGCAGTTGAGATCTCACAAGGCAAGCACTGGCCGAGAACCGAAAACTGCGAATTGTAACCGCAATTGCAATTGTAGAGATAGAGATAGAGATATAATATATACAGCCCTGTATATACAGCAAACAGAGAAAAAGACCTCTCCCCCCCTCTCCCCCCTCGTCCATTCCACATTCCCCCTTCCCCCTCTACCTCGGCCACTCCTTCCACCCCCTCCCGTGCCCCAACTTCCTCCATTTGTCGATAAGCTTCGGCATCCCCTCCATCGCCTTCTTCCTGACCTCGAGCCTGCCCGTCCACACACCCCATTAGCACCCCTCCCTCTCCCCAAAAGCCAAAAACAGCAAGCAGAAAGAAACAAAAAAAGAAACATACTTCGCCCTCAACGCCCTCTCCCACCCCTTCCCCTTCGGCGTCAACATCCTCTTCAACCTGGGCCCGACCTCCGCCCTGACCGCCCTCGCCGCCGTGCCCTTGACCGTCTCGGGGAGCAGCTCCTCGACGCCGCACTCCTGCGCGGCCTTGACGAGCTCCTTCTGCCGCCGCAGCGAGTATTTCGGGTTGTGCCATTTGCCCGTCACGGCCGACTTGGTGTGCCGGAAGATGGCGGCGTGGTTGCTGCCGGGTGGGTGCTGTGCGAAGAAGCGGTGCAGCAGTGGGGGGAGGCGCTGCTGCGCGAGGGTGATGTAGGTCGAGGGGGTCGACATTGTGTGCTGTGTTGTGCTGTGTGTGGTGGGGGGGGGAGGTGGGAGGTGGTGGTGGTGGTGATGGTGATGGTGGTGGGGAGGAAAATTGGGGCTTGGCGGTGGTGGTGGTGGTGTCAATGATTGCAGGGGTAGGTGTGGTACTGGCCGAGTGATATATCGATGAACCGTCAATGTTAAACCGTCCCCCCCCCCCCCTTATATTAGGGGGATTGAGTTTGTATGAGAGATCTGTTGTTTCTATTATTTGAACAAGATCTGTTAGCAAGGCTACACTACATGTGGTTTTTTCTTTCTTTTCTTTCTGGAGGGGGTCAGTATTTTTATTGCGCCAGGAAACAGCTGTGTTCATTGTCAAATGGCCAACCCCTGAAAAGCCACACAGGCACCATCGACGCCAGCCCACGCTCACACATTCTCAGGCTTAACTACTGTCTGTCTGGGGTCTAGAGGCTCTACTCAATTGCTCTTAATGCTTGAATAGCTCGATCGAATGAAGGAAGACGAGAGTGATGCATCGAGTCGGTGCTATAGTCACAGGGACTGCGGTGTCATCATTAGCTATATGGACTTGTCTCTACTTGCTTATTTACTCCCGTTCTAGTACCCCTTTTTTCTCTTTTACCATCATCAATACACATAATCATTCGGGCTTTGTTTTGCTTTATCGAGCCTGAGCTTTTCTTCTCCTGGCTCGCTCCAAAACGTCTACCGCTCGCTGTTTTTGGCAATTTTGTTATAAAAGCGGAATGCGGCATCAGTTTTACCCCCGATTTCTGACACTCCACGAGAAGAAGAAAAAGACCTGCACGGGTATCATTTCACCCCTTTACACTTCTCACAACCTTTTCGAAAAGAAACACTCACATAGTATCAATACCGATACCCTCCCAATTGCAACTGACCCAATTGATATGCACTAGATCACTAGAACTATGCTATAACTACTATAACTACTAGCTACACTATGCTACTACTCCCCCACTTCCCCGCCTCCCCTTGCCCATCCCCGGGCCCTCTTCCTTTATCTTTCCACAAGTACCTTTTTACTACATATCACTCACTACTACTATTCTTTAAATACAATCCTTTCCTTCCACCCTCCCCTCCCCTCCACTAGTCTGCCTCTCGGAATTAAACACTCACAATCAAAACACCCACACACGACCAGCTGCAATTTAGCCACATACACCCATACACACACGCGACAAACACAAGAAAATAAACGTCCATCGAGTCCAATATAAAAGGTGTAAATAATAAGAGAAAAGAAAGAGAAAGAGAAAGATTCACAATCGTCCCCACCATCGCCGGCTATAAAAGAATATAGGAAGAATATAAAAAAGTAGTAAAAAATAGTATAGAAAAAAAAATAAAAAGATAGAATATCGGGTTTTTTTAAAAAAAAAACAGAAAGAAAATATACCCAATAAAGTCCCCCCCCAATTGGCCCTCCCATCCCTCCCATCCCGCCCCATCCATCCCGCCCATCTCCCTTTCCCACCCCACCCCACCCTCCACGTCTCCCATATGCATTGCAAACCCCACAAAAGAAAAAAGAAAAACAAAAACAAAAAAGCCAGGAAACCCCCACTACTGCCCAAAGCTCAAACTCGCAAACGCATCCGGACTATGCCTCCCACTCTGCCACGCCCCAAAGTCCACACTCTCCTGACTCCTATGCCCGCCCTGCATCCCCCCCTTCTGCCCGCCATTCACCTGCTGCTGCTGCTGCACCTGCTGTTGCTGCGCCTGCGGCAAGAACGGATTATTGCTCCCCGCACTGGGCGCCGACATGCTCCTCTCCATCGCTGTCGGCGGCGGCTTATTCTCCGCCAGCGGCAGGGGCACGGGGTTCGCGCTTGGCTGCGGCGCGAGGTGGGGATAGTTGAAGAGCGCGAGGATGGCGGACTTGTCGACGCCGCCTGTGCGCTGCTGGAGGAGCTGTGATTGGTATGGGTTTGGCTGTGGGGAGAGGGGCTGTGGCTGGGAGGCCCAGAGGGGCGCTTGCGGGGCGAGTTGGGACTGTAGGTATTGTTGCTGTTGGAGTTGGAGTTGGTGGGCGGCTTGTTGTTGGGCTGCGAGTTGTTGCTGTTGTTGGGCTTGGAGTGCGGCTTGCTGCTGCTGTTGTTGCTGCTGCTGCTGGAGTGCGGCTTGCTGCTGGGTGAATTGTTGCTGTTGGAGGAATTGCTGCTGCTGCTGTATTAGCATCTGCTGCTGCTGCTGTGGGGCCTGATGCTGGTACGGGTTATTCATTGTCGGCGGCGCCGAGTTCGTTACAAACGGGTTATACCCGGCGACAGCCTGCGGCGCCGCATACATGGTCCCGTTCCCGTTCTGGCTATAGTACGGATTCGTGGGACTCTGCTGCGGCCCCGTCGAGTGCGTGCTAACCTGGTACTGCCCCTGCTGCCACCCCGTCGCCTGCATCTGTATCGGCGCAGGCACCGGCACCGGGGCCTGGAACCACGAGTCCGCGCCCGCGCCGTACGACGTCGGCGGCGCCGACTGTGGCTGCGGCTGCTGTATCGCGGGCGTGCTTGGCTGCGAGGAGTAGATTGTTGGGGTGAGCCCTCTTGATATGCCGCGACCTCTGTCGCACCGGGGGGTAGTGGCGGGAGCTCGCGGTCCAGCGCCTCGAAGGGGTTCGGACTCCCGGGCTTCTTGGCGGCTGCCGCGGGGGCGAGGCCCGGTGTCTTTGCGTTGTTGAGGCGGGTGAGGTGCTCGACACTCTCGGCGACGTTGCCGTCGGTGAGCACGAGCACCTGTAGTATCTGCTTGTCGTCCTTGAAGCCCATTTCCTGCAGCGTCTTAAGCTGGTCCTCGTACTTGATGGCTGGCGGGGCCTGCACCATTCCGTGCGGGAACTGGACGGGCGGGGGAGCGGAGTCGCCATATGGTGTGGCGCCCAGGACCTGTGTGACCTTCTTCTGGGAGGGGGAGGTGGAGCGGAAGACGCCGAGGCGGGAGGTGAGGCCGCCGGAGACGGAGCGTTGTTTCTGTTGGGGCGCGGGGCGCTGCGACTGGAAAGAGGCGTTGCTGGATGATGAGGAGGGGAGGGAGAGCCCGCCGCCGCCGCCGACGGAGGCTCCGAAGGAGGAGGATGCGTTGGAGGAGTTAGAGGAGGTGGATGACGCTTGTTCTGAGGGGCCGCCGCGGAAGAGCTGGTACTCGTATTTGTTGCGGATGTAGCGCTCGAGGACACCGACGGAGTCTTCGTTGCTGATGGGGGCTGGGTGCTTGGAGGGGTCGGGGTTGTAGTAGAGGTTGGATTTGGCGTTTCCGTTCGCGCGCATGTTCTGTAGAGGTTAGTCTGGAGCTGTGGGGGAGGGCTGGAGAGGGGGAGGGGTGGAGTGCGGTACATCGATCTGGTCGCTGGTCCATGAGTCCATTGAGATGGACTTTACTTTCGAGATGTGTGTCCCGAGTTTCCGGTGTAGTGACGCGCATCGTATGCACAGGAAGATACCTAGCTGTAGCAATCATGACGGAACGTTAGCAGCTATGGCGGAGATGGTGACGGCAGCGACCTGTACTCTAGCTATATGTAGCTCCCATATAGCTGCGAGGATCCAGGTTCACCGGAGAAGGTTGTGGTGGGGGGTGGGGGTGAAGGATGGGGAAGGGCTATTTACACTCCAACTCGCCCATGCTACATTGGCACAAAATACCCGGTCAGCACTTTAATCTCCATATTTGCGTCAGAGGCAGAGGCAGCAAGAAAGCAAGCAGTAAGCAGTAAGCAGTAAGCAGTAAAGCAAGTAACAGTAGCACCAACCTGGGTTCTGTGTCCCGCAATCCGCACAGCGGTCATTGCCCGGTGCCGACTTGAGCAGGTCCTGGAGGATACGCTCGTTCCGGGCTTGCTGCCGCTTGTTGATGATTGAAGACATGCTTCTGTCCTCCCCCTCCTTGTGGTGGTTGTTTGTACCTGAGGTGGCAGCAGCTCGGGGGTGCTGGGGGAAGCTGGAAGCGCCGAAGTTAGGGGTTTTTTCTCTCTTTTTTGTTCCTGGCTGCGCCGGAGGTAAAGGGCGGATTAGTGCTAGGTTCGAGTCAAATGAGTGAGTGAGGTCGAGTATCTCGGATGAACAAGTTGTTTGTCGATTTGGGTGGTGGTGGTTGCGGTGGTGTTGGTGGTGGTGGGGGGGGGGGTGGAAGGTGATGTTTAGACTGTACCTACTGGGGGGGGGGGGGGTTGTTTGTTGAAGATGTTGATTCTGGTCAAGATCTGGTCAGGATCTAGGGTGTTTTGTCTTGGAAGGGGGGGGGGGGGGGGGGGGGGGCGTCTAAGTGCAGCAGCAGCAGGGAGAAAGAAAGAAAGAAAAGGTGCACTGACAGACAGACTGACTGACTGAGGAAAAGATAGACAGGTTTCTAAAAGAAGATCAAGAGGGTTAAAAGGGAAATAACGATCGTCTCTCTCTCGAGCTATCTCGCCATACTCCATCCAGTCGTAGTCAGGCACAAAACTACCACGCAGGTGAATATTTACAGAACAGGCACATCTGCACCTGAAGGGAAGAAGAAAAGAAAAGAAATAACGCTGGTTCCAGAATTCTTCTATTGCATTGACGCTGGTAATATTATCTCCGGGCGTCTACTCTAGATATGTACATGTAAGGAAGCATTCTTGCCCTTCTCCTTTGTCCCCTGTAGCCGCTGACAGAATCCATCCCATCGGTAACAACCCATTCTATTGCTATATACAAGGTTATGATATATCGGATTACATCGGAGACCGATTATCCAAATTCGACTCCCGGAAGAGAGAGAGAGCAGGCTCAAAGAGCCCACTCGTCCCCCCCCCGCCAAAGAGCCGAAACACGGACAACCAGTGCAACATGCCTTCCACAAAGTCCAGGAGCCTAAAGAGAACCCCCTTTCCCGTTTGTTTTCTCTCGAACGCCAATATGACCGATGCTCGCCAGTAATGGTACGCGAGTAGTACGAATAAACGTTCTTGGGAGAGAAAAAAAAAAAGAAGGGAAGGAGGGCGCGTGAGACAAACAAGTGGTGAGAGAAAACGGCTCGGCGGCGAGAGCCAGACAGGGTTCAACCCTAACCCCGGGAGGTTACCAAGACCTTTTTTACCGCCAGTGGGCTATTTTTCTTTTCACGATATCAGTCCGTCTTCCTCTTCTTCCTCTCCATCCCATCTCTACCATCTTTAACAACAACATCATCATCGACCACCAACCGACCATACTAACCCACAGATCATCATCTCTACATCGCTGGACCAGACATGTCTGTATCCTTACCGCCATCATGTACATATTCTCCATCCTCAATCAAAACTCCTTTCCAACACTCTCCGTTTCGCAAGTTTTTCCTACCTCCTCCTCCTCCTCCTCCTCCTACTGCCCTTTTTTTTTGTACCACAACCATTTGCCTACTTCCGACGCCCCCCCGTTGCTGAATCCTTCGGGGTTATCCTTCGGGGGAACTCCCAATGGGTCGGATGTATACTTGGATGCTGGAAGACTGAAACGAGCCGACTCCACCCTGCTCCTCCCGAATGGAGGAAGCGGGACTAATGATTGGCATACATTCCTTGCTTCTAGAGAAATGCTTTGTAGAAATTATCATGAGTTATAGAAATAGAAATAGAAATAAAAATAATAGTCAATTAAGTGCCGTACATGCAATCTTTGCCCATTGTCCATTGTGAAGTCTGAACAGAGTTGATACAAGCATAGGCCCGAGACAAGCATACATGTGATTATTAAAACCTATAGACCAATCCCCACTGCTCCTGTGCCCATGCCCGCACCCAACTCAAACCCGTATCTACTCTCTTCTACCTGACCAAACAAGTGTTTCCATCCCACACCCCCCAAACCCCAACCCAAGCCTCGCCAAGCCTCGCCTATTCCAACCCCTGCCAGTAACAGTAACCCAACCACCAAGTTCCAACCCACCACACCTCACACCCAAACCAAACCAAACCAAACCCACCTCAATCCACAACTATCTCCAACTCTACCCACCCACCCACCCACCTACCTCCAGCACCCCACCCCAATCAGTACCACGAAAATGACCACCACCGCCGCCCCCCCCAAGCCCCTCGCTTCCTACCCCACCAACCAAACCCTCTACATCACAAACCTCAACGACCGCATCCGCAAAGACGACCTCCGCCTCTCCCTCTACACCCTCTTCAGCACCTACGGCTGCGTCCTCGACGTCAACGCCCTCAAGACCATGAAGGGCCGCGGCCAAGCGCACATCGCCTTCCGCGACGTTGCCAGCGCCGCCCAGGCCCTCAGGGCATGCAATGGCATGAACATCTTTGGCAAGGAGATGGTATGCCCCTGCCCCTGCCCCTGCCCCGCGCTTTTTCCCCTTTTTTCTTCTTTACTACATGTTGCTGTGATGCGATGGAGCTAATTGCGGAGGGGAGCAGAGAATCGCGTACGCAAAGTCAAAGTCGCACGCAATCTCGAAGCTGGACGGCACGTTTAAGCTGCCGACGACGGCGGGGAGCGCGGCGGCAGAGGCGGTTGCGCCGGTGCCGTTTGTGGCGGTGCCGAGTGCGCCGGTGGAGGCGACGACGACGGCGACGGCGGGGGTGAAGAGGCAGAGGGATGAGGAGAGTGGTGAGTTTTTCTAGTTCTTGTTGCTTGAGGGGGGGGGGGGGGCTTTGTGTGGCGTGGAGTGGGACTAATGCGGTGTGGTTGTGTGTGTAGATGAGGAAGAGGCCATGGACGTGGAGGACGACGATGAGTAGGCAGAGGCAGGCAGGATGGGCGGACGGACGGACGCGGCCATGTGGGTAATTGGGGGCTATGGGGGCTTTTAGAAGAGAGGGCCATGTGATGATAACCATGGTATGCTGAAACCGCCGCGTTGTTTTTTTGTTTCCTTTTTTTTCTCTCTCTCTTTTTACAGCAAAAAAAAAGAAATAAAAGTCCTTTCTTCTTTCTTCTTTTTTTTATATCATGGTCGAAAAGACGCTGATTCGCTGTCTGGAGTGGGATTTGGCTTGTAGATTGATTGATTGCAGATCATATATTGGTATTTGTGGTAAGTCCTATAATTAGCTACCAGATCTAGTGATTCCAGTGCGGTATCTTCCCACAGGTGAGGTTTCCTAATACCTCTTCAGCTCGTGATAAACCTTTGTGCCAAACACTTGTAGGATACGCCGGATAAGAAAACCACCACTCAAGTGACGACGGAACAGTGCCGAGTGATATCATATGATCCATCTAATATTCGCGAAACGATATAGTCTCAAAGTCCTCCATGCGATAGTAAAAGGTTCAGAAGGCTGTGGGAATTCCCCGAGTCGGCAGAGCTATCTATGAGAAATCGCATCCAATATTACCCATTATATCTGTTGATCGTGGTGTGGTGTTAAGATTTTGGTCATGGGGCCGGAGGACCGGTCATGACAGCCTAGTGACCCTATCCTTTCTCCATCGAGAATATCTCACCCCCCACAAGGCTATTCAATCATAGGGGAAGTGGATCCCCCCCCCAAATCGCTCGTACTTATATCTACATGAGTAACAGTCAAAAAGCCAAACCATACATCTCGAGTAAGCCCGTATAGCCAGTAGATACACACGCCATAGCGTTTTTTCTGCAAACGAAGGGATGATTTGTCATCCTATTATCCTTTTTTTTGCAGTCAATATCTATCGTTCATGATTTATACACGCCCCACAGAAAAAGAGGGATAAAAAATAAAAGAAAAAGAAACAGGCCCCGAGAAGGACTCGAGCCTCATCTCTATGGAAAACGTCCTACTGATACCTAGGCTGGCGCATTATTATACCGGAACTACATGTACTGTTGCCAGACTGCGCGCTGGAGTGGGTGGTAAGGTGCGTACAACCCGTCTACTTCCATGCTTCCAGTGCTGCAAGTAACGAGCTGGGTATGAGACTAGGTGCGTACGTATCCTTCCCGACAGTCACTGCTTGTATCGATTAGATTGATAAGGAAGATGAGATCTGGGCGTGTGGATGTGATACTACATGTAGTAGAGATGTGTCTTTCCGTCATGGAAGATCACTCGGTCCATCCACTACCCCACTTAACCTATCATCAATCAACACCCACAGCACCACTAACACCCATCCCCCATAAATACAACAACTCCCCCACGCATTGAGGCAATACCGCACCCCAAAAACCACCCCGGCACCCCGACCCCCCCTTTACTTCTCAACCATGCAGGTGAGCTATTCCTTGGCTTGGTAGAAACTGCAAATTGCGGGACTTTCTATCTCGATCCCATCCAGTGGCAAAGCCACTGCTGCACGCAGGATCAACACCAGGCCACACGCTACTACTCAAAGGATAAGAAAACTACAAACACCACGTTTTTCATCACGCCGCATTCTCTACACCCCCACTTCCTTCACCCCCGCGGCCCGCAACATCATTAGCACCCAAGCACAGCACAATGGACCAAAGCACTATATGCGGTAGACACCCCCAACCCCGGCCAAGTTCCTGCGTCCCTAACGAACCTGTTTTCTTTTTACCAACCACGGCCCAGAAGAGTTCATAAACACACAGACTACGAAGATTCACAGCCTAGAGGGCTTAATCTGATGGGCGCGACGGAGATCCCTAAAGCGCGCAGTATTCTTTTTGTCCCTAGGCGCAGCCCTTGTGCCCGAAGCTTAGCCTAGCTAGGAACCGACCTAGCAGCACCCTATATGGCGCCACCGCCGCCGCCGCCGCATCGAAAGACATCCTCTTTAATAGGAATAGAAGGTTTGAGATGTAACTTAAGGGGACGAACACAGCACTCTTCCGTTATAATGGTTTAACAGCGTCATCTCAAATGGCATAGATACATGTACATATATACCGATATAGAAGAACCTCTAACCACGAGCAAAGTCCGGGACGAGATTCAAAGGCCTGTGGTTAGCGTGTGTCCTAATATATTGCAGCGGGGATAGCGGGAGGTCTATATTAAGCCAAACCGCCCCCGTACTCCCGCACTTCCCCGTTATCTAACTGGCCACTAAAAATGAAGACATGTGTTCTGATTGGCTTATATCAACCACCATCCATCGTTCCTGCTAACGGATTCTTCCTCTCTCTCTCTCTCTCTCTCTCTCTCTCCTCGCACTCCCAACTCACTCTAGACCATTTGCGAGCATGCATCGGCGATTGCGCGTGCACGCGCACGGTGAAGCTTCTGAGCACAAAAGTAAGGCTTACTCTTTGCAGCTATGTTGACTTACACAATGGAATAACCCTGAGATCTAGAATTAAAGACACTCAACAAGAGCGCTAAATAAAGAGCTATAATCTTGCGCCCTTATAAACAACATCGTATATAGCACTCCGCATCTATGGCCATAAGCTTGGAATTGCGTACTCCAGTTATGGATGCTTTTTAGCACCGGCCTAAGTCTTCATTCGAAGGTCAGGGGACCAGCTACAATTTCAAACTCCGAGATGAACCTTGAACTAACTACACTTATATAGGGAAAGCCTGGTCAAGGCGTGAGTCTTATCTGAAACACTAGGCTCCTTTTCGTATATACCATGCTTTATTTACCTGAAAGTTTCTATATTTTGCGAGACACCAGCTCTCGTTTCGTATGGGACGTCAATCACGATCATGAGCTCACCACAGTTCCCCGCTGCATGCACTGGAAGAGTCAATTAGTGAACCACAATTACTATCCGTGGGATAACGCCATCCTTCGACATCCGTTATATACGGGTCTTTATCGACCCCAAGAGAGCACCAATATTCTTCTATAATCAATACCCCTCACGTCAACTGTGCATAAATAGCACACCCCACCTCCCCCTTCTACTCTCAATCTATCAAGTCCACACTCCCTCCGAAGAGGAGAGAAAACAATCATTACCACCACATACATCCAGGATGCTCAACGCAAAGTCCCTCGCTCTCTGGGCAGCAGTCTTCCTCGCCGCTGCCAACGCAGTACCCTGCAAGCCATGCAATAATGGCCCCAGGCCACAGCTTGGGGACCTCACAGGTGCCTTCCCGATCCCGTTCTCTCCGCCAGTCCCACTCCCTGATACTGGGTCACTTACTGGCACGGCCACTGGCATGGCTTCCGACATGACCGGCGGGACTGTTACCCCCTCGGTCCTAGTCGTCGGTGGAGCGGGACCTCTCGACGCCGCTGGATCTCTAGGCCCAGTCGTCGGCGGTGATGCGACCAGGCCACGTGGTCCCTTGGAGATTTCGGAGGACCATTTAGAGGATCTGGCCAAGGTTGCTACTGGAGAAAAAGACCCGCTGGCGACACTGGAGGAGCATGCCGCCGATGATGCTGGGCTCATTCAAAACGAGCTCGGTGGGGGAACGGCGGCTGTGGGCGCCCAGTAGGTTGTAGGCGTACGGTGTAGAGAAGGGCTTGCACCACTTCTTTGATACATTTTTAGAGAAAAGAGGGGGGGGGGGGGGCAGAAGTGCTGGAGATGTCGTTCTTGGGGTTGTTTGGTGCTAGATTTGTTGTTCCCCGTACGTACGACGCTCTCTACTGGTTACCTTATATACTATGGTGGTGTGGCTCCCGGGAATCTATACATTCATTTAATGATCTTTTACTTGATCGTACCTTCGTTTGTTCGATTATACCTCACGCCCAGATATTACATGCACCCATTCACTCATAAACTCACATACTATTTCTTATCCACACTCATTTTATACATTCTTCTCATATTTACACTCATTGATACTCTCATCTACACTCTCATCCGGCCACGCATCCACCACCTCACCACATTCCTTTCTATTTCTTACTTATCATAAACACACAACTATCTTCTCAAGGTCTCTCTTTATATTTTTCTTCTACACTCTCCTTCGTCTTTTCCTTAACACATTCTCTTCACCTTTTCCTTCTACACTCTCCTTCGTCTTTTCCTTAACACATTCTCTTCACCTTTTCCTTCTATACTCTCCTTCATTCTCTTTTCCTTCTACCTTTTCCTTATATACTCTCCTTCATTTCCTTTTTCCTTCTACACTATCCTTAAATTTCTTCTCTTATCTCGTAGTGGGGGCACTATCAATCCAAACATGTATATAAACGACCTCTTCTGCACGCGAGACACGAACGAGGGTGAGGCGCAGATCTGGCGCCCGCCCTTTAGTAGGTCTCGGGTCTGACAAATAAAAATAAAACTTTAAAAAACTATAACTTGGATGCGATGCGATGTGATTTTATCCGCCGTTATTTAGTGAATTGATCAACCTATTAATTACCGCTGATCTATCTTATATTCACTTGAGTAACCACTCATGGGTGGATGGAAGCGGAGTGACGAGGAAGAGATGGCTGCATTGAGATACACTGTTCTATCGTTCATGACTCGGACCCAAAGCCCCGCTCACGGTCGAAACGTAGCAACGTACTATGCCTGTGAGGGTAAGTCTGTAGACAGGTGGCGGTGACACACAAGCAATATTCAGGAATCTCCTCCCAATGCACCGCCACCTGTCTACGTACAGACTTACCCCTACACGCGTAGTACATTTCCTCGCAATCAAGAAAAGGCAGCTATCCCTTAAGCTGTCGCGAAAATGCTGACCCCCCCAAAAAAAGCAAATTCGGTGTGGCTTTACTAACAGATCCCGTTATCTCTCTTATAAAATAATAGATCTCTCATACAAATTTAATTCCTCTGTTATAGGGGGGTCAGCATCGACAGCTTAAGGGATAGCTAGCTAGTCGCCATGATGTTGAACCGGCGCCCATTATATGTGTCCGCCGCGGGACCCATCGCGGAGAGAAAATGTATCTACATGCGTCCTAGTTTTTCAAAGTCCCTGGCCATCTACTACCCCGCATTGATTCCCCGATAATTAAAACGGGGAGACGACGGGCCCAGGCGTGCGAGAGAGTGTGTCATCACCGGAAATCACTCGCGGCTTGGCTTTAGCTTTGGTTTGCCAAGGCTTGAAAACCTACTCTAATTCGCTCGATCGACTGTACCGCTCTATCTAGCTGGAAACGGTAACCTTAAATAATTGACCCAATCTGTAAATAAACCAGTCACTACATGTACTAAGTACCACCACCACCACCACCACCACCCACCGCGCCTCTGAATAGGCAGCGGCATATATAAAATATACGGTATGTTGGCTCGGTCGGGTCATCATCCTGACGCATTCGTTAGACCACGGCCGACGAGCTCTATCCCCAGGCTCGAGTGAGCGCTAGCTGTATTACCAGTTATCCATGGGACTGCTACATAGTTAGCGAAGAATGAATGTAACGGTATCCTCTAACACACGCTTATTCCTAAGCATAAAGAGGCCACACAGCACCTCCAGAAGGCAAATACATCCAACTCTTCCGAAACCAAAAAAGCAAGCAATTAAACGAATATAACAATGATTTCGACCCCTATGATCACTTTATTAGTAATTGTACGTTTTTGTCCCCTACTGCGAGTTTGTTTGCTAACTTGCCACTAACTGCGCGTGTTTATAGACTGGTGCTTTGACCGCACTGGTGAACTACGACGCGGGATGGGCCTATTTGAAGGAGACTCTGAATCTAGAGCCACGCGACAAGAGTGAGGATTGGTGAGGGGTGTCTATGTGTAGGTATGTTTAACGGATGATAAGACGTATTGGCGTTTGGGATTTGGTTTGGCGGTGGTTTTGGATCGGGCGTGGGGGTTGGGGGGCTCTTTATTGTTTTACTTTGGAAATGGCTTATGTTCTGCCAGTCGATGGGGATAAAAGGTTATTTACTTTAGGTAGCCATTTTGATTAACCGGATCCTAATGTATCTGATGGTTAGGGAAACGAATGAAAAAAAATACAACGAAAAGATGTTGAATAGTTACCCCTCAAAGATAGAAATTTGATCTAGTCGATGTTTCAGAATGTTCATTCGAGGTGACAATCCAGTCAGAAGAGAAATATTGAATAGAGTTATCGTTTCTCTATTAAGAAAGATAAGCCCAGTCATGCAGACGAAAGATATAAACGGCACGGAAAATATGATGCACTATCCTCTCTTACAGTGAAGGCGCCCAGCGGTACAAAGAAATTATGGGTGTTGCTGCTTTGTGTAATCCTTGAGTAGACAGTCCTTGAGTAGAGATTACTCGTGCATTCTTCTTATCTTTTTCTTCCATCATTGTTTCAAAGCCCCCCCGGCCCACAACACTGGATGGATTGAGTACATGTACTTAGGATCCCCACCCCCGAATAAAGAATATGACCACATGGGTCGACTAAAATTTCTCACTTAAATAAATCCTGTTAATGTCTCGGGTTGAATTCGAGCAAGGTTGAAAAAGTAGGTTGAGATAGTTAATGACTTGATTCATATCTCGACAAAAGGTCAAACTATATATACATATGTAGTTACAAGTCGTTGCCGGCCTTCGGCCGGAGAGGATAATCCATCATATATTATATTTTAGTGCAATTCTATATGAGAATATAGCCCCAGGAAGGGTATACTCAAAACTTTATATTAATGTAGAAGAATCTAATTAAAAATCAGCAAAAAAACTTTTACTAATTCTAACGGCTCTGGTCTGCATTCAGGAACGAATTTGAATACGGCAGAGTTGGGACAGGTTCGAGAACGGAATCAGAGGAGGATCTCCGCCGAGCGGAAGATAATACCAAAATCTACTAATTATGGAGAGAAACAAAAATCAATGTTATCATGATTATATCATACTGAGAAAAGCAAATATTGATAATGTGATATCATATCAAGTAGAGCAAAAATTAATACCCTGATACTATTGTATAAAGAAAAACAAAAATTAATATAATTATAGCTACTATATTGCTCTAAAAAAGGAAAATCAATTCAATCATGATTATATTGTCACAAAAAAAGCAAAAATCAATACTATTATATTCAAGTTCTAGCGAGAAAATCAAAAATTAATATCATGATATCATCTCAAGAAAAGCAATCTTAATCACCAACTTCTCAAACATAGCCAATCAAAACCTTTAAATAACACATTGCATATCGGTACTAGTATATCTATATACTTATAAGATATAGACATGCATTGGACAAGTGTCAACATCCTAGTAGTGACAGGTGTCGACACAGCATATTCGGACAGCTCATCTGTACGAGTTCGACATCGCTTCAAAAAGCCAAATATCCAACAAGCAGAACTTCTCCATGTCGAGTGATGCTTCATGACTATAATTACACTCTCTTTATAGTATCGTAGACCTAGAAATGAGAGAATTCTACATCCCTTTCCTATTGTGTACGCATAGTAGTTAGTGCCGATGTTCTTGGTAGGATTCATGTAGTTCTAGAGCTAACTAAATACATGCATAGTATATTTCAGAATGGTTTGGCCTTTGTGTCGGATATGTCAGAATGACGCGTCAGAACAGGTACTAGTAGGCACAACTTGACGATACCTCGAGACGAGAGGGAACAGTGGTGCTACACACACAACCCCCATCAAGGTCCCATCTCCCAATCAACTCGCCTCAAACTATCAATGAAGCTCTCAAAATCTATCTATCCCGATAACTCAAGAGCCCATGTGTGTAGTCCACACTCACCAATAACAACTTAGAAAACTCAAATCTCTTTAACTCCGCCTGCAGGTCTGTTATAAGACTACCCTGTCACCTCACAGCCCACAATGTTGATTAATGAACAGATAACTAACCTGCATGATCACAGATGCCGCCATCAGTACCCACCTCGCGACAAACCCTTGAAACTACAAGGCAGCAGCTACCAGAGCGCCGTCCCAATGCTCAAATTACTGATTCCTTGCATCGTACGAACCTGCAAATAATCCCGAGCATCCGAGGGTCCTGTAAGAGGAGTCTCTCTTTCTTGAAAAAAGTAACCAAGTTATTCCTCCATCTAAAGTCACTCGAGCTTGTCAGGATTACTACCGACCCCGCATAAACCTGTCAAAATTTATCCTTGTATACCCCTTGTGTTTGCCACGAACTACGGGCCATACTATAAACGAACAACCACTATCTAGCGAGATAATCGTTGCTAGAGTCAGTACCTAGCCACACCAATACTTACGATACTCTTGTATGTTTCACCAAGGTTGGATTCAGTTCCCCCGCATTCAATTTTCTACCTGAAACTATGACAGAGAGGGTAGAGGAGAAAAAATTACAATCTTGATCGATTGCTTTCTGACTTTACCTAGACTAGCTAACTTTAAGTTACAGATAGCGAGTGAGAGCCTATGAATCCATCCATCTGACACAAATGGGATTAGGGAGTACAAGAAGTTGATATTAGTTTCGTCTACATATCTAAGCTGACGGTTACATTATTAAGGGTCCAGCTGGGGATACATCTGCAGGTAATCAGCACATGATATGCAGGTATTACACCAAGCTACACCGGTACCCAAAATTTGAGCTAGAGGTGGCCTATCATGTAATGGCCAGACCCACCTACTCTTTCCATACGGAACCATAGTGTAACTATGCGTATATTAGTTTACATATCCTTGTCTTTATCTTTATTTGTGTCTTACTTGACCAGTAAGCAGTAAGCAAGCAGGTGGAATGGCAGAAACCTAAAAACAAGGATACTAATGATTTCCGCGCAGATAAATAATTCCATATAGTTACCGCTCCCCTAACCATTATAGAGAGCTGATATGGCGGAGAAGAGGGTTCATGGTCCCTCTTACTGCCGCCACCAGGGCTAGTTGGGATTTGCCAAGAAGCCTCCTGGGATAAACCAGGTTCAAAAGGTCGATACTTCCGAGGTACCGGAATTTGTTGTGTTGCACAGACCGTCATAGAGCAAAATTATTGACGATAGCACTGGCGTGGCTTTCACTAGGTACAGTAACCCGGAATCTGGATGTAATTAGTGGGGATGCCGATGCCTAGCTCAAGAAATCCTTGAGGTTGTCCATGAGTCGCACAAGTTTGGTTCTAGAGCTCACTCACTCTGTATATCACGCCCAAAAAGCAAGAGGCCTTCAAATCGTGTTATAAACAACTTTGTTATTAACGATCGCATGGGATATCCTAGTTTCAACGGCACGAGGTCAACTTCACAGCCGCTCACTCGCATCGATTCATCATAACCACGAAGATCTCGCGCCCCATCACCACATTGAAACCCTTTCTCGGTGAAACATTCTGTGGATCTCCCGCCCAGCAGTCCGAGTCAATCAAATCAGTCTCCAGAAACCAAGAAGAAAAAAACCGGGGAATCATAGGTCCGCTTACCGACCCACTGCGTAACAAGAAAAAGAAAGCGAAAAAAGGCGCAGATTGATCGCTTTGATGGCGCGGGCTCAAGCCAATCGGCTGCTATCGAACCCAAAGAAACCTTACTGAATAACTCGTTGATTCGGTGGGGCAAATTGCGTGTTCAAGGGTAAGGTAGATACAAGCGATAGGTATATTTTTTTTATCGATTCGCTCATAACTCCATGATAGCCGTTAACATATTCTGCTCGGGCACTTCGTTGTCCTTAGTTTACCGCAAGATTTGGAGCGTAAAGCCCGGGCGTTAGAGAAGATCCTAGTATGTAAAAAGCACCAATTATTGCTCGAACTGTGGCGAATCCTTCAGTTTTTGGTGAGAGAAACTTACCAGGATCTTATTTAACACCCGGGTGCAACGCTCCAACTTTTGCGGTAGTCGAGAGGTAGGTACCCCAGGAAATACGTACAGCGGGCTCCGTCCCTCCCGCAATGGCGTGTGGTACTCACGAATTACTTTTCACACGCGAGTTAATTTAATGCCCAAAATTACCGTAACCTAAGGAAAAGGCCCGCTGCTGCAATAATGATAATAACATTAACATTAATGAAAACATAAATCTCGCCTTGCATTGACGGTGGAATTGCGACGTGGAGATCGATACAGTCCTGACAAGGATATCCTAAAGATATCTCTACCTGGTTCAAAGATGAACGAACAGTTGGCCACCGGTGCTTCCTTTACATTCCCCGAGTGCCAGGACCACGTATGTACTTTTTTTTTTTTTACCCCGGGTGTCAGTGTCGGTCTGTATGTCTGTCTATTTGTCTTGCAGCAGGAGCAATATCTTCTTGATACACTTTGCCACGAATCGCCCACGATTACGGGTACCTAGCCGTCATCTAACTAACTGAGTAACCCTTGTCGACAAGACAAGAGACCGTGACTTCGTATGTCTGCGTCTGGGGTATGGGTGTAGAACGCTCATAGAGTAAGATATATTGGATAGGGCCTTGGTGGTGGTAAATTCACACTAAATTGATTGATCTACAGGGTGCTATGCTCGGAAAAGTGTAAAGACACGTGAGAGGGATTTCCGGGCTCAACGCTAAGGGACGCCATACGAGTCCTCGGGTATACCATTAGGCGTAGTGGGTAAGCGTATGTACCCACTGGTACGTTGCTACCAGCTTTTCGAAACCATTGATCTTCAGGGCAAGATGTTTCAGTCGAGCAGGTGATGAATCGGCAATCGGTAATTGTGATACCTACTAATTGGCCAGTGTGAACTTGGGAGGCGCGGTGGGAGCTCGAAGTAGTGAGGGGATGAAGGGAAAAGAAGCACAATAATTGACTGATGATGCTGATATTGGTGATTACATCAGTTGAGTCTCTAGGAGTACGTACTAAAAGTTAATTGTCTTTGGTAAGACATGTCCTCGGACACCGGCCTACGGCCTCTGAGATTACCGGGCAGTTCAGATACGATGAGATATGCAACGACCCATTTACCTACTACTCAAGATAGATAGCATGACATACAAGATTCTGTTCCCTACACAGCCATTATAATTATGGCATTGGATATGGAATTGGATACACGCACCACACAGACCACGACAGCACGCGGACACGCCGACATACGCGTAACTTGTCCGAGGAAGAAGAGAAAGGAAGAGTGGGATAGAGAGGTGGCTGGGCTGGGCGGGCGAACCCTCTCTTAGCAAAATAGCTTAAACTAGCCGATCCAATTCGGCCTTTCCTAACTACCGGTAGCTGCCGCACTGGAGAACACCACAACATACCACGCTAGGCAAAATTCTAATCCCTGGTGGGCTGCCGTTCTGCATCATTATCAACTTCCTAACCTCCTCCTGCCTACTTCTACCCACTCTAACCACTCTACGAAACCCGCAAACCCCTGCAACTGCCGGTCCCGGCTGTTCTCCGAAACACAAAGCTAGAGTAGAATGGGAGAAACCCCGACCTTTGGAAGGGAGCCGATCTGTCTGCTTCCAGAATTAATCGAAAGTGGCTTCTGGAACAAAAATATACACGAGCTTGGGAGCGTGCGTCTGATTGATATCAGATTTCATAGGTGATAACAACCCGCCCGCCCGGTCCCACGCGCCTGGTCCCTCTTTCTATTGAATTGTTTTTCTTGTTTTTATTTCCCCTTTCGCCAAATAAATTACACCATTCAAACACCCCATATGGCATATTCCTAACCGAAAAGAAAAGAAAGAAAAATCAAATGAGCAGGTCTAGGATATGGTATCCGCGTGTTATCGGTGATATGTGGTGATATGGTATGGATTTTGGACCCCATAAGCGCTAGCGACGACGTCGACAGAGACGAAGCGCTTTCCCACAGATGTGTACGTAGGGCAGGGCAGCAGGAATGTCGGGCCTAGGTACAACAGTGATCTTGCACAAAGCCGAACCTTACTTTCAGGCTGTTCCTGAGGGAAAAAAAAAGTGCTGGGCTGGGGTAACAACGATGTCGATGTAGGTCTCAATTGCTGTGCCTGGCACCCGCGTGTAAGTGCCAGAGAGAGTTGATTAGGGCCTAAAATCTCTCATATGCAGATACTCACTTGAAATTTTACATACTCTGCAACAATGCTCTAACAAGAGACTGCGGATTGTTGTACGTAAAGCTTGACTCTTTTTTTGCAACTCACGGTAAAAAAAGAAATGGGAGGACTTGCGATTGCGGGAAGAAACCGTTATTATGTGTCCCCCCCCCCCCCCCCCCCCCCCACGTGCTCCCTTTTCCTCCCCTCTCGTCAGGGTATCATTATCATGTCACTTCCCCCCACCATAGTTGAAACGTGATATAGGAAAACCTCACCTCAAGTGTTTCAGATATATGAAAGTCTTGGTCTTGTCTGGTTTTGATTTCAAGTAATTTGATTGAAAAAGAAGTTTTTAAAGAAGTGAAGAAACACGAAACGATTTGAAACAAGTGAATTGAGAGCCGCAACCGAGATTACAGCTCGCAAGAAGAATAGAAAGAAATACAAGTAAAAAAAGACTAAAGGAAACGCGTGGTCAACACGTCTTTGGTGAAAAAGAAGAAATAAAAAAAAAAAAAAAAAATAGAGAAGTAGAAAATGAAAAATATACCAGCTTCTCCCCTCCTCTCAGCATCCAACTCATGCATCCATAAAAACGAGAGACAATAAAAAGAGAGAAAAAATACAAACATAAAGCTCAAATGCCACCCAAAATAAAAAACGAATGATGAAATAAAAACAATTAACCCCAAGGTGCCCCGAAAAAGCGCAGATAACCAAACCAACCAAACCAGTCCGTACTAATAGTAACCATAGATCAATATAACCAGCTATCAATGTTTTCCGAGAGACGCCCTTTTAGGATTCCCCGGCCCCCGTGTTTTACAAAATCGATCCCGTTCCCGAAAGGTCGAAGAATGGAAGAGAAAAAGTCCCGACGTATTGATTAAAAATCCCTTCTCTGTCTCTTGATTGATAGACAGTAAGCTAGATCCATGATAACCCAAGAAACCCAAAACCCCTCCCTCCAACCCCTATCTTGCCCGTGTTTTCCCCTCCTGCTCCGAATTCGAATGTAGTAGTAGATGATGGTAGGATACCATACCACTCTCCCAAAAGTATTAAGAGTATATATGCTGGTTTTAAAAAAAGTAAATGATTTTTTTCGTGTCGCCTCGTGTCGTGCCGTCCAACGTCGTGAGGTATCTTTTTTTCCCTCCTTTGCAATCGGAGGTGCTACTACAAGTAGCACTTCAGAAGAGAAAATAAAGGAAACAAAAAAACACAATCGCAAGCCCCTCCCCGCCCCAAAATATAAGCGCCTCATTAAGTTTCTTTTGTGCCCACAAAAATCCCCAACCTCCACCCGCAAATGTAAAAACCCCCTCGCATCTAAAATCCCAAGTAACGAATGATATAAAAAAAATTTAAAGAAAATTAAAAAAACAAAAAACAACAGCGCCGAACTCTTTTAAAAAGACAATGCCGCTCCAAAGGACCTATCTGAATCGTATCATTTACTCGTCTCGTCTCCTCTTTCTTCGGCTCTTCTTTGACTCTGAAGAAGTCGATGAAGAGGAGGACATCTTGTCTTTGATCCCTGATGAAGCCTGAGCAGCATCAACAAGCACGATGCCTAAAGGGCCACCCTGCTCCCCGAGCATGCTATCGGAATCATCTTCACCCATCATCTCACCGTCAATGAGAGCCATGTGGATGGTTGTGCTACCGTGAGTTCGCGCGTGCTGGCTGAGGTTGTCAGACCTGGAGAACTTCTTACCACACTCACCACAAGAGAATGGCTTATCCTTGGTGTGGAGCGAGCGGAAGTGGCGCTTGAGGTGCTCCTGGCGGCGGAAGCGTCGGGAGCAAAGATGGCAGACAAAGGTCTTTGAGGGATCCTCAGTCAACGACTGCTTGCGTCCGCGGCGGACGACTGGGGCTGGGGCAGCATCGCACTGGGAGTCTGAAGAGTCACAGAATGAGAGTTCGGTGGGCGCGGGGGTGATTGAAGTCTCGATGCGTCCACCGCAGAGAGGTGCAAGAAGATCGCAATCATCGTTGTACTGCATGTTGCGAGCACTGAGGACGATATCGTCAAGCTCGGCCTCTGAGTCATATGACTCGACCTTGATCATCTTCCTCTGCATCTTTCGCTTCTTGGAAGGAGCGACAGAGCTGTCTCTGGATGAGTCTGATGGGGGCGGGCTCAATGGTGCAAAGAGAGTAGCAACATCACTGTCGAAGCTCTCCTCGTCATCGCTAAGGTCGACATCCTCTACACCCCATGTGGAATCCTCCTCCTCGTCAAAGCAATCACGGTCACGCTTGTTGCTACCGTTTCCAAGCAAAGCAGCTGGGTTGATGGTTCCCTCAGAAAGGCTCATGATACCAGAGACAAGACCATCGTCAGAGTCAAAGTCAGACAGATCGTCGAGACCGAAGAAGCTACGGCTGAAATCCTTATCCTCATTCTTAACACCCATGTGGCTCTCAGTGCCACTGAGCATGAAGTTGTGCTCATCGTCATCACCACAGATTGTTGGTAGTGTGGCAAGGTCAAGGTCCTTATCCGATGCAGATGGGTTAGGTGATGGGTAAGTGAGCTTACGGGGATCACAGAAGTCAAGTTCTGACTGAGAAGAGCAGTCCGAAGCTGGTGAAAGCGAAGGGCAAGCTGAGACGAGTACTGAAGGGCTGCAGGCTGGAAGAAGGTTTGGTGTGTAGATGTATGCTATATCACAAATATCTTAGCAATGCTTTTCTAATCAAGCTTTCTACAAACTTGTCAAGTACCTGGTGTCATTGGTGGGCTGTTTTCCCAAATCTCTGACGGAGTTACAGTGCCGGAGCAGTCATCCAGCGACCACGAGGTGATAATAGGTGTTGTCATTGTGGTGCTCATCGGTGAGGTGCTGATGGAGCTGCTTGAAAGAGTGGGTGTCGAAGGAAAGAAGTACAAATCACCTCCAGCTGGGCCATCCATACCCATCATGGTCGGTGAAGAAGGTGTAAGAAGACCGGTGTTCTTTTGTAGCGATTCGGGTGAGAGAGTTCCAGGCATGTGAGTGATCATGGTAGGTGGCTTCAAGTGTGAGGATGATGGTCGTGAGTAAACTAATGCTGAAGGATAAGGCATATTTGAGCTCTGGTCACTTTGAACTGGGTGTGTTGAAGAACGACCATTAGGATGCGGGAGGAAGTGACCGTGCTGCTTGGTCTGGGAGGTAGTGTCGGGAGTGTAGTAGAGGAAGGAAGATGTTGACTCCATTGTGATATTGGTGGTATTAATTGGTAATTTACGGAACTATTGCGATTAAGTACTGACTACTACGAACTGTTGGCTAAACTAAGGCGTGTTGTGCTCGTAAAAACTGTATGATATATCCTTCTTGTGAACGTGACAAGATATTATTCCTCAAGACCGATTAATGAATGTGGTTGTAGTGAGTGTGAAGTGGCTCCAAAAGATGGTGAGATATTTCGTATATGGTCGAATTGAAGCTATACTGTAGAAGCAAGGCGACAAAATTATAAAGTATTAAAAGGTACCCGTGGTTGTAATTGTTGGTGTATAAAGAAGGAATTCAAGGAACAGTTGAAGAGTTCCAGTGGGTATATAATAGTAGTAGACCGGGGAAATGACCTTTTTTACTTTCGTCGACTAGTGCTATGCCTTTGTAGGAAATATTGGGAAAGTCCAAGCAAAGGAAGACCAAGAAGAAAAATCAAACAAACTCAAATGAAGGAATGGAAAGGCCGACAGCACACAGTACGAAAAGAGGATCCTAAAGGAAATAAAAGAGGGTAAAGTAGGAAGGATGGTGAACTGAAAACCACGAAGAGATGGGCGGGACAGTGGGGAAGAAGAGTAAAATGAAGTAGGGAAGGTAGAGGGCCGCAGCTGGCTGCTTGTTTAGGGAAGGCTACCACACGTACCAGTAATGACCGTAGGGAAATCAAAAAAAAGCAAAAAATGGGCAAAAAAAGATATGTATTCCAATCAATTAATTGATGATGATGGGAGGGTGGGTGGCATGGGTCGACATGGCGATGTGGTTAGATGGTTAGAAGAGATTGTGAACCGAACGATCCACACACCTTACACACCATACAGGTCCATACATCCACCAGCTATCACTGCCTACCACCACACCTGCAACACCTACATACACTCACACACATACAACTCGCTCGCACCCCTCCCACCTCAGCATCCAGGCTTAGAACAGAATAGCCACGCTGCACGTGCTTGGATCGTCCCTATTCAGCCAATTAACGCGGTCGGAAGGGAACAAGGCCTTGAATCTGCAGGTAGGAAATGGACAAAAACTGATTTATTTCCTGCACTTGACAAAAGTAGCATGTAGTATTTACGAGAGCGGTTAGATTGTCTAATAAAGCAACAACGATGAGTGACGGACCTGAATCTCAGCGGCATGAGTGAAGCAGTTAGCAGCTGTGGTGTTGTTGAAAGTTTCTCCAACGGCATCCATACATTATTACCATACCATATCCATAACATCTGGGTATATGCGCCATAAACCTTGGTGGTGGAGAGACAAATCACCACCGTTCCATCCAACGAGGTTCCATAGACGCTGGTCATTCAGTCACTGCCTCAGCAACAGTTTGGAATTATGTATTCTCTTGTTGCCCGTCGCCGCTGAGCACAGGCGTGGGTAAGAGTGACAGTGCTCTATCCCCACGATCCCGCCAATCCAGTTCGAAGCTCGGGTTCCGCCGCAGTCATATTCGTGGGAAGTCAAACAAGGGTTGTTGAACCCGAATCCCTTCACGATAGGCCAGTCCAAGTAGCTAGGTAGGTATCCCGATTACACTGATAGCAGGCTATCGCTATGGCCTCATCAGCTAAGCGGTCAGATCTCGGGCCCTGCAATCAATAATTGTCAGTCCAAAGAAACCCATCAGGCGGCGATTCTTTGTCGCATCTCCGCCCTCCTACAACACCCAAATGCCGCGTTCCTTCGGCCAGTATGAATGGAGATATCAAGATGAGCGCGGCGATGCGCCACTGCCTCGGCCACACTCGAACAACAACACGCAACTGAGCTCAAAAAATGCACACCTGGTTTTGCGCCCCAGGTAATAAACATCATTTCGTCATTTATTTGACTTCGCCACCCTGATAAACCACTTTCTTTGGTTCTGCGGTTTGCCGCCCTTGCATTTTCTAGTTGATGTTGCATCATCGCGCGACTTCGAGAGAGCAAAACAGCTGAACATGTAGAGCTAGCGAGAGAAAGAAAACGTTCTAGTGAATAAGCAACCGAGGGAAGAAAAAAAAGAGTTTGATCAACCACGACCATCATCACCCACACACCCACACACACCCGCACTGATCCAAAAAAAGGCATTTAGTTCGTTGACGAGCCAAAAAGCAAAACGACTCTGAGAGCACCTAAAGTACTAAACGGGCAGGGAAAGAGCATCCATCAAGCTGAACAGGGACTTCCCTGCCAATCTCGTCGCAGCCGTGTCTTGACTGGGACACCAACCGCGAAGCTCCGTGGGGTCAGCTTTTGTCCATGCACACGAGCTTTGCGCGTGTGTGTGAATAGGAAGGACGAAGGTTAGCAGCGTGGGTTGTGGGGATGGTTTATTGACCAGGGCTTTCTTCCAATGGGGTGGAGTATGTTTCTATCGAGCAACCAATTGCCGGTCCGCTCGGCGGAAAATGTGATGCAGCCCAGGACGGTCAGGGCGCTAAGACATCCTCATCCACAGGCACACTTACGCAGGAACCAGAGTATGCCTCTAACAACGGTTCAGGAATAGGCGAGAAACCCCGTTCTCCCCCTCCCCTCCAACCCTTCTGGCACGCGACGCCGCCTCTAGATATTTCCCTTTACCCCAGAGGGAGCGATAAACGATTAGGCCCAGATAATCATAATCGTTGATAGCGTTAGAACCTTGGGGGCGGAGGTAAAGTAGAGTTTAGATAGGAGGAGGTGGTGGCGGGGATATGCTACAGGAGGGAGGAGGGGAGGGGTTGATGATGATGGGGGCCGTTCCAGCTTTCTGCCATCCATCTTTCATCTATCTGCTCTTCTTTACCTGCTTTACAGCCGGTCTTGGGGCCGAGCCTATCGAACGGCATCATGATCCCGCGATCTGGCCTTTTCGGTTCTATCTAGCCTCGGATCACTGTCGTCAATGGATCCTGGACTCTTATGTAAAACCGCCTGGTAGGTGAGGACGGTGCATAGGTAATCTTGAATCCTCGGGTTCCGTCGTAATCCGCGAGTACGGTTGGTATGTATACATAAATAACATGGGCGTGAAGAAACACAAAAATAACCTTCCACTTGATCATTTCGCATAAGGATGTTCCCTTCTACTAGATATCTCTTTAGTCAGACAACAAATGAAAAACGTGCGGTATTGCGAAAAACGGAAGAAAAACCCAATAATAATCATTTGTAGAAGTGAGCATATGAGAGGTCGAGGGAATTTGAGGGCATCGTAATAAATCAACCCAAGCCTAAAATAGAAGCCCGCATCAGTATCATAACTTGTTGCCTGCCTGCTGCAGTGCGCCCGCAATTTACCAGAAAACAAGAATCAAAAAAATAACCCACACCCACCCAAACGAACCTACCATAACTCTTACTTTACCTACATGAGTGCTTCTCAAAACTGAACTGACGGGCTCCACACACCCAACGAAGAAGACTAGCCGACGTTCCTGACGATCTTTTTCCGTATGTTGTCCCTGCAGCCCCCCCTCCACCCCCAATAGATTGACTTCGTTCGAAACCACGGGAGGAGAGTTCGGTATCTCTGCCGTTGCTTTACACCTCTTTCCTCTCCCATGCGATCCCGAAAGTTCATGTCGCGGGTGAGAAATAAGGTGTCTCCGCTTTCGTTAACTATTTTACCGTCCGTCACTCTGCCGGAACGACAAGGATCGGAAGAGAATCGTGCGAAGAAGAAGCATGAAAAGGAAAGGAAGCTCAGAAAGAAGATTGAGCATAATCTAAACAGCTGCAATTGGGGGTTAGAACGGTCGTGTCAAAAATTAATTAACTGTTAATTGCACAACTGGCCTATCCATGGTGGTGGTGCTACTCTAAAGCTATCACTAGCTAGCCCCCACACGTTTCCGACAGGACAGAAAGCAGCTTTACCATCGCAGTGGCCATTGACGTTGTGATAGCCATGGCCCTTATCATAAGAGAAATTTCGATAAACAAGAAAAAAACGCAATAGCTGAGGGACCGCGTTGGCCTGTCGTTGCACTTGTACCTATTTTTCCCTCCCTCAGAAACAAGATGCGATCGGGGACGGCCCTCCGTATCTCGAGATGGACAGTCACACGAGACAAGAGGGAAGCAAAAAATATTGTGAGTTATGTAACCAACCACAGCATCAGATCAGCTTCTTTGAATTGATATGCGGGCGCTTGCGACATTTACTCTTCACCGACCGACCAGTGGTTGCACCTGGTGTGTAGGTATGTATAGTACAGTAAGGAAAGTGCCATCATCATCATCGCATCACATCGCACGAGGTTCTTTTTACCCTACGAAGTGAGAGAGATCAGAGACTTCACTATCGCTGGTTTGCGGGGGACACTGCAGCAGTAAGATTAAATCCCACAAACCCTTCGAAGCGACAGCCATAGAGATCTCTCAGTCTGAATTCGTGGGTCATGTTGCAACTTTATCTTTGGCCTATTTTCAGCAGAATGATAGAAAGAAGCCGCCGGGCCCTGCGCTGCAACTGGGGATAACCGCAATGTTGGAAATTTCTTTTTCCCAACAAACGGCCGCGGCGATGGATTGATGCAGCCAAGAACGAAGAAGACGAGACGCGCGAGACAGAAAACGAGAGGGTATTTTGGTATGGCCTGCTGCCCTGTTCCTCCCCTCCGGGCCAATGATCACCTTATCGAGAAGAGGGAAAACCAATGATATGTTTCCCTCACAAAACAAGATGCAACAACAACAAACCGATAGGGAAACAAGATATCCTACGGTGGGCGCGTATGCTTACGGTTACAGAGGTTACGGGGGCGCGTTCTGCTGTAGATCTTGTGGAATAGAAATGCCTAATCCATCTTGTTGTCGTCATCTCGTCTCCGAAGCTTAGGAAATGGGTTTCCATTTCTGTGCGTGATTCCTGGCCTATCCATTTGCTCCGCTTCCTTCCAGTGTCGATGTTTCGCCATACATCATAGGCACGCGGCGTCCAGTGACAGCGTTTGGTATTGGATGGAGCTGCAAGACATCTTGAGGTACTCATGTACCTACTGTATTTTAATCATATCATTACATTCTTCAACTTCTCATGCACATTACCTACTTACAAATATCTTTCTCCCTCGTTTTCCAGATGAAACGGCAAGGAGCATTTTTTTTCTTCTCTTCCCTTCTCCGTCCGCTATCAATGATATGCAAATCGCAAAAAACAGGTAACACCCTCCATTTGCTTTTGGAAACACCACACACGCGCGCATTGTGTTTCCTGCTGCCAGGCTCATGATATAGACGACATGAAAGCACGGGAACCCGCCGACGAGGAGCGGGAAACCTCGCGCTTGACCTCATTCTCTTGTTGTCACCCTTACTAGAGTACATAGACCACCGTTTCCGATCCACGGGACAGGAACGAGCGAACGAGAGCAGAGGAGGAAGGCAAGACAGACGCCAACAGGGTGCAAGAGGAAGAAGAAACAGGGACAACAAGCATCCACAGCAGGGACGTTTTTGCGTCAGGTGACAGACGATTAAGCCCCGAGCCCAACGATGGAGGCGGCGGCTGCTTGATTGAAGCTTCAGGGTCTGAAAATCTTACTAGGTACATACATGTACTAGCAGCTCTACGGTACTGACGGGTGATCTTGCCAAGGAAGGAAGAGTAAGGGTCTACTACTAACTTCATTAAGCTCTAGAATAGTGGGGGTGGTGATGGGTGGTGATGCTCTATTAATCGAAAGCGGACCCTGTTCGCCAAGGCTTATTTATACATAATCAATCGGCTGCCCCGAGCCCTAACAGATGGCAGCAGTCCCAAGCCCCGTAAAAATAATTCGCCGCTCGCCTCAAACAAAAGCCGCGCTCGTTCCCCCTGGAGCTTTGCTCCCTCCTTCTTTTTTTTTCTCTTTGTGCGGCGATTTGCCTTACCCGTGTTGCCCGTCCGCTTTTTCATCAGTGGTGCAAGAGTTTCAAAACTCCGACGGCGCGTCCGGTAAATCACAGAGAAAATTTAATTGCAGATGAAGGTCCCCCTCCATCCTTTCCTTCGGCCCACAGCCATTCCCCTCGCTCTTTTATCGGAGCGGGTGGGGTGGTGACGATAGGAAGTGGTGAGGGTATTCATACATACCAAAACGTTCCAGTCGGCTCTCTCTTTTTTTTTAGATAGTTTTTTTTTATACGATCATGTATATATAGAGCAGAGCAGTGTCCCTAGCCAATTGGCTAGAGATAAATAAAATTTAAAATTGCAAGAAAAAACAATTCATGATTAGAAGTGAAATCGATTCAATCAACCGTGCGAAATCAGATCACCACCCATTCGATTCTTCCACCCGCTAGGTTGGTTCAATTGCCATTGATCAATCAAGTAAGAAGCAGAAAGGTCCCCCAGAGCATCAATCAATCTCAATCTCTAAACATCAGACGTTTTGCCTTATCTTGTGATGGATGACAAGCCTGACGTGATGATGCCACTTGCCGGGCCATGATGGGAGGGATAGGAGGACCGTGCCTTCCAATTGTTTTCTCGAAAAAGAGAACGGTGTACTCTAGGAACAATTAATCGCGAGAGAAAACACTGTGTACTCTACCTACAGTATGGCTACACAGCATCGGAAGATTTGAAGGTTTTATCCACGGGCTCTCCCAAAAACAGCCAGCCCCCAAACTTTCAATTGCTGATATTGTGGTCCTAATATGCCTCTTCCTGTTCCGGCATGTGGTTATCACCAACTCTTACCTACTCTACAGCACTCTACTTACCGTACCTACATGTAGGTACATACATCCAGCTTCTCCACCTATCAATCCATGTTCCTGCCGCAACCGCAAAAAAGTAAACTGATCGACAAAGCAAATAAACCGCTGGAATGTCAGGACATGGGAATATCAGATGCCGCGTGGGATGGATACTCTAAGATAGATGGAGGGAATCTTTTTTCGATGACACTCTAGAAGCCGGCCGCGGCGGCGGCAGCGTCATCATTTCTCACTTGCTTTTTTGTACTCCCACTACCTACTTCGAGGCCCCACGAGATCTCGCCTCAGAAAAAAATATCTCCCATTCTGAAACGGCCTCAGGGTCCTCAAACAGCTTCCTATATCGGGGGCGGTGGTGTTTTTCTGCACGACGTTTGCCGAAGAACGAAACATACACGCATACATAAAACCGCCCTCTTACCTTGACTGCCATTATTTTCTTGCTCCTGCGACTGCATACATACATCACCCTACGGCGTGCTTGTGTCCTGCATCATGTGTGGTGCCTGTCTCTCTCCACCGACCAAAAACCTGGTGAAAACGTAGAGTACTCCCGGACGGCTCTAGGGTATGCTGTATGTTTAATGTAGGTACCTACTCTGAGAGAGAGAAGAGGGAAAAAAGCAGAGGGTCTCGTCTCCACATCCCACTAAATGCGCCCCCGCACACCAGACCCGCGGTTACATTCCCTTCTTTTCCTTCCTTCTTGCTGCTTTTCACCCGGGAAAAATGATATTCTCCGTTGACAAGCCCGGCCCCCAGTTTGATGGGGAAACGTCCTAGCCGGGTCGGTTAGTCTAGGTAACACTAGAGTGCTGGTAGTAGGAGACGGTACCGGTACCTGCTCTAGAGTAACTCCTAGCTACATGGTACTCCACACACGTGCTCTGCGTCCACTCTACTCTGGGTATGTAGAAGTAGACCTTTCGATGGCCTGCAGTTAGTGGTAAATTAACATCAGTAAGTTGCAGAACAGCATGGGCATCTGCCAGCGAATAGATAGATGCTGGTGATGATTATTGCAGTGATGGTGATGACCTATCACTCTATCATATCACAAACAACCACTTACCTACCTACTCTAGACTCTCCAGCTGCTCTAGAGTTGGTAAAAAAGTAGTTTCAATAGAAGCAATTCCAAGCAGTAGTTTACTTTTTCTGTTGTACCTACACGTTCCCTCCTGCACATCAATCAAATGTTGCAACAGCAGCAAAACAACACTCTCCCTGGTCCCTGGAAACAACAAAAGAAAGAGTATGAGAAAAATCCAGAACAAGACAAGACACCCACTGCATCATCATCATCATTCCATACATCGCCGTTTTGCTGTTTGGAAATGATCATGAGGGAAAAAAACGCAAAGCACAGACCGTCACCTACTAAAGGAAGTAGGTGGACTCGATAAACAAGTTCCCATCCAATCCACCACCCTTCCTCCCAAGCCCCCATCCACCCCCCCGTAAACGAGATAGAGAGAGCCATGGACACGCCGGCCGATCTCCGTCCGACAGAAGCTCAATCGAAAGGTGGGGTGGTGCTGCTGCTCGCGATTTAACGCCTGTACCCTACGGGGGATATTTCCACATTCTGCATAAATTCGATGGAATCCAATCTGCGCCGCGCGCCGCCACGGATATGTGAAGTGGATGGGCCCACATGACATGTATGGATAACGTAAGGGTAAGTTACACTTCCACTAAACACCTGGCTCTCTCTCTATCTTTCTCAAAGACGAGGCTTGCAAGGTATGTCGAGTAAGCTAGGTAGCAATAATCCACTTAACCAACCCTAGATACAGTGTGTACCCTCTACCCTACCTCGGCTGTGGAGTGTGGATGATGTGGTGTCGTGTGGCATGGCATGGTGGCATGGTGGCATGGCATGGCACCGGTATTCTACAGTTCGGTTGCTATCAACTGTGCCTGCTCGGATATCTGAACTACTCTGCTGCTGCTCGGGAGTGTACAACTGTCACGGCACTAGACACACGGACACAGACCGACACCTTCTCTTGTCGTTGCTGTTGGTGTTGGTAGAAGTACCTATATGTAGGGTAGGGTATGTACTCTACTCTAGATCTAGGGTACCTAACGGTACTTGGTAATTACTATATGTAGGGTTTCAGATGACTTGACCCTGAACTAGGTGAGTTGTACCCGGGAAGTAACGAAGAATAGAGTAAATATACCCGTAAACGGGAAAACAACTGATCAACCCGGATGGATAACCACAAAGCGGGTTTATTCTTCTCGAGTGAGAATGTATGCAAGCGATGGAATTCAATTTTTTTAAAAGTGAAAGATTAATCTAAAGAATTAAACGTCGATATTCGTGTTTTCTCTATCAGGTATCCATTTGGCTAAATTCTAATAGCACGAAAAAGAAGAACTAGAGAGAGACAATTTCTTTTGTGTGTGATCGCCGAAACGATGTAAGCATCATTTCCACCTAAAACACCCCGCCATTTTCGCGTGAATTCATCACTTCCGTAAAATCATGGGATATGTAGTGCTGGACAGTAGTAAACAGTAGCGCAATCTAATTACTACTAGTATTGAGGGATATTTTCCCCGCTTTTCTATTCGCCCTGCAAATCTCCAACCTTCTCGAGCTTGCCCATATCCTTCTTCTCACCGCTTTCGCCAATGATTCTGATTCTATCGACTCTAACCGTTTCTGCACCTTCCCTTTCAACGTCGACAAAAAAGATTGTGAGTGAGCTCACATTCTGAAACTTGACGAATCTCATGGTAACGCTTGCAGTCTCAGTCTTTTCATCCCAATCTTCGGGCTTGAGTTCAATGACCTGGGTTGGGGCCCTTTCATCGTCAAAAGACAAGATGTTGGGTGTGTTGGAGTAGATATTTATCCTCCTGGGGCGAGATGGGGTCTCATCATCATCCTCATCATTAGGTTTAGGTGGGCATGAGGTAAACTGAATGGTATGGATCTTGACAGTTGATTGGAACGGGATGAACAGCATAAGCTGTTCATCGGTATCAGATTCAACCCAATCCGCTTCCCCGGTACCGTCCTTCCCTTTGCCCTTGTTGCCTGTAGATCGCCTGCTAGGCTCTTTGGCTTCAAATAGAGTCCTCGCGCCTCCAAACTCGATGTTTGCGTTCATGAGGTCCAGCCCTTTGACATCGACCTGGTCTGTGACATCGCTGTAGCCCTTCGGGAGCGCACGACCAGACCATGAAGAGGAGCCACCAGAGGAGGAGGCTGGGGGAGCAGCGAAACCCTTAGTTGCGGATGCAGAGCCGGTAGAGTTGATAGCTTCGGCTTCCTGTGCGAGCTTCCTGACAACACTGGTTAGGGCTGGGATGTTGGCGCCTTGTACACGTTCTACTTCTTCGCCTGATTTGAAGATGAGGAAGGTTGGCATGCTGTCAGAGGTGTTAGTTAGCACATCGTACGTAGGTGATTAATGGAAATCAAGCACGAGGACAACGTTCGGGTAGATCAACAAAAGAGGGAGGTACTAACGCAGTAATACCATATGTCCTCGATAGTTCCTGGTTTTCATCCACATCGCATTTTGCAAAGGCAATTTTGCCTGGTGACGAGAGCTTCTCAGACAGCTTCTCGTAGATTGGAGAAATTGCTTTGCATGGTCCACACCAGACAGCAGTGACTATATGAGACAAAGCGATTTATTATTAGCCACTGTGCATGCCGAACAGCAGCTTGAGAGACAATGTTTTGGGTGATGAAAAATGGAAACGCTTTCAATAAAACAGATGAAGGGATTGAGTAAACGGGCAGTTAACTAACAGTCAATAATGACAACTGTGCTGTCCTTGATTAATTGTGTGAGCTGCGGCCCAGAAGTTATTTTGATCGTTTTCCCCGTCGTAGGTGACCCACTCCCACTGGAAGCCATTGTTAAGATATTTAGGGGTAATGGGGTATCGGAGATAGATGATAGGTGAGGTTAATAGACGCGTCGCGATGGAGTTGAGAGTGCTGTGTGGTTGAGGTGACGTTGCGGGGTTGTGACGCTGAGTAAAGCGACACACGTGATCCTCAGATAAGCCTTTCACATGAGATATCACTCGGTATCTGTCCTCAATGCCGTCATGTACCTTTTATGTACCTATTATGTGCGCCATAACATGTATGATGGCAGATTACAAACGAAAGACAGATTACAGCGATACATTATTGAATTACCTTGGTAATACCTACTTTGGCCATCACTCAGCTATCTTATTGAGCTCTGTCATTTGTCTTATGCATGTTCCTGTAGAAACATTTCTCCTTTTTATACAGATCTCATCGAGATATTAATAATAAAAAGAAAAACCGAAAAAAATAAATAAATACTGTGCATTTTTATTGGACCTTCGCCTGTCAAAATCATAAAATGCCTTTCCAAAGGTGCATCTAGGTTTGTCCGTAGAATTGTCAATCCGGCCGACCATCTGTCTTGCCATACATGATGTACTATACTATGGTCGGTACACTAGAGAATGATGGTGTATGTACATGTGGTTTCTCTAGCCGCTGGCCATATTTGGTCATCTGTTTTGAACGCCCCCTGGCCTCCCAATATTAGCTCAAAAAGGCAACTTCAACGTCTTGTGTGACTAGCCGTTGGGAAGAATTATTTCAAATCTTTTCTTTCTCCCCTGGTTCTCGAAAAACTCTCCTTAGCTACCGTTGGACTTATCGCTAAATACAATGACTATATGTTCTACCCCTCGTCACCCGCTCTTCCATGTTTAGCTCCGTAACTAGGAGCCCCTATTTTGACCCCTATAATTGACCCTACATACGTGGCCACATCCACCACGAACACATTTAGTGGTATAAGATCCCATGGATCTTGATTTCTCTAGCCAAACCTCAGTCAATCTCCGTACAATTTATATTTCGGCAACGAATGTTTCCTCATAGCACACGGCGCAGGATATTATTGATCGACGGATCAATGCTCATTAATTTTAATCACGTCAAGAGGCCCCAATTTAAGTCGGCAGTTTAAGGTTACTTGGCTATCTAGGAACAGTAGTAATCCTAAATATCGACTTAGCACATTGCGTCTTGAAGGAGATTTTATCTATCGATAGACTATATGGCATGCGATCTTTAGTAGGCTATATATAGCTACCAATATCCGGCACCGCGGGTCTGGGATATCATACAGTCATCAGTTCCTTGAAGGCTCTCACCCTCAGATCTAAGGAAATATTGAGATGGTTTGGTTTTGTTTGGTTGAAACAGTCATGCGGATAAAAGGGGTCACTCGACGATAGAGCTGCGATGCCATGGGCGAACAATAATAGGCTTGGATTACATCTGATAAGAAACGGAACTCCCGATTCCAGAACTTTACACTCACTCCCTTGGTTTTACGCCCGGTTATGGACGCAGCCGGTAGCTCCACCAGAATACACATACGTTTACTATATATAACCTTTGGCACTATGGGGGGGTTACAACTCGACGGATATTTTAGGAAACGCATACTTGGAACTATATTCAAGGGGTGGGGCAGGAGCAAAGACCATGACCTTTTAGGTTATAATGGGATCGTGGATAATTTCCTCTTTTGGAATTAAGATTAGATTCCAAAGAACCTTGATATCACGATATGATTATCTTAGGGGTTAGACCTAGGCTGGTGTTGAGGAATTTCGTGGTGCAATAGGATGTCGCGACACTGCTACCATCAACTGACTGGCAGATGAACGAAGTGAGGGAAATTCATGATCTCAAATAGTGGGCGACACATACTGGAGCCTTACACGGATATATAATGCGGATATATCGATCGCTATGTTGTCCTGACACCTTTTACGCACAGCGGTGGAGAACGGGGGCTAAACAGGAGGGCAATTCATATCATGTCTTACTGCATAGGATATTTACCTGGGTCCTAGTGTGCTGAGAAGAATTGGCAGATGGATTGGAATACTGGTCGGTTTTCAGTTTTGTACACGGCGTAACGTTGGTCGTACAGGGTACACAGGAGGGCGGGGGTGCATACAATGGGGTTTTTTTTTATTAATTGGGAACTATCTATGCAAAATGGCGTTCGATATCTCTGCATTATTAGGGTTTTCAATCCAGTAGGGGCATCCATATCAGGTTGAAGACCAGCAACAGATATATGAACAGCGAAAAAACAGAACGGGTGGGAGATATCTTAGGATCACCCATCGTCAAAAAAATAGAAGTTATCGACAGAACAGTAATGGTAGTAGGAATCAAAACACATGTGGGCTCGTGGGTAGCCACCGAGGTATGATATTCAGGAACACTTTAAACGGAGTATACTTAATCATAAAATATCACTCGTCACAAATTCAATCTGAAGTATCCGATGGGACTGTACATGGAAAGAGCGTTTGGTAGGGGCGTATGTCTAGGCTTAACTGCGTCCACAAAAAATTGTATATACAAACAATTACGAGTAATCATTGACATTGCCATGATCTGCAAGAGGATGGGCGATGGGCGTTTTCTTAAGAGTTGCATTAATTATATCACTTACTAGTTTAACATATCAATCGGTCAGATCCGTGTTTTTTTCTTCTCAAAACCCAAGTTACCACCCGAAGAATACACAGTATCATGTTTTAACGGGCGATATGTGGCCAGGGGATTGATAAAGTCTCCAAATGGTAGTAGCACTTTTGTTGGTTGTTGCGTATCGTCTAACAAATTTTTCTCTTTTTCAGTGCTTCAATCCGAGAGTTTTTATTTTAACTTTACCGGTCAGGCGAAAGAATTAGAAGCACAGCTGTGTGTGAGTTGAACATATACCCACCTCAACCCTTCTTCAAGAAGAGGACATCAGAGGATGTTAAGGTATTTCAACCGGTCTTTTCCAACCATTTGAGGAAATCTTTATTACCTTATATTGTTGTAGACTGAGTAAAAATCTATCCTCAGACAAGATGACAATCACCTGGCCCAGACTATTCAGACATCCCCCACATGCCCCAAGGAAGGTAAAAGAAATTACAAGGGAACAGCAAGGGGAAAAAGGGAAGGAAATGAAAAGTAGATAAAAGGAGTCGAGCAAGGGTATTTAAGCGTTGAGAAAAGGTTAAGATGATTATTGGAAAAACATCCAAGAATCCTGTGGGGGGATATCGAGGCCATGATACGGACTCATTCATATAACGCAGTGCATACCTTCAATCAATCAATCATACTCAAAATCATATTACCACACCACCTTCCAAAAAGAATCTCAAGACGCCCGTGAGTCACCCTTCAGCCTCTCCAAATATGCAATTGTGCAAATCCTGCTTGCAACGCCTGCGTTTCCTCATTTGGTATAGGCATCGACCATAGACCTCCATCCCACGCTCTTTCAACCTCACGACCGGTTTCGCGCTCCACCAATTTCAAACCGGCGATAGCCCAATCTGCAGTTCGTTGTGTCTCTCTGACAAAATTATGTACCCTAATCCTCTCTCTATCGACAGCTCTTTTCGCATCTGACAACTTTCCTGGGCTTTGAACCCATTTATTATATCGGTTTAGTTGACTGAGCTCCTTGCAGCCCCATGTTGGGCAACTCATTGAGCGTTCCCGCGGATAAGCGCTGCGACGGGAGTTTTTGGCCCGAAGTCGTCCCTCACGGATCTGATTTTTCGATTGTGGCGGAGGAGAGGCTGGGCCATTAAAGAAGTCCCATATGGTTGGCAGCGTATACCATACACGTTCCCTCCGGATTTCTCCGAAGATATGTAGAATTTCCTCAATAAATTCACAGTAGAATAGTGAAATATCGATCTCTATAATTTTCATGAACCGCGCACGACCTGGGTTGTGGGCTGCCCATTCTTGGGATCGAGACTTGAAGACCGAGTCTTGGAAGCGATTTGACATTAACCGTGGCGCCGACATAAAGTTGATGTGAGGAGGAATTCGATCCTCAGTACGGTTTTCTGAATGGCCTGTATAACTCTTTTCAGGGCAATTGGAATGCCGTTTTTCCGGTATCGATTTCTTAGTTCCCTTATTGATTTCTGGCTCGCAATTCTCTGACTTCACGGTACAATCAACTACATCTAGAAAACGTTCCAACATTGGGGGCTCAGCCCTCGAATTAGATGACCCACTCTCGTCTGAGAGATTTTGCCCATCGATAACTGTTTCTCCCGCACCCATGCATTGCGAGCAGTCATCTGCACATGAACTGTCGGTAGAATTAATAGAGCCATCGGTCTGATACTGTGCAGCAGTTGAATAGTATTTTAGAGGAATTTGTGTGCCGAGAAGTAAACCAATCATATTAAAAAGCCAATATGATGAATTTGCAAATGCATCCGGGTCGAGATCGAAGCAATAATCAGCTCTGTTTCTAAGATGGGATACTCTGGCACGTCCACCCCGACTACCATACCTATTTGCTTTGAAAGTAGGACCAGCCAATCCCAAACCAATTAGCATTTTTTCTAAGTTGGGAGTATCCCAGAGTTGAATCCTGTCAGGCTTTTCGTCGAGATTAGAGATTGCCCTTGAGACTATGGCCCTTCGCTGGTCAGGGGTAATCATATCCCATTCATCCTGAAAGACAGTTTCGATCTTCAGGAACTGGACTCTGAGGAGGTTTTGATGAAATAAGAGTCTGTCGTATGACTTACTCCAGTACTCAACGAGCTGGGGTGTGTTGAAAAAAGTCTCTAGAAGTGGATCGGGGTAGTAGGCATTGGTGCTGTCAGACAGGATCGGTGATGAATTTATTCGCGTGAGTGGATTATGCGCAGGAAATGGTAAGGACCTTGGGCTGTTGGTGGTGTTTCGATACCGGTCGACAGGAAAGTTATGGTAAGAGCCAGTCGGTTCAAACGATTTTGCCTGAGCTGAGAGATATGGTTTACTTTGTGGATTTCGTGTTCCAGAAAGGTGGTTCGAGGAGGGAGTTCCCAACTGGCTACCCAGTTCTGGGTATTCTAAAGTTTCAATGTTAACTGGAACTTTTTGATACCTAGGGCTTGTATCACTTATGCGGCCTGTGACGATCGAGCTCCAAGATTTTCTAGAAGAAAGGGAAGTCGGGTTACCAGGGAGTGGATCTTCAACAGGAGCAGAAACCCCAGAGGTCTCACTTCTTTCATTCGGAGGTGCGGCGGGGCTCTTAGGTGAAACGGACTGAGAAGTCCGCTCAAGATCAGCCCTTGAATCGTTATTCCGCCAATTTGCTACATTTGCCCATGTACTTTTGACCACTGGTATTGGATCTGAAGGAATCAAAGCTCGGGAAACTTCCCTCGACTCTTCATTTCTTCTATCCACGCCAGAAACAGCTTTAGCATAGTTTAAAGTGACGTGATGCCTTTTAGTTCGGGTATTGCACTCGGAAGATAGTTGTTGTTGACTTGCTAACATAGCTGGGTTAGTGTTTGAGTTGATGAAGGTAGGCAAGGCAACTGAATGCTGCTGGTCCTCATTATTTTTGTTTAAACCCGAAACAGCTCTGGCATAATTTCGTCGTTCTCCTCTAAATTCCTTTGGGTTTCTATGCGATGAGTTCTGACTGTTTCTTCTCTTTTTCGCGTCCGGAGCCTGTCTACTAATAGAGCTTTCTTCACTGATCACAACTGCGTCCTGTTCTTTCAAAAGTGCCTGTGCTTCCCTTTGGTATGCTTTCTCATCAATCGGCCTAGTAGAATTGCTTATATTTTCCTTGCCGATAACGAGGAATCCGGTTGAGGGAGCCGTGGGTGGCACTGACTGGGCTGTTGTCTCTTTCAAGCCCGCAATCGGTAAACTCACCTTCTCGAGTCCGGAGCTGTTCTGATATTGGCTTAGATTCACTTTCTGTCTCTCAGATGCAGAATCGTTTTCGTCTGCCCACTCTTTTATGATAGTTTTAGCGACCTCGACCCTGCTCCCCTCAGTCAATTTGGACGCAACAGTTGGGCTTTCTCTGGTATTGTCCAGGTTTGAGACACTTGCGATGCTGTTCCTCAACTTAGGGGATCTCTGATGCGGTGGTGTCTTACGTCCGCTCGGGTTAGGGATCGGAGTGTACTGCGGGGTCCAGTTTCGATAGTTTCTTTCAGAAACCTCTAACCTTTTGACAGCAGGTCCTCCCCACGGGTGTCTAGGACCAAACTTTCTGCAATGGATCGGATCTGTTGAGCTTTCCCATTCGAAATCAGCGTTAGACGTAACATTAGGAGGAACTGAGGTTGGCCCTATAGTAAATACACCGGTCGATCTAGAGCGAGGATGCGATTGTGAACGTATATTGGGCATAGGTCTTGGTATATGGGTACTTTGCGGGATTCTTGGAAGGTTATAGATATTTCCTATATTTCCTGGGTGGATAAAGCCTGCGTCATACCCTATATGACCGGGTGGATGTCCCGAGTAGTAATGTGATTGGGGATAGTAAACTGGCGTGCGCAGGTGAGTCTCTCTATATTGAGTTGATGGGTCCAGCGAATATATTGGCGTTGATCCATGTGACCCCATCCTTTCCATGTATTTCATGGCATAGGCAGCATCCACTGAGACCCCGGTCATCATCTCTACCCACTTTTTCATTGCTCGAGAGACGGCTGCATCAGACCCTAAATTATTTGTTGTATCTCTCATCTGGTTAAAGTTGGTCTCAATTTTTTCCTTCCACCTAGCCAGCCTTTCCCACTCGTTCGGTGTGATAACATTGAAAAACGCCTGGAAGCGTTCACGGCAAGTTGAGGTATCGCAGCGGTACGGAAGAAAGATATAATTCAGAACGTGGTGGTGGGGTTCCATTCGAGTGGCCCTGCGCTGGTGTTGTTCCGCATATCCATGGTCTTTCTGTTGTATGCTATTACTGTCGGTGTCTTTCGCCGTGAAGTTGGTCTCGAGCAAAGTATAGAAACGCGAGTTGCCAGCTGAAGCGGGGAGAGATGACTTGTCAAATTGCTCGATAATCTCTTTGAGGTGGAGATATCCCTAAGACCAGAAAAAAGTATCAGATTCCATTAATTTGATGGAAAGAGTAAAGACTTACAGGATTGATCCTAGGTTTTTTTATCGTGCTGGTACTAGGAGGGAGAGGTGGGGCTGGTGGCGGAGGTGGGTTTGGATTGACTATTGGAATGGCTCTAGAAATTCTGCGACGTGGTCTGGCCTGAAGTAGAGAAATGCCGTCAGAGGGCAGATATACACAGCCAGTATTGCGATGATTTGGCTGCGAAGAGTACATGGCGCAGTCTGGTAGAGTTGGAGGTTTCTGCTATGGTGAGATGGGCCAGTGATGAAATTATTTATCTGGGATAGGTAAAAGGAGGAAAGGAAGGTGGAACTTTGTTTCACACAAAATAACTGCTAAGATTTGTTTGCATTGATGCTGTGCTGTGCTATTCGAGTATGTAGGTTAGGAGATCAATGTGTGTGTGTGGGGTGAAAGGGTCCATGACATTTAAGGTTCGCTTTAGGGCTGTGGCTACAAGTAAGCACAATTTTTTTCTCAACAGAAAACAGGGTAATAATCCGTGCCCTAGGTTTGCAAGACAAGCTCTCCCGGCTCCCCATTTATCCTTCGTAAGTACATATTATGGCCGATTTACTTAGAATTGATTATGCTAGCTTGAGTATATTTGTTCTGGGATGAGCGCTACATGTACTCTCATTTATGGACTGCAAGTTTTCTCCTAAGTTCGCTCGGACAAGAGCACGGAGAAAGCTGGAAGTAGCTGGAGTATGATAGACTTGTTGCAGTTTGGTTGCATCATAAGATATCACTCGGATATTTAAATGGAATATACGACCCTATAAATAGGAGGTAAATCAAGAAGGGAAAGACTATGACAAAGCATTGTAGTCTCCCAAAAAGAGATACGTGTTTGATATCTCGAATCTGCACAAGCTATGATTTATTACCACCCTATGACCTTTGTCATCTACATAGCGATATTAACGGTCTATGATTTTATTGGATGGGAGTATCTGCGGGGTGTGGCTTCTCTTATACATGGGCCGTAGTGGCAGAGGGTGTGTTCTGCACTACATGTATGTCTGTACTCCAGCTGTATGTATACACGGACGAAACCTTTCTTGTAAAGAGACTGTAGGTACGTGTATGTCATGCTTGCCCGAGTCTTTCTGAATGGGGCAACCAGCCCCTGAATTAAACAACGATTCTCCAGAGAGCGGCGTAAATTCTTTGATTAGAAACATTACTATAATACCTTGAGTTTATTACAACTCTCGTTTTCATGGTGAGCCTTGGAGAAGGTCTTAATCAGGCTGCCTAGAACAACCCACTACATGTATGCTTGAACGGCCCTTCTAGTTAACCTTCAACCTGGATGTAGTCGAAAAATTGTAGCAATCTTTGTTGGCATGTGGCTCTCGAACCATGAATTAAAACAACAACATTGGTCCTGGTACGATATAGGTGGGCCAGCCAATCTGATTGAACATTATTTCCGTCTACTTTGATACTTTTGAGCTATAATGCTCTAGTGCGTGACATGTACATCATCAGTAATCACTCGATGTAGTTCATATTGGCTTGGCAAAAGATATTTTTTTGAGTCTTTTAATTCATATTTTCCTCTCAAATGTTCATACTTGAATGTTTTAATACACTATACTACATGTATGCCCTATGATTGTGGGTGACTGGGCATATTCGAGAGAGACACAAAGTTCGGTGCATAAGCGCTACTAGTACCTGCGGGGTGTGGCTTGGCGCACGGCACTGGTCTACTAGACAGTCAACCCCACCACACGCACTCCACAACGTTTTTGCCACCTTGAACCTCAATTCAACGAATATATCAAACCACCTCTACATCTCCAACCTTTACGACAAGATAATAAATCAAAAAAATAGCCCAATATGGCGAAAAAAGACAAGAAAAATAAGAAGGCCGTCGATGATGACTGGGAGAACGAGATTGGTGAAGACCTTACGCAAAAGGCTAAGCCTGATGATCAAGAGCCACCGGCAGCCCTCAGTACAGCACCCGCAGACGATGACCTTGGTGGTGGTCTGATGAATGCTATTCGCAAGAATGCTGAAAAGAAAAAAAAGAAGGGTAAGGGAGCTGCAGCCAAAGCCGAGTCGCCGGTTGAGGACGCGGCCACACCGACAGGAGTCGACACCCCCCCTCCAGCACCTAAAGCACCTGTTGAGGTTGCTGAGGTTGACGATGACGAATTCGGTCCGGTGAAGAAAGGGAAGAAAGGAAAGGCCGCGCAGCCGAAGGCTGTGGAGAAGGTCGTGGAGAAGGCTGTAGAGGAGCCGAGTATTCATGGATCGGAGGCTGGCGACGACGAAGAGACTGGAGGAAGGGTCAAATCAAAGAAAGAGAAGGAGAAAGAAAAGAAAGAAAGGGAAAAACAGAGGAAGAAGGAACAGGTGGGATGAATCTTGGGATTGATCGTATCATCTTGCTGATATCATGTCTAGGCCGCTCGTAAGAAAGGTGATGCTTCTGCTGCTCCAGCGGTAAAGGAAACTCCTAAGGCCGTAGAGAAAGCTGCTGCCACCGCCGCACCCGAGCCCGCCAAGAAGGGGAAAAAGATTCCCCCCGCCCTTGCTGCACTCCAGAGGCAGCAGGAACTTATGAAGCAGATGGAGGAGGAGAAGAAGCGTCTCGAGGAGGAGGAGAAGAAACGTATCGAGGAGGAGGAAAGGCTTGAGAGAGAAGAGCAGGCAAGGCTTGCGGAATTAAAAGCACGAAAGAAGGAGAGGGAGGCTGCAAAAAAGGAGCAGCTCAAAAAAGAGGGCAAATATCTTACTCCTAAAGAAAAAGAGGCAAAGAGGCTTGCACAGCTACGGCTGGAGCAAATGAGGGCCGCGGGAATGATCGTTGCAGGATTGGACGAACCATCGGGAGAAACCAAAAAAAGACCGGTAATAGATAAGAAGAAGAAGAAGGGTGGAAAAGCGGATAAGGCAGCCGAAGATGAGGCAAAAGCGGTCGAGTTGAAGAAAAAAGAGGAAGAGCGACTAGCTGCTGAGGCCAAGGCCAAGGAAGAGGCGGACAGGAAGCAAAAAGAAGAAGAGGCAGCAGGTATACTAATCTTTCCAATTGACATTAGACATTGCTAATACCCTCAAGCCGCTGCGAAAGCCAAAGAAGATGCCGACGTTCTCGACTCCTGGGAAGAAGCCATCGACGAAGATGGCAACATCAAAGAGTCTTGGGATCAAGAAACCGACGAAGAAGAAGATGGGGAGGAAGATAAAAAGGAAGAGAAACCAACCAAGCAAACTCCTTCTACTAAACCTAACGGCCCCAAACCAGCACCCAAAAAGTTTGATGACGAAGAGGAAGACTCAGAGGACGACTCTGAAGATGACCAAAGCATGGCTCAACAACTTGCACAGAAGCGGAAAGAGGAAGCTGCAGCCCGTCGTCAGAAGCAACTTGAGGACGCAAAAGCTGCTGCTAGTATCAATGACCTCCGCTCTCCTATTTGTTGTATCCTGGGACACGTCGATACCGGTAAGACGAAGCTCTTGGACAAAATTAGACAAACAAACGTGCAGGAGGGTGAAGCTGGTGGTATCACGCAGCAAATCGGTGCAACATACTTCCCTATGGAGGCAATCAAGCAGAAGACGCAAGTTGTGAACCAAGACGGAAAGATGGAGTTTAAGGTTCCTGGTTTACTGGTTATCGATACACCTGGTCACGAGTCGTTCACAAATTTAAGGAGCAGAGGTAGTTCGTTGTGTAACATTGCGATCTTGGTCATTGATATCATGCACGGGCTGGAACCACAAACTATTGAGTCTATCCAACTTCTCAGGGACAAGAAGACACCTTTTATCGTCGCGTTGAACAAGGTCCGTAGGAATAGAAACCATAAATATTCGGTCATAGCTAACGTGTGTAGATTGACCGTCTCTACGGCTGGGGGGCAGTTCCAAATAACGGTTTCAGGGATTCTCTCTCACGCCAAAAGAAGTCTGTCCAGAATGAGTTCAAGGATCGTCTGGAAAAGACGATTGTCGCGCTTCAGGAACAGGGTCTTAACTCAGCACTCTTCTATGAGAATAAGAATGTTGGGAAATACGTATCTTTGGTTCCTACCTCTGCTCACACCGGAGAAGGTATTCCTGATATGCTTAAACTTTTGGTATCGCTCACCCAGCAGCGTATGGCCGAGAAACTCATGTATATCAGTGAGCTTGAGTGCACTGTTCTTGAAGTTAAGGTCATTGAAGGACTGGGAACTACTATTGACGTTGTCCTGAGTAATGGATACCTTCGTGAAGGCGACCGCATTGTCTTGTGTGGTCTGAATGGCGCCATTTCAACAACAGTCCGTGCCTTACTGACACCACAACCGTTGAAGGAAATGCGTGTCAAGGGTTCATACGTTCACCATAAGGAGGTCAAGGCTGCGTTGGGTGTTAAGATTGCTGCCAACGACCTCGAGCACGCTATCGCAGGGTCAAGGCTACTCGTTGTTGGCCCCGACGATGACGAAGAAGATCTCGAAGAGGAAGTCATGAGTGATCTTGAGCAATTGTTCAGCAAGGTTTCTACAACTGGTGCTGGTGTGGCAGTCCAGGCCTCAACCTTGGGTGCTCTTGAGGCCTTGTTGGAGTTCCTTCGTGTCTCAAAGATTCCCGTGGCTACGATCTCGATCGGTCCTGTCTATAAACGTGACGTAATGCGTGCAGGAACTATGTTGGAAAAGCATAAGGAATTCGCAGTAATGCTTTGTTTCGATGTCAAGATCGACAAGGACGCACAGGCATATGCGGACGACGTGGGTGTTAAGATCTTCACGGCAGATATCATTTACCATTTGTTTGATTCGTTCACTGCCCACCAGGCCGAGGCGCTCGCCCAAAAGAAGAGAGAGAGTGCTGCGGATGCGGTATTCCCTTGCATTTTGAACCCTGTGGCCGTTTTCAACAAGAAGGATCCGATTGTTGTGGGTGTCGATGTTGTGGAAGGAAGTTTGAAGATTGGTACACCGATTTGTGCGGTTAAAAAGAACCCTATCACCGGAGAGGTGGAAACAATTAATTTGGGGAGGGTGTATGTTGCCTTGATCCTACTATGTCTCTGAAGACTGTGATGCTAACGACGTAGATAGAACATCTATTGAGCTTAATCACAAAGCCATTCCTGTCGTCAAGAAGGGTCAGCCTTCGGTGGCCGTTAAGATCGAAGGTCCCAACCAGCCGACGTACGGGCGTCACTTGGAGGAGAAGGATACACTTTACTCGCTTATCTCGAGAAAGACGATCGATACGCTGAAGACACATTTCAGAGATGATGTGAGCAAAGAGGACTGGCAGCTGATTATTAACTTGAAGAAGGTGTTCAATATCACTTAGTCGAATTTTTATTGAGAAAGATCGTTTTATTTCTTTGTCAATAGTGCTTGAGATGCTCCTTTTCTTAGGTTGTCTTTCATATTTTGTCATCAAAATCAAAATGCTAGTGGGGTTTTTCCTGATCTGAGGAGGAAGGGCAGTGCGCTTTTCTTTGGGTGCTTTTTTCTTCGACTTTTTTCTCTTCTTTTTCTCTTTCGATGAATTCATGATAGGGATTGCTTTTTTTTTATCTCTTCGGCTCATCCCTCTTACATTATAAAACGAAAAGTTATACTTTGGATACCAAGCAAAAAGGATGCATCCTCCCGTGTTCATATTCTACGCATACGTACGGATTTATGTATATGATCTGCACAATTCCACTAGAAGCGCGTCTCAAGAGGTAAACTCGATACATAGCACGATTACATCCAAGGGGTATAAATTGTAGACACTCCCCCTTTCATAAAAAGCTTTGCCACCAGCTCGCCATATACTACATCTAAGTCTGCGCGAAATTGCTCACCCGCTTATTCGGAATGCCTCTCGAATACAAGGTACGGATAAGCCCCGTAGTTGCTGTGTTGGCGAGTAATAATCCGAAAGCAGCCTACAGCAAGTACTTTTCCGAAGGTGAGATGGAGGAGGTATGTGTTTGATAAACTGTGAATAGGTGCATTTTCCTCCCTAGTATCTTCTGTGGTTTAGTGCTAATGGACTATCTTTTCAGAGGTCCAAGGAGCGAGAGAGGTCCGAGGAGCGAGTCATGATACGGCATTAACGCTATGCCTATCATGCAATTAATGAATTAAACAAAACAAAAAACGCTATGCCTATTCTAGATAGAGGCATCGAGTGATACTTTATGACCTGGATTTCTTGAATTAAACTTTCAGGTTAGTCACCATGACATGTTGTAACCCGCCTAGCCAATAGTTGAAGCAGATATTCTGAGAGAAGCTAGCAGGGGTGAAATTAAATAGAATGCGCTTATTTATCTGCATGGAAATGATAGATCAAAAGGAAAAAGAAAAATCATGCGCCATACCCTACTGGTATAACAACTCGACAAATTCTATGGGGATTTTTAGGAAATCTCCATTTTATGGATGAGCGAGATTTGACTGGCACTGCCTTTGTTTCCCTCCACCACTTTGTTGCTTTGCCCATCCCCACTCCATCCACCCCATCCACCCCACCCACCCACACCCCCACGTCTTGTTGCTTTCAAACCATACCTATACTTTCTTTGACAATTCTCTACGCTATAAGACTCCACATCCCACTCTTATACCACACTGAATCATCACCTCCATTCTTTCTATCTAAGACCCCAAATACGATAGTGTAGAATCCCCATCTTCAAAAAGCCCAAACCATGGATCCTCTTCGCCGCAAGGTCAGGGAGCCCTACAACCCTCTTCGAAATAGTCGCCCTCCCCAACGACGTCCTCCAGTACCCTCACAGAGTCGAGCTCCACCACCGAAATTTAAACAGCAGGTAGTTGAAGAAGAGCCAGAACCCGACTACGAGGACAGCACAGAATGGACCTGCTATACTCTCACCACAACCAGAAACGCTATCACAGCCGGGAGTCGCTACCATGTTATGCGTTTACACCCCAAATTTGTCGAGGTCCCTGATCCAGCCGACAGGACAGGTGAGAGCGTCATCATGGTGCCAGAAACCGTCAACATCACCGACCCAGAGACGTTTAAACAGCCAATTAGACTTCACAGACGTGATGCCACAGCACCTCTCGCAGGGAAAAATGGGGCGGAAGCCTCAAAATCAGAGACTCCTAAACCCGTCGACGAGGAAGAGCAAAAAAGACTTGAGTTTAAGGCCGAGAAGGCAAGGCGGCGTGAAGAGTTGATGTCCAAGGTAGCGCCTGACGGAGGAGGAAGGAATAATTTCAAGATAAAGGGTGAGAAGAAGACGCAACAGGTTAGGCAATCAAACGCAGAGCAAGTGGCAAACCGCAAGATGAGGTATGAGGAACAGTACCCATGGTTTTTGGAGGACGCCGATAATGGGCAGACGTGGCAGGGGCAGAGAGAGCACGCCATGAGCAACGGCGAGTTTGTTGTACTACATATGGATCATGTTCAAGGGTCTTTTAATATGATACCCGTCGAAAAGTGGTACCGCTTTACGAAGGTGAAAAGAGTCAATAAGATGACAGAGAAGGAAATAAAGGCAGGCGAGAAGGTGTTGAGCGGCGAGGAGCCGGCACTTCCCTCGTGGGCGAAGAAAGTTCTGAAGGAAGAATTTGTGGAGACAGAGGAGCTCACGAAACAGGAGCAAAGATTATATTCTAAGAATGCGTCATTAGTCCCAAGAAGGCAGATAAGGACAATAAAGGGCGGGGAGGAGGGCAACCAAGTAAATGAAGAACTGGACTTCAACGTCGAAGATCAATTTGATAATGATGACGCAGGTGGAGTGCTCGGAGACTTTGGGGAAGGGAATGAGGGCGAAGAAGCTGCTAAGGATGCTGCCGTAGGCCCCCCTCTCTTATGATCGATATCTATTAACTTCGTGTTGTTTTATTTTCTTTACTAACAATCGGTCTCTGTAGAAACGTATCATCAAAGATCAACTCTCTGCAAATGTGTTCGGCTCTCGTACCGAAAAGGATCTTATTGAAGAAAGAAAAAAGGTGAAGATTCGTCAGAAGCTGTTGAAAGCACATGGAAAGAAGGTCTCCAAAGCTCTCAAACGGCGCGAGGGGAACTACATTTACGACTCGGACGAGGAAGATCCGTATTTAGTAAGTAACAAGCTAACTCTCAGCTAACCCCAACCCCCCCAACTTCCCCAGCTCGCTAAACAGTTCTATAGAACAAACTCCTCTCTGCTTCCGACAACGACTCCGACTCTGACTCTGAAGCCGAAGCCGAAGAATTCAAAAAATGGAAGCTAGAGCTAAAGAAGGTCGCCGACGAAAAAGCAGCTGAAGAGGCACGCAAATTAGAGGCGAAAAAAGAAACAGCGAAAAGGGCAACGGAAAAGCGGAAAGCAAAAAAGAGGGCCGAAAATGGAGAGTCTCCTGCTGACGATATTCCTACTTCTGCACCGGCCACGCCAGCTCTTATCCCGCACGCCATCTCAAAGTCCGCTCGAAACGAAGTTAAATCCCGAAAAAGATCTCGCTCTCCGGAGTCTCAGAAATCCACAAAGCGCAGATGCAATGATCTAGCGCCAAATCCGAGCATTGACTCGCCGCTTATTTCTCCCGCCCCCCAGCCTAGGGCGAATGTGAAGAAGCGGCCTCGCTCCCCGGAACCCGCAAAACCCCAAAAACCCAGCGGATTGCTGAAGCGTAGGCGCCAGAATAAGGTTGCAGACAACACCATATTAGTGCCGGAAAAAAAGAATGCAAATAGTGCTAGCCCTACTGTATCAAAATCGCCGTCTCCATCTACTAGTAAGTGTCGTGTATCTATTTAATTAGCAAAGCTAACATCAAAAGATACCGCCCCGACCCTTCCCATCACAGATGAAGAGATTATCGCAGTCCTTCGCGCGGACCCAGAGGGTGTTAGCAGCAAGGATATAACGGAGATATTCAGGTCTAGACTAAAGGCTGGAACTAAGGATGTGTCAGTACTGGCGCAGAGGTTGAAACAGTTCGGAACTAGAGAGGGTGATATTAACAAGTGGAAGTTAAAGAAGGAGTTTGCCTAAGGCATACTTACTTATAGTTACTCAAGTTTTTGAGGGCTTCTACGATAGGGTAATTAACGGTGTTTGAGTTAGGTGCGAATTTTCTTTTAGAAGTATTTGGAGTTGTGGTGCCTCACACTGCTGTTAGATATACTGCGTTAACTTGGGGTACTAGCTATAGTTAACTATTTACTACTAAACTTTAATTCAAGAAGATCTTTGGGAGCTTTATAATTTGGCTTAAATGTTTTTCCTGCCCATATACTTGAGCGTTAATTAAAGGCTGCAACGGTTTCCGAATTTTAATTCATGAGTGAGTAACTAAACCCTAAATTGTGGTACTAGGATCTGATTATGTGAGAGTTTTTGCTTAAGTATATGGGTGTGGTTAAAGAAAACCTGAATCTTAAACTATGCCAACCCAGGCCTGACCGAAGGAGGCGAATTTATGAACAAAAATTTAGATACGGTATACTAAGGGATATTTAGTTGAATCATGAAGTATGACTCGAATGCCAAGCCTTTTTTTATCTAAAGGCAACGCCGCATATATTGTAATTAATGCTCTTATTTCAAATCGTAACTGAGAAATCCTAAATATTTGGTGAGACGTAAAATTAATTTACCGACCATCTATTATTCATTGGAAGCTGTAGAGTGGGTTGGTAAGGCCTTGTGGGGTTGCGACATGCACTTACTCTCATAAGTTGAGAGAAAAACTAGAATCAGTAATCACAACGAAATAGAGCGTGGAGTATGCCTTTCATAATTATTACTAATCATCAAGAGCGTCCCTATCATGTTGAGTTTCTCATCACTGCTCCGACCCCACTCCTGACTTCAACGTCAATTGGTTACATAAGAATCATTGAATTTAACCGGCGAGTGCGAGTTATGGTAAAATATTACCAATTCATACATCCACAGAAATCACAGTAAAAATTACAAGGTCACTTAGCAGCAACCTACATGCACAAGTATCTAGAACCCAATAACTCAATTTTATGCACGATACATTCATATTGTCAAGTCCATAATCCCTCGAGCTTTTCTAACAAATTGGCAGCAATGCAACGGATATTACTCGATCAACCCCTCACACTATTTTACACCCACTTCTTTTACCTTCCTACCGATTACCAATCCAGCGACTGAAGAAAATGAAAGTAAATTAACCATCCAAAAGCCCCGAGCTCTCGATCATTGCGTGCAACTCTGGCTCTAAAAATTTTGCAATCGTCACATCCTCACTCAAACCTTTTCTTCTACGTGTCTTAAGGGTGAGATCTCTAGCCATGGCCTGCGCAGATGCGGGCTCCAATGGCCGTAGCTTCACCTCCTTGTCGAGGGGGTCTCCGGGGACAATGTTCCAACGGTCAAACACGAGGGAGCAGAACGCTTGCCCTTGTGTGTGAATCCGGAGATCAGTCTCGAAACCGAATGAATCAATGACAGGAATGAGACCCTTGACGAGATAGAGTGCTATAAGTTGTTAGTGGCGTAGATAAAGAAGTAAAAGGATGATGCTTACGTGTACCAGCGATGGGCCCATCAGTTAAAACGTGACCTCTTCGCTTCGCCAATACTGTATAAAGAGCAGACACGGAATCTGCAGGTGCTGTCATGGAGCACGAGTATACTGGCTCCATGAGTCTTGGGGAAGCCATGAGAAACGAGGAGTAGCAAGCCCTACGTGCCGTAGGAATGATCTGCCCACCACCACGGTAGATAGCTTCTGATGCAAGAGTGGCATCCATAATTTTAAACCTTGTATTTCGGATTGCTATTCCGAGAATTAGCATGAGTTGACGCCGAAAAATGGAAAAGCTTTTACTTACGCTCTTCGCACAATGGCCCCTCTCTAGTTCCCCAAGCAAACCCTTGTCTAATGCTATCCCTTACTTGGTTCAAAAGTTTCTTATCAACTTCACTTGGTAATGTATCATCTTGTAAGATATTGGGACCCGTCTCGTCTGGACCAAATGCCCAAATACTTCGGCTGGCCAGCAGATCCCAGCCATAATTCTCCTCAAAGTATTTTCCGACTTTGCGGATAGGCCATTTAATGGATACTTTCCCGTTTTCAATATCTTCTGCAATCCCCGTGTCAAGTGGTTCTGCAACCATAGTGATCTTGTTTTTTTTGTTGGGTGTTTGCGCATAACATTTGATCGCAGAGGTCTCTACAACTGTTTCACAGAAGCGTGTGACAGGATCGGATACCTTAAGCTCCATCTCAGAGAAGATCCGTCGTAGGTCATGCAGGACGCAGTCCATGTACAATTCTCCAGTCCCCAATATCACATGCTCACCTGATTCCTCAACCTTGGTGACAATTAAGGGATAGCTCTTGTTGATCTTTCGTAGGCCATCCAACATTTTCGGCAGCTCGGAGGGGTTCACTGGCTCAACAGCAACCTTGAACACAGATTCTGTAAAATGTTTGATGGGGCGGAAGATATATGCATCATCGTTCATCTTATGCGCGACCACCGTGGCGGATTTAACAATCGAGTTATCGATGCCTCCCAATAGCACCCAGCACCCGGCAGGAACACCGTTAATGGGAATTTTGTATCGAGTCTCGTTGATCCAGCAATCAGTGATTGTAGCAACAACCATATCCTCCTCATCGTCGAGTGTGTAGCCTTCTCCAAGAACACGGACTTGCATATTTGGATTTACAGTTCCGCTCATAACACGACCAAAAGAGAGAAAGTCGTTGGCTTCGCTAGTGTGGTATAGTTTGGAGATTTGAATAACCAATGGGCCATCAGCGTTACAGGTATTCATAGATTCAACGATATCTGTATCGAGTGGCCCAGTGTAGGTATTTTCAACCTTGGCCTTTGCACCCTCCAGAGCAGATGGGATGTGCTCTACGATCATATCCACGAAACCAGTAGAGGTGCCAAAAAATTGCTCACAGACCAGCTTTAGCAGTACTTTTGCGTCTAGCTTGTACTGGGCAGGTTTTAGGGATATACCAAGATTTGCAAGGGTTGCCTTTAAGCTAGAAGCACTTTCTCCGATTGTCTAGGGCTCAATTAGCTTTGGAGTTCGGATTATTAGGAGCAAATATATCCAAGAATGACCAAGATGTCAACTTACATGAGCATATAATTTGTATAATGGCTCGAGGATAAAATGAACGAAGGTTCTTCGTGCTTTTGACTCCAAAGATTTTCGTGTAAATTTCCTGCTTGTTGGATTATAGAAAATATCCCCCCACATCCGCTTCGCAAAATCCGAAACGTTGACTCCAGAGTAAGTATCCGCATACATCTTTGCAAAGCTGGATAATGAAAAACACCACCCCATACTAGCACTTGCAAAGCAAACATTTCCTTTCTCCGGCGATAATCTCAAACTCTCACTTCTGCCCGGAGCAGCACTATCGATAACTGTGTTTACTTCCTCAATCGTGTGCTTCAGCTTGAAGTATGCATCGGTAGGTGGAAGCTTAAGCTCTAGGATAAGTCGGTCGACTTTGTTTAATACTAATGTCATTGGTATATTTTCGGAGACAGCGTATTTGATGATTTGTTCCGTGTTGATCATGACTCCCTCCACAACGTCTACTACGAGGACAATACCATCTGCAAGGCGGATAGCAGAAGCAACCTCATCGACGAAATTAACGTGACCGGGAGTGTCTATGATGTTGACAAGGCTAGATTTTCCCCTGGAGGATTGAAGTACGAGAGACATAGGGGCAGACTTGATTGAGACACCTCGCTCGCGCTCAACAATATGGGTATCTGTGTATCGGAGCTAAATATCGTATCAATACCTTGTTCTGCAAAGCTAGATCGTGGGACTCAGTACTTGCTCGCCCTTCTTCCCTTCTGTATTTGCACCCAGGTCGTGAGTTTCAAGCACTAACATATCCATGAATGCAGTCTTTCCATGGTGTAGATGTCCAACTAGCGCAATATTTCGTACTTGATCTGGGAAGCTCATAAGATCCATCATAAACCTGTAACCGTCAATTCTGCCAGTTTTGAACTTTGGAACCGGAAAACTACTCACTCCCTAGAGAAATAGGTCTTTGGAAGATCCGTTTCCTCAACAGTAAATTTCTTTACCTTAATAGGAGCTTTTCAGCGGATCAGTCGGTATCGCGTCATCGAACAGCGAGCAGAGAACCTACCTATAATGGGTTCGGACAAAGGTTGTGCATCCTCCTCTTCAACCATAGCTTCTACATCTGCGCCATATGTTTGCGCGGCGGTCGGATAGTATTGCTTATCTTTATAAACGTCAGTACTCGCGAGCGCTTTCTTCTCGGACTAAAATTGAATCTGACCTTCGTGGAGCACAACCGCGTTTGATGGACCTTCGTCTGTTCTACCGTCAGCATTGGTTCCTCCTTTACCAAACCCTCCTATAAAGCTCAACACACCATCAAGCTCCATCAATTGTTGATCACCACCCTCATGGCCTGCGATCGAAGCATCATCGTAGTCGACATAGGCATCCGCGCCTGTCTCTGATCTCTGGTCTTCCTCGTCCGACTCGACAGCCTCGCCGATAAAGTTACCGAATCTGCATTGAAAGGCGATATAAGCACTACTCGAATTTTTAGCAGAGTAGAGGGAGAATCACGTACTCGTCATAAAGATCATCCATCGCGTCGTTTTGTTGGTCGTTGATAATCCCGTGTCTGAATTCCCCGTGTTGCCATCAACGAAATCTCACTAAAGGATTCCACATCACGTGAGAGAATCCGAGGCAGGGTAACGTTGCATACCTCAGTTCAAACGTCCCCCATGCATGGTCGAAACGATACATTGGTCTTTCCTAAATATAGTAAAAACCTCTTTTGAAGGAATTACATTGCTAGGTCTTTAGTGAGAAACTACATAATCCGAAATATTGTGAGGTTTGTCCACAGAATCATGACATATCACTCGAGCCTTGGCATTTGATCTAGTCCCGTGCTAATAGACTTAGTGGACAGCTATTAAATACACCTACAGGTGCCTATGTAGGCTTGGACAAATAAATTATTAGTAGTGCGATAAACACCCCCTTCCAAAGGACTAAATTCTGGGGGCGGTCTTCACAGTTAGGAAATAAGTCTGACCTCCACCCTTGCTCAGGGGCATTGAGCCATGCTCATTTCCAATAAAGAAATCCTTCTTTTTTATTTTCTGCAATTGAACTGACGTAGCTGCGACCACAATACTCAAACACTGCAATTTTCCCAGCAAAGCAAACCAAATGAGATATATTAAAAGAACCCGTTCCCCATCAACTAATTCACCTTGTCTAAAACCCGTCTGTAACATCCCGACTATTGATAAATTCATACACATGTGCCGGCAGCTTGTATTGAATCATTCCGGCATAAATCATTGCACATTTCGTCCTAGCCTTTAGCTCCACCAACTTCTGGTCTCTGCTTGCATCGGCAAACAAGCTATTCTTGATATCTATGCTCAGACGATGGCAGCACTCGACTACCATCTTAAGTAGGAGGCCGATATTTCGAGAGACGGTTTCATGAAGAGTGCTGAAGTTTTGAGCGGCCCGACGGATGGACCCGACGTCTACGCGTGGATTAAGAGGGATTATATCGAAACCTTCGATTGTCTATTTATGCAATAAGTAAAGTAATTCATATGGCGGAAAAGGATTACTTACGACTAAACAGGCCTCCCAGTCGCCATTTGCAAACAGCTTTTTGGCTTCTGCGATACGAAGTAGGACACCGCAAGCCTCCCTATTTCTCAATTCAATCTTAGTGTACACAGATACATTGGCCCCATACATCTTAAGCATGTTTTGAGCCAGTTGCACCGGATCCTCTACGCTTGTCAGACTCAGGCTAGAGTTCAACAGTCCATTGGTCGCTGTAAGATCTTGGTAACGTGTTGGAGCCTCCTCGCTCGCGATATAGTCCGAGAGATTCTTGTTGACAATTTGGAGAACTGTATCATAGTCCTCCGCGAGGTGGTATAATAAGACAGCGTCGTTGGCCCTACCATCATCATCTGCCTGAACAGCAGCTTGTTCGGTAATCGTTCGAAGATATTCACGTTGATCGGTAAGCTTGATGAGTCTCATGCGCTTCTCTATTGCTCCTTTCTCGCGAGTCCCATCTGCACGAACATCACCAAGAAGCTTGGTAAATTCTTTGGTATCAAGAACGAGCTCACGGAGAGATTCGTGACAAATTGTGATATGGTTTGGTCCGGTGGGTGCAGGAAGATCGGCATTGAGACAGATAAGGCTGATATAGTCGACAGCTTCTTCGGCATTAGGCGTACGGAAATCGTTCGTGTAATAACCAATTAAACGGGGGAAGTTGATTTGCCTTTCTCCGTTTTGACCAAGCGTGACTGACGGTTAAATTAGTTATTTCTAGGTAAGATTATAAGAGAAATGGATAGGCTCTTACGCAATTCTCCACCCACACTTGCGGGGTTCGAAGTTGGTCTTAGGAGACCATAATATGTGAGCGCAATTGCAAAATGAACACCATCCACGTATTGGAATGAATACAAATAGTGGACAGCCTAAATTTTTGTTAGTTATATTTTCGGAGGAAAATGGTTGTAGGCATAGGTCACTGACATCTTCAAATAAGCCAGACATCATTAACATTTGGAAATACAGCCCAACATTGCTTCCTTTCTGTGAGAAATGCTTTGCGCCAAACTGAAGAACTCCCTTTTGAAGATCTGTCAAAGTAAAGACCTCGTGCGCCGGCTCGGTCGTTTTGTCAATCTCCCTAGCCAATACAAGCTGTAGCCACATCCAGTCCTCCGCGGTTGGCATGACATTTGGTACAGATCTTTTAGAAAGATCGCATCTTCCAATTATTTTGTAAACTGCCGGCTTAAATATGTCTTTGGTGTCTTCCGAATGTCGGACACGGTTATTGTACTCGCCCTGGATCCTGTCAAGTAAGTTCCTAGGCAAGCGCCGTTCATCGCCCGCCGAACAGTAAGCATGAAGATATGTAGGGAAGCTTCGATCAAGTTTCTGGAATGACTGTTGGTTCTGCCTAACAAATTCGTCTGCTTCCTCTAGAAAGCCGGCGCGGAGAAGGTAGAATATAATTGCCCAACAGGGAACATCAGATACGTAATCAAAGTTTTTTAGATCCCATTCAGGTAGGTCCTTATTGTTGGCTAGTTTAACGTTGATGTAACCTCGGAACTTGTGGAACACTGAAGGAATACCGCCGACTTTGGCGATCTGGGGGTTCTCGGTAACTGAACGCTCGACCATTTCTAAGAATCTACACCCGTGGAAAAAAAAAAACCGTGAGAAAAAGGTATAGATAGCAGGTATAAACAGAGAGAAACATACTGTTTTTCTAGGAACCGTCTAGCTCCTTTTTGAACAGTCTTCCGCATTCTGGAAGCCTCAGCACTATCGGGAGACGTGTTGAGAATATAGTCTTTCCTAAACTGCCTTTCATGCGGACCGCCAAAGGGATTCCCATCGCGGATTTCAGATTCGTTGGTTATGGATGCTAGTAGTTTCCAGGAATCGTAAAGTTGTAAGGTCAACTATTCCAGTTCTTTGTAAGCTTTCGACGTATTACCACCTCCGGAGGAGTCTACAGAGCCTACCATATCATTTCCAGAAGCCCCGGTGACATCGCCAAAGACTTTCATGACAGGATAGATTCCGCCATCAGCCCCATTCTCTAACCTGGCTTCATTCAAACGTTTGACAGCAGCCGAAAATTGCTTTTGTCTAAGTTGCACTTGCCTACTCATATCATTCTGTCGAGCAGGGTCAACATCCGTGAACAATTTCGCAGTAGAAGCCCCGGTAGTATTGGCAGCTGTTGGTCTGCCCAAAACACTAGTGCCCATTGTAGACTTTGCCCAAACGCTCCCTCTACCAGCAACTCCAGGTCCAAACGACTGCCCCAACTTAGAGCGACCAAAAGAAGATACGCCGAACGAAGAGGCACCAAATGCGCTGAGACCCCCATTAAAGGTGTTATGGCCGGGATCTGCTGTAGCACCTGGAGCTGTAGAATTTCGCGGCGTAAGACCGAAGTGTTCGAAGATACGCTGCTTTTGAGCCTCCCATTCTATTGTAACATTCTTGGCGACAAAAGCATCAAAATCTCGAGATGTCCGACGCATTCCATCCTCAATCGAAGACATGACATTTTGTTCTCTCCGGTTGCGGAGATAGGTCTGTTTGAAGGTTCCTGTGGTTTAGCAATGTATATTCTTGTAGCGGTTATCACGGGACGCCCAAAAGAATACGCACATCAATATCGGTGTCAACTCGTATTGTAGATGGCTCATAAGCGTTCTGGAAATCTATAGAGTCCAGGTCGCGCAAAGCCTCATCCGTGTTAATCCCACCAGCAGCCAACAAATAATGCCTACGACCAGATCATGTCAGTGTCAGCTTCACTTTCAGCTCCACAGAGCTTCTTTCAGAAGAGCACATACGCTCTTGCATCGGTTTGCGCTCCTTCGCGGGTCTTCTTCAGGTCCTTGGCCCTCCTCTCAAGCTCGTTCAATCCAAGCTGGACGGTTTCTAGTCCATCATTATCGGTTTCCTGCCGAAGTTTTCGCGATTGCTCTAACAGCGAGCTGAAAAGCGAAGTGACGTGGTTTGCGGGTTCCGTAGCAGCCATGATGATTATCGCGGTTCAAGGATGCGAGGGAGGTCGCGGAGTGTTGGCTATTCTGTGCAAACAAACGCTGGTTGATTTCAAGCCAAGGGTCGACGCGAGAGCCTTCGGTGGTGGCACGTGATCCGTTGCCTTGGCACAACCTCAAGATTAGATCTGATAACGCGCCATGATCATTGCCGTCATGCCTACATGTGTGTGCGAATATGGGTAACCGTAGCTAAAAGATATGGAAAAAGTAGAGTTATAATTTTATTTATGTAAAGAATTTAGTAATACAAGCTTTCTTATCTCTCTTTTCCCTTTTCTATAGGTCACGAATCTGACAATGCTCACTACCAAGTTGGACCATGATGAATTTTGAGAAATTTCTAATTACATTGCTCTATGATCCTTGCTATTCTTTTGATACTCCGAGTTTAACCAGCTTCAGCATCAGATCCAGCATCTTCATCCTCGGAATCAACCACCATCTCATCATTAATATTTCTTTGTGCTTCAAGCTCTTCATCGAGAGCTTTGAATCCTGTGGAAGATAAGTAGGTAAAATGTGGGCTCTTAAACGAGTCTAAAAAGTGGACGAATCCAGTATATCTAAAGCAAAATCCATCAACATATGTAACTCGTTTATAAACACAAGTGCTGGGTCCTTACATATTGCCATTTCTTTCGTCTTCGAAAAGCTTAGAATAGATCATTTTCTCGCGGAACGCATCAATCTCCTTCGAATATATAGTGAAGTCAATCGGCTCCCGAGAATGTGCTTCTACAGCACTCTTGTTGTAGCTTTCGAAGACAGGATACTCAAGAAGAAGCCCTAAACTGGGTGCTTTAGGAATGGTGATTTTTCTAGATCTGAAAGTTTGCTCGATACGTTCAATAGGACAGCCTGTGCGGACAACCATCATTGCCATACCGACCATTTTTCCTATTTTCATAGTTCTATTATTAGGATAGGCGATGATAGGTCACGACACGAACTGCACTTACTGATTTGATGCATCATAAAGGATTGGCCATGGACTCGCAGAGATACCCATTCTGTGTCATTAATGATTATCGGATCCAAAACCTTAACGGCTTGGTTAGTATAAATTTGTAAAAGAGAAGAACATATAACCAACTTACCTCAAAGGATTTGATATGCCTCCTAGAGCTTGCCTCATAGAAGGTTTTATTAATGGTATAGTTATGAAAGTTTTTAGTACCTTCGTATGCCTTAAACGCCTCCCTGACTCTCGCTAGCCGCTCCTGAGATATCCGGTACGCCCTCTTTTCTACTCGATGGACAGCCCTAATCTTATAGCGCAATTCCTCAATTTTCTCCGCCTCGCTTTTGATTTTTCCCTCAGTCTCCATGGGTTCCTTGTTTATGTCTACGCCTGGAGACCTGCTTCTGAGCCGTCCATCATTACCCAGTACGGCTTCCTTGTCCGACTCACTTTCTTCGTACATAGCCTTCTTGAATAATTCCGGGTCTTCATCTTTAAGCTGCTTCCTAACCTTGTCATCGACTTCATCCCACCATCCATCAACTTCCTTTTGCCTCTCAAGCAAGCCTTCATGATCCCCTTCTTTCTCGGCAATGCTTCTGAGTTTTTGTGCAAGGAATGTTTTTGGGTGCGGTGGTAAAAAACAATGGGTCGGAAGAAGGTACTCGTATCTCCTGCTATCACACTTTTGGTAGCAGCTGAAAGAGCCAAGGGTGCGTAGAATTCCCCATACACGGATTTGTTCGGGAAGTTCGGCGTTGATCTTCTGCACTATATCAGGGTCCTCAATGATGAGTTTCAAAGAAATTACATTTCCAGCAGCATGGACGCCTTTGTCTGTACGCGCGCAACGAACAAGGGATGACTACAACGGTAAGTTCTTCTTCTGTATCGAATTTGAATCTGAGTATAGATATACCTTCTTTGGATCATTGGAGTTGGCCCTTGATATTGCGCCAGCTTTGACAAAGGCCTCAAATATGTCGCTTTCAATAGTTTTATGCGGTGGATTTAACTGCATTCCTCTGTACCCGGTTCCGCAATATCCGATAAGGACTGCAACCTTTCGTTTAGGCTTTCTCTCTTCCTTTTCTTCGCCTAACTCTTCTACTTTGTTTTCCTCAGTGCCTTGCCCATAGGAGCGCTGTTTTTTGGTGCTATGACTATTTTCAAATTTACTGCCGTTAAGCTTTTGGCGATTTTGTAGATTTGAAGGGAAACGAACACCTCAAACATACTTGTAAGCAGCTCTTCCTTGGTCATCGCGAGCCCGTTTCTCTCTATGCGGTTTATCAGTCCAGCTGCCATTCCGACCTCTGCCACCACTTCTTCCCTGGCTTCTGCCGCTACCACGTCGGTTCCTGTCGGAGTTGTCGTTGTTATTTTTCTTGTCGTCATGACCGCCCTCGCTGGAGGAGATCTGGGGAGGGTTTGGCGGGCAAGCTGCCACAGCTGAATTCGAAGTCTCATTGTTGTTCGACATCGAGAAAAACGGAGTAAGTTCTTAATTTTTGAAGATGCCAAAGGTTGAATACATTTTAGTGACCGTTGGACTTGTTACCATGCCAAGATTATACGATCACGTGATGCACAAATCACCAAAAAAAATTAGAACATCACTTCGCACCCCTCAATGATTCAACCCCACCTTCAATCATTTAGTCACTACTAGATACCTGCAATCATGGCGCCCCATAGCTCATTTGACGATGATGAAGATATCGACTTCTCGGGTGAGTAATGGGCTTTTTTTTTCGTCCTTACACAATGTCTGTATTTTTTTCATCAATTTTTGACTCTTGAATGTGTAGATCTCCGAGAACAATTTGAGGTACGACTTGACGAGGGACTTGATGCTTTCGTCGTTGTCGATGGATGCCCCGTCGTTCCGGAAGAGAATAGAGGCAAATTGATCAAGTTCTTGAGCAAGAAGTTGAGTGAGGTTGGAAAGATAAAGGCCGACTCAGTTACCATGCCTCTGAACGCCGAAACCAACAAAACTGAGGGGTAAGTGCGCTATGCGACCTTGCCAGTGGATTTTTTGTTTGCCAGTCTTTTTTTTTTGTTGCTCCTTTTTTCATGCCAGAGGATGCCATATTGAGGACGACGGTTCAGGTACGCCTTTGTTGAGTACGAGACTCCCGAACAGGCCCTTGCTGCTTGCAAGCAGTTGAGCGGTATACCACTCGATAGAAAACACACCATCGCTATCAATAAGCTTACGGACATCGAACACTTTGGTCGGGAGGGGCGGATCAAGGAAGAATATGTGGAGCCTGAGATAGAACCCTATGTTGAACGGGAACATTTCCGTTCTTGGTTGAGCGAGCCTAATGCCCGTGATCAGTTTGTGATGTACCGTGGTGAGAGCGTGGGCGTGTTTTGGAACAGGAAGAAGGACCAACCAGAACCAGTCGTTGATAGACAACACTGGACCGAGTCATTTGTACAGTGGTCTCCCCAAGGAACTTATCTTACCTCCGTCCACGCACAGGGTGTTCAACTTTGGGGTGGTCCAAGCTGGAAACGTGTTATGCGATTCGCCCATCCTGCTGCCAATTTGGTCGATTTCTCACCAAACGAAAATTATATTGTCACCTGGTCGAACAGACCAATCTCAATCCCCGAAAATCCTCCCCCAGGTTTTCCTCTCAGTGCAGATGAGGATGGCAAGAATTTTATTGTCTGGGATATCAAGACTGGTAATCTTTTGCGATCATTCACATCTCTTGAGGCTGCGAACGACGCGGACGAGGGTGTCAAGGCTTTGGGACGCAAGAAGATTAACTGGCCTGTTTTCAAATGGTCATCGGACGACAAGTACGTCGCCCGTGTCCTTCCCGGACAAGCCATTCAGATCTATGAAACACCTAGCATGATGCTTCTCGGAAAGAAGGCGGTCAAGGTTGAGGGTGTCGTCGATTTCGAGTGGTCTCCTTCAATTCCGGAAGGAAAGGGCAAATCCAAGCCTGAACAGATGCTCACATATTGGACCCCGGAAATGAATAACCAAACTGCCCGTGTTACTCTTATGAACATTCCTTCACAAACTATCGTTCGTACACGAAATTTGGTTAATGTGTCGGATTGCAAGCTTCATTGGCAGTCAGAGGGTAAATACCTCTGTGTTAAGGTTGATAGGCACACCAAGACCAAGAAGTCAACATTCACTTCCCTCGAATTCTTCCGTGTGAAGGAAAAGAACATCCCCGTCGAAATTGTCGAACTCAAGCAGACAGTGATCAACTTTGCATGGGAACCCAAGGGCGACCGTTTCGTTTTCATTACCACCGATGAGGCCGTCCAAGGCGCCACTGTCGCTCCCAAGACGAACATTGCTTTCTATGCCCCCGAGAAAATCAAGAACGGCGTCGGCGAGTTCTGCCTTGTGAAAACCGTTGAAAAGAAGAATTCTAACGCCATTTACTGGTCTCCCAAGGGTCGTTTTGTGCTGATCGCCACCGTCCACTCACAGCAGAGCTTCGACCTCGAATTCTGGGACTGCGAATTTGAAGGTGAAAAGCAGAAGCCAGAGACCAAGAACAAGGAGGTGGCTGCAAACCTCATGCTCATGGGCGCCTCTGAGCACTACGGTGTGACCGACGTTGAATGGGACCCCACTGGACGATATGTCGCTACCAGCGTGAGCATGTGGAGGCATACCGTATGTTTCCCTACAGCGCTCTGTTTCTCTGCAAGTACTAACCACAGTTTATAGATGGAAAACGGCTACCATCTCTGGGATTTCAAGGGAACCCTTCTCCGCGAAGAGCACATTGACCGCTTCAAGCAGCTCCTCTGGCGTCCCCGCCCACCTACAATGCTCTCCAAGGAGGAGCAAAAGACTATCCGCAAGAACCTCCGTGAATACTCACGCCAGTTCGACGAGGAGGACACCTTCGAGGCCGAGACCGCCAACCGCGAGGTTGTCGAGGCACGGAAGAGGCAGCTCGACGAATGGCGCGCATGGAGAGAGCGGGTCGAGAAGGACCTCAAGGCCCAGCGTGTCGAGCTCGGACTGCCAGAGGACCCCAACGCGGCCCAGAGGAAGAAGGATGAGGCGGAGGACACCGTTATCGAGGAGATTGTGGAGGAGGTCATAAGTGAGCACGAGGAGGAGATTGTGTAAGGAGAAAGCTTGGATCCTTCTGTTCTTTCTTTCTGTACTTACTTTGGGTGGGCGGGTGGGCGGTGGATGCTTTTTATTTCCGTTTCCTTTCATGGACTAAAATTTTGTTGGCATTTTTGTATTGGGTCTGCTGGGTGAAGGGTGTGTATGGTCTTTCTTCTCACGTTCGAATCTAGTGGTATATATTAGGGCAATACGAAGGGACGTACAAAAGCTAGGAAGTGACGGCGAAGGGGGGGGGGAGGTGTAGTCTTTTTTTTTTTTTTTTTAGTTTATACTTCTTTTTTTGACTGCAATTACAAACACTCTCTTTAACCTTTTGGTTCCTGCATGATCCATGTAATCTACAAGCTGAAAACGTCAACTAGTGACTTCACCATGCATGTATCTCTTGCTTGGCAAGAAAGTTATCGAAATTAGTAGTGTTCTGTTTATCGATACCTGATTATCAACTCCAAACCCTCAATCAAGATCAGTACGCTCCTTACCTATTCGACAGAACAAACAACAAAGCCCGCAAACCCAAACATCTACAAACTCATCTACAAACCTACCACCCACCCGCCTACCAAACACCCACGCACCAATGTTCCCCCTCTACCCCACCCCCCGCCCCACCACTCCCACCACCACGCCCACACCCGCACTCAGCAGCACAACCCTCCCCGCAACCGGCCCAGCCCTAGCGCACATCTACAGCGCCCTCCTCCGGCCCACGCTGCTCCCCCCGCCCGCGGCCTTCACCCAGCCGCTGCTCGACAGCTTCGTGGCGAATCACGACCCGCTGCTGGAAGACACGACGCTGTTTACCGCGGGCACTAGGCTGCGTGAGGTCAGTGTGGAGGTCGAGAGGGTCGAGAGGGAGTGGAGGAGGTTGGGGGTTACTGAGCTGGTGGATGGCGGTGCGGGCGCGGGTGCGGGTGCAGGCGTGAGTTTGAGCGAGGTGAGGGAGGGCAGGTTGAGATGTAGGTTGGCGAATGTAAGTGGACTTGTTGTAAAGCTTCTGGTTATGAGCGTTTTGTGGATACTAACTACAGCGCAGCAAGCTGCGGGTACGGATCGGACGAGGAAGGAGAGGCTGAAGGAGCGGATGGAGGCTTTTGAGAAGGAGATGAAGAAGGAAGAGGAGGAGGCATTAAAGGCGTTCAAAGAGGGCTTGAGGAGGGCAGTTGGCGGGTAATCCGCGAATAGTAGTTAGAGGGATGGCACAGGTCACCGCAGTAATAATTATATGGGTCAATGATCACGAAGAGTTTAATTTTTAATTGCTTTTATTATTATTTCTATTTTTAAAATTATTACGATATCATATTGGAGAAGCCTAGATAATCTTCGATACGTTAGCTATTGCGCCAACTACTACCAACATCCAAAAAATGGCATTTAACACTGCGCCTCAGAAAGCCGTGTGTACTCCCCCCCCCACCCCGCCTCAACCCTCACATCCAGATCCCCCAAAACGGTGAACCCTTCAGCTTGGAGAGCGACACAAAGGCCCAATTACCCGTAAAAACCACGCCGACCACACCCCCCTTCCCAAATCCTTAACTCTTGCCCTCGCCCGAGAACCAAGCCGTCCTCCTACACCCCGGTGCCCGCCGCACGCCGCAACAGAACGCTACGGCGGCATTGGGTCCTAGGTGAGTCAAGCATGGGGGGACGAGGGAAGAACGGGCAGGGAAGGGGAAGCCGGGGGCTAGGGAGGTAGAGCGGGTGGGGGGACTCGTTGAATGGATCGACTATTGTCATCATAGAAAGGGGCAGGAGGGGAGTGGATTTGGGGAGCAATTACCATTAGTTTTTTGCCTGCGGGCAGGGTGTGTAAGTATTATGGGTTCCTGTAAAGTTCTTTGGGTATCGTTAGCATCAATGCAAGATTGAGTGAGAGACGAATTTTTAAAGGTTGAGAATTAGACGTAGGATCAGAAATGAATGTTTGGTAAAGGGTTATCGTCATCGGAATATCCGAAGCAGAACTGAATTTTTTTGTTTCATCACGAAAACGTCCGGGGGGGTCAGGGCAATGACAGAAGAAATTTTCTTTAAACTTACAGTTTGTATCCTAGTACCGCGAATGCGGTATGTCTAATTATGCTGACGGTGATCGTTGGCTGTCTTAACAGCGAAACTGTTAGCAATTGAGGAAACCGAAGGGGTGTGAGAGGGCGGGATGCAAATTTGAGGAGAGAAGGGCGAAGATCAGATGGTAGTGCATGTTTGTTTAATGGATCACATATGAATATCCGAAACAAAAGTGATAAGACTTCATCATTTCGAAGGGGAAGAGGGAAGGATACATAGAGAGGGGTTGGATTTACCTTTTGCTTGTCGTGATCCCCATTGGGATCCCATTGGTTGCCGTTCTTTGTCGTCGTCGTTGTTGATGGTGGTGTTGTGGTTGGCGATTTATGATGTAGAGGGAAAGGAAGTGTCGTTGCGTGAAGAAAATTTAACCTTGCGTTGCCTGAGCTGCGAGCCGGGCCAGTACTGCCAGGGCAAGACCCTACCCCGCTAAAAGTTTCACCGACGTCGTGCCTTGGCTTGGGGTCGGGCTTTCGCTGCTTGAGCCTCATCCCAGAATCCGCCGCTAGTCGAGTTTGAGCGGTATCATCAAACGACAATTTCAAAACGAGAAACTGAAGCAATTGCAGCAGCAGCCACTCGTTGAAATATCGCAATGACCGACCGCCGCCGTATAAATGGGCCCTCGGATGGCACAACTCCTATAGTCTACGCCGGCGTACCCAAGGCCAAGCAGCTCCCGCCCAGAGCTCCAGATGCTCTGCGAAAAATATGCAAGTTCACATACCTACCGTCTCAACTCCCTCCCATAACTCTAGCTAACCCTCAACAGTCCTCAAGACCTCCCTTACCCCACCTGCCACGGGCTCCTCCTTCCTCGAGCTCCCCTCCCCCGCCCCCGCCGGCACCCCCACCCTCAAACTCACCGCCTCCGTCTACGGCCCTCGCCCACTCCCGCCCAGCGCCCCATTCTCACCGCACGCCCGCCTCACCGCAGAACTAAAGTTCGCGCCCTTCTCCACGCCCCACAAGCGCCGCGGCTACGTGCGCGACGCCGTCGAGCGCGACCTTTCCGTCCAGCTCCAGAACGCACTCGTAAAAAGCATCAAGACAGCAGCGTACCCGAAGAGCGGCATCGACATCTTCATCACGGTTCTGGACTGCGAGGGCGGCCTGGACGGCGACGATGACGACGGGGTGGAGGTCGGACTCATGAATGTGCTTGCGGGCGCGATCACCTGTGCGAGCGCTGCGGTGGCCGACGCGGGCATCGAGTGTGTGGATCTGGTGTCTGGTGGGGTTGCGGCGCTGGTGAGGAGGGCGCCTGCTGGGGGCGATGCGATGGATGTGGATTTGCCGGCGCCGGTGGTGGTTCTGGATCCGAGCCCCGCGGACGGCGGGCAGGTTGTATCGGCGGCGGTCGTGGGGTATATGGCGGGGAGAGATGAGGTCACGCTGCTCTGGACCAAGGGGGCTATGGAGACGGCGGATCAGGGTGGGGATGAGCTGGATCTGCTGATGGATGGGGCAATCACGACTGCGACGGCTGTTAGGCTCGTGTTGAACGAGGCGGTGAAGGAGAGGCTGCTGCTGGGGATTGCGAGGAGTAGACTGAAGAAGGAGGGTGGTGGAGATGTGCTCATGAGTTGAGATGGGTGGTAATCAAGAAAACAGTGTGTATTATTAGGTAGGTAGTCAAATAATCAATCAAACCATCTTGAAAGAAAGAAACCCCATTCATCTTGATAATAGACCACCATGAAACCACCCATACATACCACCACCACCTCCTATAAAAACCCCATCCGCACCGCCTCCAACCCAAGACCAACAGACAACTGTGAGAGAACCGGGCAACAGTATTCAAAAACAAAAAAAGGCAGGCGAATCACTACTAACTAATAGCACCCTGATAAGAACTCAATCAGTACCTAACATATTGTAGCTAAGTCTACCCTAACGCCTCACTTTTTGATACCGTGCAAGCCCTTTTTGCTCCCTTTTCGTCTTTCCCCTAGGTATATGAACCTTCTGCGAGGGATGCTGCCAGCTTTGTAGCTGGAGACGATGCGCGGATCAGTACTATGCTCGGGGTCCTCCACTTTTACTTTTTTATTGGCCTTTGGCGATTGCGAGGGGCTGAGGAAAATTTAGTGTGGTTATGCTTTTATGCTTGTACAAGAAGTACTTTACTACAGTCGACTCTCACTATAAGGGTACCTTCTATAAGAATACTCGCTCTATAAGGATACATTTTCTCGGTTCTTTTGGCCTTTTTGAGTACAAATTGACCCTTCCTATACCGGTACACACCCTATAAGGGTACCAATTTCCGATCTCGAGCGTACCCTTATATTGAGAGTCAACTGTATATGTAATTTATTACAATTAATATTTCCCGCTCTCTTACTTTAACCATCTACATGTACATCCCCCGCCCGTATCCAGCAAAAAATAAAATAAAAAAATATTTCTTAGAAGAAATTCAACAGCGCCGGGGGGGATCGAACCCCATCTCTTCCGGCAATTGTTCCTACGGCTACCCGATGGAAGCGCATTATCCACTATGCTACCGGCCTGTTGTCCTATAGTTGGCTGCCAGAGCAGATTCTAAAGATCTCTAGCTCTCCCGCCATTGATTGCAGATAAGATCTGCTTGAGAGAGATAAGGATATTTGATTCTATGAGCCAAGGTCACTCACTCCGTCCTATAGCTACTAATGAAATTGATGTCTGCTGTAGATATTCCATTCAATGGCACTGAGGGCGTCATTCAGGTGCAGGTGCAGGGTTAGGTTTTAGCGAAACTCTTTCGGTGCGTGTTCTTTTATACATGTAGTAAGACTTTGGAGTCTTGAACCCACGTCTTACCATACCACTCCCTCATGTAAAGACCTAAGGTACTTAGTCTCCTATCATTCTCAAGTGTCATGCAGAGCAACGAGTCTTGGGACGCTACTATATCTGTATCCAAATAGCACAGCACCCATAAAATTCCATAGACCGAGTGATAATCAATGATGCCATATCAATTCCCCTGTAAACGACCCAGATTTACCTGAACAGTGGGGGAAACTTTTTGATTCAAAGGTGCTGCACTGCATTGGTAGTGTGGCTCATAGACCACCGCACAGCTCTGTCCTTGAATATACACCCTGAAACAGCCAGTCCTTTGTCTCCACCCAGCACCACCCATTACAATCCAGAACACTTAGTATAGCCTAGAAACACAAGTCACCCACCGGCACCTTACACCAGGAACGTTGTGGGGTATGTTAGTAGAATATGTGTTCAAACACATTTCAACCGCTATGTGGTCGGACCCGGTTAAGAATATGTGTTAGTTTCAAGATCTATCCCTTCGTCTGGCGGTGCTGCCCACCCTATAACACAGGAATTAGATTTGTATGGGAGATCTATTATTTGATAAGAGATATAACGGGATCTGTTAGTAAAGCCACATATAAATTTGCTTTTTGGGGGGTGGGCAGCATTTTTTGCCAGACGAAGGGATAAGTTAAGCTGCGGAAAACCACTTAATCTATCATCATTCTCATGTTCCTAGACTCGAATATTCAGAGCAACAGCCCCCTCTAGACCTCAGATAGAGATATCTCGATCACAAACAGCCTGAAAACGTTTCCTACATGTATACAGGCTCCAGACACGATGGCTCATGGAATCGAGTAATAGCTCGTGATGCTAAAATCCAGAGGAGTTTAGAAAATAGAGCAGCTAGTAACTCCTATAAACTAATTGGAAAGACTTGGGCGCAGCGGTCATCTTATCACAGGCTACAGTTGAATCTCCCTATATGCTTGCTATAAGAATAATTGCACATAAAGTACAAACTCACCCTTTGTTATAAATTGGACTAGCCGCTCACTCGCTCACTCGCTCAGACAAGAAGGATGACAGTGTCAGTGCTATAGTTTTCGTATTGGAGGCTGCACAATGTGTGTAGCAGGCCCCACGTGCCAATGGAGGCACATACCACCACCACCACAGACTGCATCACCAAACATCACTCGTCCTATAAACACCTTTCAACTATATGTACTATCTACACCTGACACTACACTGGGCGAATACTCTCGCCAAGCGCCTCGACATCGACAATCTACGCATCCGTCAGCAATCTCTCTCCATCCACACACATCACACTATCGACTCACCTCTTTCGCGGCCTCAGCCGACAATACAATGGGGTGCTCCTCGCCCACGCAGATACTATCCTCGATCCTGATGCCCATACCCCTGAAATGCACTGGCCAGCGGTCGTCGTTTGGTACATACACGCCCCTATACCATACCCCAATTAGCTCTCCCATCCCCTCAAAAAAAAGCACAAAAAGACTCACGGCTCTACAGTAACACACTGCCCCTCCACCAGCCCCTTACTCCTCGAGCAACTATGGCAATCATGCACATCCAGTCCCACAAAATGGCCAACATGGTGCGGGAACAAGGTGTCCATGTTCCTGCCGCCCACGTCAAAGCCAATCTGCTTCAGGCCGCTCTTGAGCTCTGTCTCAGCGACCGAGTGGATGGCGTCGAGTGACAAGTTGGCGTTTTCGCGGCAGAGCGAAACGCATTTTTTTTGTGCGGAGAGCACGACGGAGTAGAGGTCGCGTTGGGCGGCGGTGAACACGCCCGAGGTGGGCCAGGTGCGGGTGATGTCCGTCACGTAGCCGCCGTATTGGCCGCCGGCGTCGACCAAGACGAGGTCGCCATTTCTGGAAAGGGGGGGGGGGGGGTTAGTGGGCGTGAAAGGAGGGAGGGGTGAGGGGGCTTACTTGAGGGTTTCGTCGTTCCTGGTGTAGTGGATTGTGCATGCGTTCTACCCATTGCTCTGTCAATATAAAGAAGATTCTCCCTCTTTCTCAGCGGGCCAATGCTCACCTCACCGCCCGCAACAACAGGTACATACGCCTCCTTCTCACACCCGCCCACCTTAAACTGGTACTCCAAAAACGCATGTAACCCCCTCTCCGTCAGAAATCTCTCCTGCATTGCCATATTAAACGCCCTCCCACTAATCTTCCCCGCCTTCCTCATATTCGCCACCTCTGCCGCACTCTTCACATTCCGCAGACCATGCATCACCGGCGCCAGCGGCACCGTCTTCTTCTTGATCCGATGCACAAACGAAAACGTGTCCGGCGCCGAGTGCACAAACGACGCATGGAACACGCTGACCGCGCGCGATGGGAATACAGACAGGTCCGTGTAGACGCTGCGCGCGCCACGTAGGTACGGCTCAAGGTGCAGCTCGAGGTTGTCGATGTTGAAGCCCTCGTCGGCGTTGAATACCTCTGTGGCGGCCTCGACGCCACTGCGCGCGCCGTCCCAGAGCTCGGCTTTGGGGTCTTTGTCGCGCACGTAGAGCTGGAAGATGTGTTCGCCTTCGGGCTGGCCGGATTCCTTGACTACAGGGAGTGAGCTTTACTGTGGGCGAGTGGGGGATGGGGGTGGGGTGGGGGAGGTACTGATGACGCAGACGGCCTCGGGCTCGAGGAAGCCGGTGAGGTAGTAGAAGTCGGGGTTTTGGTGGAAGTCGTAGAAGACGGGGCCAGAGCGGTACTTTACGTGCGAGGAGGGTATGATTGCGATGCAGTTGTCGGGGAGCTCTGCGGCCAGCTTTGCCCGGCGCATGGCATATTCGAGGGCCGAGATTCCGGGGGTCACTATTCACATATCTGAGAATCAGATTTTTTTTTTTGCCCTTGACTGCGCAATTGGGGTAACGGAAGTGGGGAGGAGTTTGGGAAAACCTTCACCGCGCTTGAGCAGGTGCGGGTGTGTCTCAAAAAGCGGCTGGCCGAAGGCTAACTTCTGCGGTGGAGGAGAAGAGCCCGCGCCCGCGTCGGAGGAGAGTGACCGCCGCGACTGTAGCTGCCGGGGGAGACTGGTGATCAGACATTGCACTCTGGCTGTGTTTGCGAAGAGAGCTGCGGGTCGCGCGGACGAGAGACGCTGCAGAACGGACCGACGTTGCATGGTTGCTTAAATTCTCTTCGAGAGCCGGTTGCACTCATCGTCGATAGCCCCACTGCATACCGCAGATCCACACCCCACCCCACCACACTGCCGCACCACAACCACACCCGAACCAACAAACACCCGCACACAGCACTCAACACCCCAGCCATGACTACCCCCACAGACACAACCACCCCGCACCTCCAAGACCTCGTCCAAACAGTACACAAAAACCTCAAACACCTCGCCGACTGGTCCTCCCTCGTGATCCACAGCTCCCCCTCCTTCCCCCGCCCCCTCATCACTGGCCTCCCGCCCGACCCCGTCTACATCGACCCCGACAGCGCCTCCACCTACAACGCCGAGGACAAGAACTCCCCCGAGCGCAGCCAGCACGAGTGGGTGCTCCCCGTCGACCTGCGCGAGAAGTGGACACTGCGCAAATGGGCGCAGGTGTTTGATAGCTTGCCGGAGGGATATTGGGGCGAGAGCGGAGGCAAGGTGAGGGGGAAGAGGATATTGCTGGCGGTGGTCTCGGATGATAGTACGGTCGTGCATTATGTCGTGCATGATGGCATCGTGAAGCCGAGGCAGAACTGAGTGGGGGAGGAAGGGGTGGCGGCGGTGGGAGGGGTCCGGGGTGCCCGCGCTGTTAATGGGAAAATGTTGTGCTCGAGATACCAGGTATTAATACAGACTTTTTTTTCTTTCTCTTTTTTTTCTTTTTCTTTTACGGGCGTTGTAGATATTGCGGGAATCAGATGTGTCGCATATTGCCATGGCGTACCAAGGTTTGAAACAGCAAGAGAGGCCTCTGGGACGAGGTTTCAAAGTTGAAATTGGGAGTGGTGATATATGGATTTTAAAGAAGCAAAACGGCATAAATAGAGCAATTACTACAAAAGAGTTCGTCTTGGAAGCGGCTGTTCACCACCGCATACACATAGAGCAGTGGGGTAGATGACGATAGATCTCAGCCCGCCCGCCCGCTTCAATTAACGAGTGATATCCCATGACCACACAACCACATCGTAGAGTCGTTATTCTAGAACCCGTATTCAACTTTTATTCCAAAACTCGCCTCTCACTCATAGCCAGCTGCAGTGAGATGGACAAATCCGTAGCATCTGGCTATGTATGTGTAGCCTGGACCAGCCATGTGTAGAGCCAATGCCTCTGCGCTGACCGTGGTCTTAATTACTGCATACGTAAACACATCCAATCCCATCCACCCTGCAGCTGACGACTGCGGCGATCTGGAAAACAAACATCCCCCCGAAACCCGGGCGGGGGGGTCTATGTAGAGTATGGAGGTACTCTTTCCCCCCGACCCGCGCTGGGGATTTCGTTTGGTGGCTGTAATATCGATTTAACTACCCGCCCAGGAGCAATCTACAGTCGAGTCTCTCTAAAGGGTACCTCCTTAATGTACAAGAATAATCGTCCTATGAAGGTACGACTTAAGCTTCTCGGTCCTTATCGGGCCTTTTATTATGTACCTACAAAATGATTCTTGCTATAAAGGTAAACGCCTTATAAGGGTACCGTTATAAGAGAAGGGGGGGGGGGGTGCGTTCGACTGTAGCTGTTAGCGAGTGCTCCAATATATGCCTACATGTATCTTTTCTACGAATACTGCTACGTATACCACCATCACTAACGGCTTCGCTCTGTCTTGCCGTGGAGGAGCGGGTGTGACTTGGGTGCTACGGCGGTATACTCGCATATCCAGTATGTATTGGCGCAACCAGCAAAACATACCTTTTTTTTACCCTTGGGCTCATTCCTTATGACCAACGCCCGTAGCTTGGCTTTGGGCTCCTTCTGGTGCGTAGATACACCGTACACAATATCAGAGGAGATAAGAAGGCTCTCAGGATTCTGTGCCCCTTGGTATTAATCTGCTATAAATGGCAATGTGGATATATTTCCTATTCAGAATCATCAACTATTGAGATTCTATAAATTACTAGGTTAATTAGAGGCCTTTAAATAAGATTATACTCGATTGTTGGGTCTTTAAATCATCTGTGGAAATGTCTATATGCTATTAAAAACATCGATTTTTGGTGTGTTTCGCTGGTTGCGCCAATACATTCTAGATATGCGAGTACGTACGGTCACTCGAGAGACTTATTACTTCTGCTTCTTGTAAGTGGCCATGGTGGTCGGGTGCACGTGGTTGACCGATCGACCCCAACGTGCCAGACGGCCAGCGAGTGCTCTCCCATGACGCAGGAGCTACTCTAGAGTACAGTGGTGTCCCGATAGTAGCATATGTTTGGGCAAATTTGTTCTCGATACAAGCATATCCCCGATAGTCCCGACCATATGCTATTATCGAGACTCCACTGTAGGTACTAGACGCGTCCTGCATGTCTTGGCATCACCACAACCACTGACTGCACTGCCGGTACCTGCAACTGCAACTGCAACCAGGTCGATAGCTCCCCCACCACTCACAACCACCACCCACCACCCACCAACCCACCAACCCACCTCCACCTCCACCTCCACCACCCCACGCCCAGTACAGACAGCACAGCTTCCACCGAGCACGAAACACCCGTAACCCAAAGCTAAATGGATATCGTACTCGCCGTCTCTAATTATGTCGGGAAGATGGTGTCGGCCGACGGGGCCGCGGGCTCGTCGGGAAAGATGAAGATCCTCCTGCTGGATAGCGAAACCGTCTGTTGCCCCCCCCCCCCCCCCAAAACCATCCTATCCTATCTCTGCTTCCGCGCCCCCCGCAGAGCGCCACGCGCTGACTGTTCAGTGAGTAGGTCTCGATTGTGTCCACAGCTATCACGCAGTCTGCGCTGCTGGGACATGAGGTGTACCTCATAGAGTTTGTGAACCCTTTTTTTTTAGCCCCCCGGTCTGCTGCTGCTGACAATCACTCGGAGTGAAGCCGACTAGACAATGCCGACCGCGAGAAGATGCGGCATCTCCGGTGCTTATGCTTCGTGCGGCCGTCGTCGGATGCGATACAGCTCCTCATTGACGAGTTCCGGGATCCAAAGTACGGGGAGTACCACATCTGTACCGGACCCCTCCCCCCCCCCCCGTGTTGAAGCTTAAGGCGGAGCTGACTAGGAAGCTGTCCGTAGACTTTAGCAACATCGTCAAAAAGTCCGCGCTGGAGCGACTCGCCGAAGCCGACGACCACGAGGTGGTCCGCGTGGTCCAGGAGTACTTCGCCGACTACCTCGTCATCAACCCTGACCTCTTCGCGCTGAGCCTTGGCGGCCCGCAGCGCCGCATCTGGTCGTCGAGCCCCGATATGTGGAACACAGACTCGCTCTCGCGGGCCGCCGACGGCGTGCTCGCGGTGCTGCTGAGCTTGAAGAAGAAGCCGCTGATCCGGTATGAGAAGAACAGCGCGCTGGCGAAGAAGCTCGCCGCAGAGGTCAGGTACCAGATTGGGCAGGAGGACCAGCTGTTTGATTTTGGGAGGCGCGCGGATACGCCGCCGATATTGCTGATATTGGATAGGAGGAATGATCCGATTACGCCGTTGCTGTCGCAGTGGACGTATCAGGCAATGGTGCATGAGTTGCTGGGTATACAGAATGGGCGGGTGGACCTGTCGGAGGTGCCGGATGTGAGGCCGGAGTTGAAGGTATGTGCCTGTTTGGTGGGTTTCCCGCGCGTTGGCTGACTCTGGTAGGAAATCGTACTATCGCAAGACCAAGACCCGTTCTTCAAGAAGAACATGTACCTCAACTTCGGCGACCTCGGCGGCAACATCCGCGATTACGTCGACCAATACCAGCACAAGACAAAGTCCAACATGAACATCGAGAGCATCGCCGACATGAAGCGCTTCGTCGAGGAATACCCCGAGTTCCGCCGGCTCTCGGGCAACGTCAGCAAGCACGTCACCCTCGTCGGCGAGCTCAGCCGCCGCGTCGAGAAACACAACCTCCTCGAGGTCAGCGAGCTCGAGCAGAGCCTCGCATGCAACGACTCCCACGCCGCAGACCTAAAGACCATCCAGCGCCTCCTCCAATCCAACATCCCCCACGAGAACAAGGTCCGCCTGGTCGCCCTCTACAGCTTGCGCTACGGGGGCACAAACAACAGCGCCATATCCGTCCTGCTCGACCTCCTGGCCGTCAATGGCGTCCCGCAGGGCCGCGTCAACGTCATCCCAAACCTCCTCGCCTACCAGGCGTCGGTGAAGCGCCAGGACGTCGTTTCCAAGGCAGAGTCCATATTCTCACTCGCCCGGACGGGATTTAAGGGGCTTAAGGGCGTGGAGAACGTGTATACGCAGCATGTGCCGCGGATGGAGCAGGTGCTGAATGACCTGATTAAGGGCCGGCTGAGCCAGCAGACGCATCCGTTTGTGGAGGGCACGGGCACGAGGGAGAAGCCGCAGGATGTCATTGTGTTTATGGTCGGCGGGACGACGTATGAGGAGGCGAAGCTGATTGCGCAGGTGAATGCGGCGACGCCGGGGGTGAGGGTGGTGTTGGGGGGTACGAGTGTGCTGAATAGTAGGACGTTTTTGGATGTAAGAAAGCTTCTGTGCTCCTCTTTGTGTGTTGGTTTCTCGGTGGGGTGAGTGGGACTAATGGAGTGTGCAGGAGATTGATGATATTGTGCCGACGTGGCCGGCGCCGGAGCCGACTACTGCGGCGGGGAGGTTGAGGAGGGAGGTGGGGGGGAGATAGCTTATTCAATTGGACTAGCGGTTTTATTTTTACTTTTTTTTTTATTCTTTATTCTTCGTGCTGAGACTGAGCTTGTGGGTTTCTTGTTCTTCTTCTTCTTCTTGCTAGATAAGGTGGGTTGTTGTTGCTGGCGTTAACGGTGGCGGGGAAATACAAAATTTTTAATACTAGCTTTATATGTAGAGACGAGAGGTGTATAACATATGGGAAGCAGCTGGCACACTGGTGAATTGTAGTATATGGGTTTGGGCTTGGGCTTGATGGGGGAGCGGAGCTACATAGCTACTAAGGGCGAGGTATCCCACGCCCATTTCCATTTATTCTCAGACCGGGGATATCTAAGTGGGTCCCACGTTTTGGACTACGCGGTTTGTAGAAGAGGAGGAGGAGGGGGGAGGGGGAGGGGAAGGGTGACGGGGAGGAGGCACAGGTTTGTTTCAAGATTTTGGACCAAGTAATCAGGTAGTGAGTGTTGTCTGTTTCTATCGCTGACCTGGTCCTGCAGTGTAGACTAATAAATCCTTATGTAATCATCCGTCGAGTGATACTCCGTGAATGTAACTCTAGGTGTTATCTATCTCACACAACATGACTCAAAGCCAGGTATAGCTCCCGGAATGGACAGTCCCAGATGCCTGTAAAAACGGCTATCTACAAACCAATAAATGCTGGCTCATATGAGTGAGCATGGTAGATCCGCAGAGTAGACATGTCCTCGAAGTGTTAGTCATGGTCCTTGCTTGGCAAGGCTTGGCTTGGCAAATTCAACTCAAGTTTGCCCCCCCAGGCCGCGTGCTGCCAGAGCGAGCACAAACCCTAGATCATTCACATACCTCTCTATAAGGCCACAAACCTTCCAATTCCCCCCCCCCCCCAAACCCCACCCCACCTACATCCACCCACTCCCCACAATCTAATTTCACGTCTCCAATCCATCCATTGCTCTTGTAACTCCCACCACACACAAACCACGACGAAGCTTTCCAAAGTCCTCGACCGAGGCATCGACCCAAATCATGGCGGACCAGTCCCAGTACAAGTATGCGAACATGTCCAACCTGGTGCTCCAGGCGGACAAGCGCTTCATCCACCGGCGCACCGACGAGGCCACGGGAGACCCAGAGTCGATGGCGGGCAAGGTGGACATTAAGATGATGGGCGACCGCGTCCTGCGCGACACGGCCCCCAAGGCGAAGCTGAAGAGCAAGAGGGAGAAGCTGAATATCGATGCCATGGAGGAAGGGAAGGATATCTTGGATAGGGAGAAGCGGAAACGGAAGAGAGAGTATGTTACCTTATTGTTCCTTTTTATCTCACACCGCCCCCCAACCCCCCTTCTTCTTCCAGATTTGGAGCAACGCGTGTTAAAACTTGGAGGGGAAAGAGATCTTAGGCGTGTGCTTTGCTAATTGGGTGGTTGTAGTGCTTCGAGTTATGGCGGGAGTATTCTGTCGGCGACAGACGACGTCCTGGGTCTTGTGTATCATCCACGCACCGCCGAAACACGGGAGGCGTATTCCTTAATCCTCACGCTTGTTGCAACGCTACTAGGCGGCGATGTGCCGCAGTCTGTAGTACGCTCAGCGGCGGATGCAATCCTTGAGATATTAAAGGACGAGGACGGCTCCAAGAAGGATTTCGACAAAAAGCGGGACATCGACGACATCATCGGCGAAAAGACCGACTCGAAAAAATTCACAGATCTCGTAAATCTTTCGAAAAAAATTAATGACTGGAATGCGGGCGACGAGGACGAGGCCATGGATGGGCGTGGAGATGGCGCGGGCGGTGAAGAGCTAGATGAGAGGGAGGGTGTCGCTGTTGTTTTCGATAAAGAGGATGAAGACGAGGACGAGGCGGCCGAGTTTGAGGTTCGGGACGGGGACTCGACGGATGACGAAGAAATGGACGACGCATCAGACACCGAGAAACCGACCGAGGAAGCTGCCGAGGGCGCAGAATCGGAAGACGAATTGATCATTGGCGGAACCAAAGACCGGGGCAAGGACGCCCGGAAGCAGGCAGTCGACAAGGACATTGTCCCCGCTCACGATATCGATGCATACTGGCTTCAACGACAAGTTAGCGCTAAATACCCTGATCCACATCTTGCATCGTCGAAAGCCACAAAGGTTCTCGAAATTCTGGCCCCCGAGGCTGAGAAGTCTCTTCGCCAGGTTGAGAACGAGCTTATCGAGGTCTTCGACTATGAGCATTTCGAACTTGTCAAAGTGCTCATGAAGAACAATGCCAAAATAGTGTGGTGCACGCGTCTAGCCCGCGCTGGCGAGTCGTCCGAAGAGCGCACGGCAATAGAACAGACAATGACAAGCACCGGATACCGTAAGATTCTTGACGAGCTTCGCGGTCGTGAGGTCGAGGATCTAGACGGGAAGACGGCGGGTAAGAAGGGGAAAGCAGATGTAATGGATATTGATGTACCTGCATCTGCGATCCCAACAGGCCCAGAAACCACTGCCAAATCGTCCGGCCTAACCGGCGGCCTACAGCCGCGGAAGACCATCGATCTAGAGAGCTTTGTTTTCGAGCAGGGGAACCATCTTATGACGAATGCATCAGTTAAGCTCCCTCAAGGTTCTACGAAGCGTACTTTCAAGGGATACGAGGAAATCCATGTCCCGGCGCCCAAGAAGAAAATCGACCCGAATGAACCGAAAGCAATCCCCATCTCCAGCATGCCAGAATGGGCAAGAGTGCCATTTAGTACAAGCAAGGAACTCAATAGAATTCAGACAAAGTGCTATCCTGCCGCGTTTGAGGACGATGGGAATCTCCTCATTTGCGCGCCCACAGGTTCCGGAAAGACGAACGTGGCAATGCTTACAATCACCCGTGAGATCGGGAAGCACAGAGACCCCGTCACCGGCCAGATCAAGCTGGACGACTTCAAGATTGTCTACATCGCCCCCCTGAAAGCGCTGGTGCAAGAGCAGGTCGGGAACTTTGGGAAGAGGCTCGCGCCGTATGGGATCAAAGTGTCCGAGTTGACCGGAGACAGGCAGCTCACGAAGCAGCAGATAATGGAGACGCAGATCATTGTCACTACCCCCGAGAAGTGGGACGTTATCACTCGTAAGGCGACGGATATGTCCTACACGAACTTGGTACGCCTCATCATTATCGACGAGATTCATCTGCTGCACGACGACCGTGGTCCCGTCCTGGAGTCGATTGTCTCCCGTACCATCCGCAAAATGGAGACAACGTTGGAGCCCGTGAGACTTGTCGGCCTGTCTGCTACCCTCCCCAACTACCGCGACGTTGCCAGCTTCTTGAGGGTGGACACGAACACCGGCCTCTTCCATTTCGACGCCACCTTCCGTCCCTGCCCACTGCGTCAAGAGTTCATCGGTATCACCGACAAAAAGGCCATCAAACAGCTACAGACCATGAACGACGTTTGCTACACAAAAGTCATCGAGCAAGCCGCCAGCAACCAGATGCTCATCTTCGTCCACTCGCGCAAGGAAACCGCCAAGACCGCAAAATACATCCGCGACAAAGCACTCGAGCTCGAAACCATCCAGCAGATCCTGAAATCGGACGCCGGCACCCGAGAGCTGCTCCAGCACGAGGCGGACCAGGTCACAGACGCAAATCTGAAGGATCTGCTGCCGTACGGATTCGCGATACATCACGCTGGTATGAGCCGTGCAGACAGGACCACGGTGGAGGATCTGTTTGGTGATAAGGCGATCCAGGTGCTGGTGTGCACTGCGACGCTGGCTTGGGGTGTGAATTTGCCCGCGCACACGGTCATTATCAAGGGAACGCAGATATACTCCCCTGAGAAGGGAAGCTGGGTTGAGTTGAGTCCCCAGGATGTGCTACAGATGCTTGGGCGTGCAGGTAGACCTCAGTATGATACTTACGGAGAAGGTATCATCATCACTACACAGTCAGAAATGCAATACTATCTTTCACTGTTGAACCAGCAGCTCCCGATCGAGTCGCAGTTTATGAAGAAGCTCGCCGATAACCTGAACGCCGAGATTGTTCTGGGTACAGTCCGCAGCAGAGATGAGGCCGTGGAGTGGCTGGGGTATACCTACCTCTACGTCCGTATGCTTCGGTCGCCGGGTCTCTACTCAGTGGGCGCAGATTACGCCGAAGACGAAGCGCTCGAGCAGAAGCGTGTGGATCTAATCCATTCTGCAGCGGTGGTGCTGGAAAAATGCAACCTCGTTAAATACGACAAGAAGACCGGAAAGCTACAGTCAACAGAGCTTGGAAGAATCTCGTCTCATTACTACATCTCGCACAACTCAATGCTGACATACAACATCCACCTTCAGCCTGCACTCACGCCCATCGAGCTCTTCCGCGTGTTCTCGCTTAGTGAGGAGTTTAAGTACATCCCCGTGCGTTCTGAGGAGAGGCTCGAGTTACAAAAGTTGTTGGCCCGAGTACCTATCCCCGTCAAAGAGAGCATTGAAGAGCCACAGGCAAAGATCAACGTTCTCCTCCAAGCCTATATCTCACGTCTCAAACTCGAGGGTCTCGCATTGATGGCCGATATGGTTTACGTTACACAATCCGCAGGGCGTATCCTCCGTGCCATCTTCGAAATCTGTCTCAAGCGTGGGTGGGCCAGTGTCGCGAAAACAGCGCTCGACCTGTGTAAAATGGCCGAGAAGCGGATGTGGCCGACTATGACGCCGTTCCGACAGTTTCCTATCCCGCCTAATCAGTTAGCGCCGATTGTGAACAAAGCAGAGCGAGCGGCGGAGTTTACATGGAGCAAGTACTTCACTATGGACGTGCCCCACCTATCTGAGCTTTTTTCGAGTAAGGGTGGTGCAAGCTCAAGGACTGGAAAGTTGGTGCATAGCTTACTTGAGAGGTTCCCAAGGCTGGATGTTCAAGCGCAAGTTCAGCCTGTCACCAGGAGTATGCTGAGGGTGGAATTGACTATAACGCCGGATTTTGTGTGGGATGTTGAATACCACGGACAAGCGGAGAGTTTCTGGATTCTTGTGGAGGATTGCGACGGTGAAGATATTTTGTTCCACGATCAGTTCATACTCCGCCGTCAATATGCGGAGAGCGAAAATAATGAGCATTTGGTCGAGTTCACGGTGCCAATGACGGAGCCGATGCCACCCAATTACTTCATTACTGTTGTGTCTGACCGCTGGATGCATTCTGAAACGAAGCTTGCTGTGTCTTTCCGGAAACTGATTTTGCCAGAGAAATTCCCGCCGCACACACCTCTTTTAGATCTTGTGCCATTGCCGGTGGAGGCTTTGAAGAAGAAAGAATACATGGAGCTCTATCCAGACTGGAGACACTTCAACAAGATCCAAACGCAGGTTTTCAAGAGTCTCTTCGATACTGATGATAATGTCTTCGTTGGCGCGCCAACTGGAAGTGGAAAGACCGTGTGTGCCGAGTTTGCCCTGCTAAGGCATTGGAGCAAGGATGACGATGAGCCTGGAAGGGCAGTGTATATTGCGCCTTTCCAGGAGCTGGTAGATATGAGATACAGTGACTGGAAAGAGAGGTTGAGTGGCTTGGCCGGTGGAAAGGAAATTGTCAAGTTGACGGGAGAGACGAGTGCGGATTTGAAATTGCTCGAGAGGGGAGATTTGATCATGGCAACGCCTACGCAGTGGGATGTGCTGTCCAGGCAGTGGCAGAGGAGGAAGAATGTGCAAACTGTGGAGCTGTTCATTGCGGATGAATTGCATATGCTTGGTGGTCAGAACGGCTATAATTACGAGATTATAGTGTCGAGGATGCACTATATTGCTGTTCAAACCGAGAACCCGATGAGGATTGTTGCGCTTAGTGTTAGCTTGAGCAACGCCAGGGATTTGAGTGAATGGATTGGAGCAGACAAGCATACCATCTTCAACTTCAGCCCCCGAGATCGACCAACACAACTGGAGATCCATATTCAGTCCTTTACGATACCTCATCAACCATCTTTGATGATCGCCATGGCAAAGCCGACCTATCTGGCAATTTGCAGCACTCCGGCAGACAAACCCGTCATTGTGTTTGTTCCTTCTCGCAAGCAGTGCAGGGCTACTGCGCTAGACATTCTTTCGTACTGTGTTGCTGATGGAGATGAGGATAAGTTCCTAAACGTCGATTTGGATGACATTACCGAGTACTTAAATGACGTCGAGGAGAAGGCCTTAAAGGAGAGCTTGAGCCATGGTATCGGATACTATCACGAGGCACTATGCAAGAACGATAAGCTCATCGTCGAGGGGTTGTTCAAGCACGGTGCGATCAAGGTGCTGCTGGCAAGTAGAGATGTTGCATGGGAGTTGAAGAATAGTGCCTTTTTAGTTGTTGTGATGGGAACACAATTCTTCGAGGGGAGGGAGCACAGATATATTGATTACCCTCTCTCGGAGGTTTTGCAGATGTTTGGGAAGGCATCCCGAGCTGGAATAGACAAGAGTGGTAAAGCAATTCTTATGACGCCCGCGGTGAAGAAGGACTATTACAGGAAGTTTTTGAACGAGGCGTTGCCAATTGAATCTCACTTGCCAGCATATCTTCACGACGCATTCGTTACGGAAATCAGCACCAAAACTATTGGATCTACTCAAGATGCCGTGGATTGGTCTACTTACACCTACTTTTACAGGAGGTTGCTTGCAAACCCGAGTTTCTACAGCTTGACAGACACATCCCATGAAGGGCTTAGCACACATTTGTCGGAGATGGTGGAAAACACTTTGAAAGACCTTGCCGAGGCAAAAATTATCGATGTTGACGAGGAAGATGATACTGTCACTCCTCTCAACGCCGCTATGATTGCGGCTTATTATAACATTTCTTTCATCACCATGCAGACATTCCTTCTTTCGCTTACAGGGAAGACAAAGCTCAAGGGTATCCTCGAAATTGTTACTTCAGCGACAGAGTTCGAAAGCATTCAGATCCGACGCCACGAGGATCGTGTGCTCAAGCGGATTTACGATAACGTCTCTGTCAAGATGTCACAGCCCAACTACGAAAGTCCACACTTCAAGGCGTTCGTGTTGATTCAGGCACACTTTTCGCGAATGCAGCTCCCGGCGGATCTGGCAACAGATCAGGCAGTGGTGTTGTCAAAGGTGTTGAATTTGCTGAGCGCGTGTGTGGATGTGTTGAGTTCTGAGGGCCATATCAATGCGATGAACGCGATGGAGCTGTCTCAAATGTGTGTGCAGGCTATGTGGGATAGGGATAGCCCGCTTAAACAAATTCCATTCTTTAGTCCGGAAATGGACAAATTTGCAACTGAGCATGAGTATGTTTCCCTCCATCTTGTCTGTATCTCCGATCGATGACTAATGGTTGTGTCTACAGGATCAATGATATCTTTGAATTTATGGCGTTTATGAGTGAAGTTGACAAACGCGCCACCCTCGTCAATCATCTTAATCTCGATAAATCCCAGCTCAACCAGATCTCAACCTTCGTGGGCACAAAGTACCCTGACCTTGAGATGGAATATGAGCTTGAAGATGAAGACTCGGTCGTCGCAGGATCACCAGCTTACATCAAGGTTAAGATTGTGCGTGAGCATGACGAGTCCAAGGAAGTTGACACCACTGTCCATGCACCATTCTACCCGCAAACGAAGATGGAGAATTGGTGGCTTGTTGTTGGAGAGCAAGCAACAAAGAACTTGCTGGCCATCAAGAGAATCACTATTGGGAAGAAACTGGATGTCAGGCTGGAATACGTCGTTCCAACACCTGGCAAGCATGAATTGAAACTGTATTTGATGAGCGATAGTTACATTGGGGTGGATCAAGAACAAGAATTCGAGATTGATGCAGCAGAGGGTATGGATGAAGATGAGGAGGAAGAGGATGATGAATAGCTATACCTAAAAGCTTAGTTTGTGTGGGTTTCTTTTTTTTTAGCCTTTGCCCCCCCCCCCCCCCTTTTTTTTTGTATTTCTTTCGGTATGGGGGCTAGTAACATTGCAAATTGGATAGGATCTAGCAGGAAAAAAAATGAAGGATGATATGCTTTTGCTTTGTATGATATATTGTGTGATGGGGGAAGGTGTGGGTACGGATAGATGTCTTAATGTAACGGTTTATTTATTTACCTTTCACAAAATTTCGTATATTAGCCATCCGAGCAGAAGAAACGTGCGCGGCGCGATACTATAGACTTCATGGTCGACCAATATCCGGCCGTGTGTTGGGATATTTCCGAAGTGTTTTGCTCCTCTAAGTATTGAGGTGCTCCAACAAATCCTCTGTAGTTGACATGCCCTTACGGACGACCTCTCCTCTATTGTACGCGATGAGGAAAACGTAACCAAGTGGTGAATCAATAAGTCTTTCAATGAGCGAAAAGCTCAAGCCTAAAGCTCGAGCTGGCTCGCGGGCCCATGGGCTACACTAGGCCCGTAGAAGGAACAGGCAGGCCCAGCTCAGCCCGTGGAATATTGATGCGGGCCCGTCGCTCGGTGGGCTAGCCTAAGTCGCCCTCTGTGCATACCGAAAGTACTACAGTACCAAGAAAGCGGGCGAATCCAGTACTTGCTACGGTATTGCTACGGTATAATGGTTTAATTCGGGGTTTTACATAATTTCGTTTTGTTAAAGTATTTATTACATCCCATTTTCTTACTGAAGCAATGCCTGATGGGTGAATATTAGCAGCGTTTGAGAACAGGCTGTACTTACACTAGGTACGTGTACTATCAGTGGACGATGCGTTTATATATATAATTGACTAGAGGTTTTCCCATTTTTTACCAACCGGAATCATTTTATAATGCCCTACCTCTAATCAATTTATACTATCACTTCAAACCAAGTTGATGAATGAAATAAAGCCTTACGTTCCTCCTTTCCCTACTACTCGGGGTTGGAACGGTCTTCCCCTTGGAAGTACTTACCCGGGCAGAGTACATAAACAGAGCAATCATTTACTGAAGGGCTGTTCCGGCATATTCCAGTATACCCTTAACGCTCTATGTAGGAAGCCTGGGTGCAGGACCAATCATCACCCGCCATTTGCGAAATTTATTAGGAGATATAGGGAAGCATCGGACCGTAATATCTATGGCCATTCTCCACTGAACACTTCCTTTATTCCTATTTAACTTGATGAGTTTATTCTAAGCATGTTTGCTCGTCAAAGGAAAGCCAACTCATAGTTTTTCGAGGATACAGTAGAACGGAAGGTACGGGAAATAGCTAGCATTGTGCCCACGGGAAAATAAACATTTGAAACAGACATCTATCTGTAAAACTCAATCGATAGCAAAAACTCAACGAAAAATAAATAAAAAGAAACCAGCCACAATTCTTGTTCAACCAATGAAACATTACACCGTCCATCTACACCATGACTAACGCAAGCAAAGCCATCCTGCAGTAAAGCCCATACCTCATCTATTGCGGCCTGTTAGCAACTGTCAAAGCCTTTGAGAGATGTCAAGGAATAAAAATAATACCTGTCTGAAATAAGCTGCCCTTTGATCAAAGTCCAATTCTTCCCCGATTTCTGCATTCCTTGGCAATGGGTGCAGAACGACCATATGACTCTTCGCATTCTTCATAACCGTATTGTCAATCACGAAGCTGTTCTTCAATCTCTCGAATTCAGATAGATCTTCAAAGCGTTCCTTCTGAACACGCGTGCAGTAAAGCACATCGGAGTTGGCAACAACATCAGATGTAAGCTCGGTGTACGTTTCGATAGTCATGCCAGAAGCTCGGAGAGCTTCGATGATCGTTGGTGGCATAGCGAGCTGCGGGGGAGAAACAAAGTTGATACGGACGTGATAGTGTTGGAGAAGCTTCGCTAGGGAGTGCACTGGGCGGCCGAATTTAAGATCTCCCACAAAGGTGATTGTAAGACCATTGACGGTTCCCAATTCCTCACGGATCGTAAAGAGGTCAAGGAACGCCTGAGTAGGGTGCTCAAGACTGCCGTTTCCTATAAGATATGTCAATAATCTAATTCATGAGAGAATATGTATTAGTCTCGTACCTCCATTGATGATAGGAACTGGCGAAAATCTAGCAGCTGTGGCAGCACTAGATTCATCTGGGTGTCTCAACACAACAGCATCACCGTAGCATGCAAGAGTACGGATAGTATCCTGTAGAGTTTCACCCTTAACCTGGCTTGAGTGTGCAGCTGAGATAGCTACAGTTCGTCCTCCAAGGCGTTGCATAGCGGCGTCAAAAGATGCAGAAGTGCGAGTGGATGGCTCAAAGAACATGGTACAGAGCAAGCGGCCCTTAAGAAGATCAATGACTCCCCAACGCTCAACAGCGAGTCTCATCTCCTGTGCAACGGTGAAGAGATGATGAAGGTCCGCACGGTTGAATTGGCTGACAGAAAGAATATGGCGGCGCTTGAACATGTTCTCCCGAGATAGAAGCTTCTGGAGCGATGGAGATACCATAGGCACAGGCGGCAATATTTGAGAGGGAAGGCTTGGTACTGCCTCTACCATAGGACTTCCAACATGAAGTGATGGCATCTCGTTACTTACGGAATGCATACGTGCCATCAAATTCGGGCTCAGGATCTGGCGGGCATGAGAAGCCTCCGGAGCACGGGAAGGCTCAGGAGCCGCAGCTGGAGCGTTAGAAACCGGGTTGTGGAATGTGACAGAGGCCTGCGACCCGAGTGTACCATCACTGTTGACACGGCCGTCAAGGGTGACAGTCGTATTTTCGAAAGTGACCCTCTTTACAGTCGCCTTGAGCTTGCGTCCGACGAGAGGAGACCAAACTTCGAATGGTTGCAAGACATATGACCTGTCCATTTCAACCTCAACAGAGGAGAGAGGCTGATCATGTAGCTCGAAAATTGCCTTTGGATTATCATGCAGGCGAAGCTTAACATCCTCAATTGTCAAGAGACCATCGCATACGGCAGTGATCAATAGAGGAAGCGAGTCCACAATACCAACAGAAGGGCAAGGTCCATTCTTGGTGTCGTGAGCCAATTGATAGGGCAAACTTCCCACAGAGAAGCAGTCAATGCTGGCTAAGTTCTCCCAAAGTGCCTTTTGGTCCTTGACTGTCGGCAATGAGGTGCACTCAGGATAGTCCTCTTGCGTGAAAAAGAGAGTATAGACAGCAACATCGCATGTGACCTTAAGACCCTTTTCCTTACTCAAGGCAATCAATCGGATATCGTCCTTTGTTGTCACACTGGTAACGTGGACATTGCGATTGTGGAGACTGGCAAGAAGCAGTATCGAGGCCAGGTCCGTGGTTTTCGCGTCAGTCATTATAGGCTTTTGTGCAGGCCAAATCTCGAAGTGAGAAGTGACCGCTGCTACCTTGTTTATGTTGCCAGAAAGATGGTTGAAAGGAATGAAAAGAGAACCAACTTGGGTAGTAAGCTGGCCCAGCTGCTGAGCGTTGGTTGATGTAGCCGCGACAGAAAAGTTAAAATCACAATGAGCCTTCTTGCTGTTCGCCTGAGCCGTCTGCAAGGCTTTGGCATCTGTCAGACTGTTCTCGACACCTAGGGGTAACACTCTAATCATTGAGAATCCTGAAGCAATAGACTCTTTAGTAACACGCTCGAAATCTTTGCTGCCTTCTTTGGCTAGGCCAGGAACAAAAGCGGCGATGTTCACAAGGCCAGGGAGTGTGATAGTGCGGTGACTTGTTTGATAGTCAACAGTATCGACATCCAGCTTAAAGCCACGAGCAATAGCCTCAATCAGTAGCTTCGCGTTCTTGACATTGGTGACCAGAGGAGTGTGGTAATCGACGGCCATACGTCTGGTTTGGTAACCTCTAGACATGTATGACGCAGGTCTACGGAACCTATTGGCAGAAGGCAAGTTGATATACAAATCGATCAAGTTGTTGGCCAAATGCTGCGTCAAAGAGTATTCAGACTTTTGGTCACTTGACTCTCCAGGTGCACCTTCACCAAGAACCTCGAGATACTGGACGGGGATTCCGTGCTCTTGGATGAAATCCGCAGTACCGGCGGTGGCGAAGAGCTTGTATCCGAGCTGGTGTAGCTTCTTGACAGATGGAAGCATCTCCATCTTTTCCTTGAAGGAACCAATGGACAAGAGAATGTTCTTCTTAGGCAAACGGAACCCAGTAGAGAGCAGGGCCTTGAGGTACGCCTCGAATTTATCGCGACCAAAGCATGCAACCTCACCGGTAGAGGCCATTTCCACACCAAGAACTGGATCCGCGCCCGACAAACGGGAGAAACTGAAGTGTGGTACCTTGATTCCAACATAGTCTTTTGGAATATCAATAGCGGGATACGCATCTACTGGAAGTCCCATGATTGCCTTAGTTGCCATCTCGATAAGATCTACGCCCATGACCTTAGAAACAAATGGGAATGATCGTGAAGCTCTGACATTGCACTCGATCACCTTGATCTCATTGTCCTTTGCAATGAACTGAATGTTGAATGGACCAGTGACATTAAGAGCGTTTCCGATTTTTCTGGTGGCCTCTTCGATTCTCCGCACAGTTTCCGGGTCCAAATCCTGTGGGGGCAAAATTAATGTAGCGTCACCTGAATGAACACCAGCATTCTCAACATGCTCTGAAATGAAATGCATAATCATCTTTCCATCTTTTGCCACAGCATCCATCTCAATCTCCTTGGCATTTTCAATGTACTTGGTGATGACCACAGGGTGTTCTTTTGAGACATCGGCTGCCTGATTGAGATAGTTTGCGAGATCGTCTTTTGAATATACGGTGTTCATGGCCGCTCCAGAGAGCACGTAGGACGGGCGAACCAATACAGGATAAGTGACCTTCTCGCAAAAGTCTGCAGCCTCTTCAATACTGGTGAGTTCCTTCCAAGCTGGCTGGTCCACCTCAATTCTATCCAACATGCGGGAAAATTTGTACCGGTTCTCGGCACTGTCAATCATCTCAGGTGAAGTTCCCAAGATCTTGACGTTAAGGCGGTGTAGTGGAAGAGCAATGTTATTAGGAGTTTGACCACCCATAGCAATGATAACACCGCTTGATGATTCAAGCTGGTAGATATCGAGGATAGTTTCGAGGTTGATGTTCTCGAAGTAAAGTTTATCGGCCTCATCATAGTCAGTACTGACAGTCTCGGGGTTGTAGTTGACCATGATTGTCTTGACACCCTTTGAACGAAGAGTCCTGACAGCACGAACAGCACACCAATCGAATTCGACGGAAGATCCGATTCTGTAAACACCGGACCCAAGAACCATGACACCCTTATCATTGAAATCCACATCGTGTTCAATGCCATTATAAGTCATGTAAAGGTAATTGGTGAAAGCAGGGAATTCCGCAGCGACTAAATTACGATTAGAGTGTTTGTAGCCATATCGAAAAGTTGAAGCTTACCAGTATCGATCTGTTTTACAATGGGCATGATACCCTGTTCAACACGTAACCTCCTGACCGCAACTTCGTTAGAGCCCCAAAGCTCAGCCAATTGCCTATCTGAAAATCCCAACTGCTTCGCCTGTCTGAATAGTGGGGCAGTGATAGTCGAGGCGTTGAAAGTGCTCATGATTTTACCAAAGTCAATCAGTCCCATGAGCTTATTCAGGAACCATTTGTCAATTTGGGTGAGTTGCCAAATTCTATCCACGGTATAACCCTGGTGCATAGCATTTGCAATGGCAAATAATCTTTGATCAGAGGGGGTCTGCAACTCCTGATCGATGCTCATTAAGGCCTGGGTTTGGTTAAAGCCAATATTGTGGAAATCGATTGCACGAATTGCTTTTTGGATTGCCTCCTCGAAAGTACGGCCAATACTCATGACTTCTCCAACACTCTTCATCGAAGAAGAAAGAAGGGTAGAAACACGAGTGAATTTCTTCAAATCCCAACGCGGGATCTTGACTACAACGTAATCAAGAGAAGGCTCGAAACAGGCACATGTGACCTTAGTGACGGAGTTTTTGATTTCATTGAGAGGGATTCCGAGACCCAATTTGGCAGCAATGAACGCAAGCGGGTATCCAGTAGCCTTTGAAGCCAAAGCCGACGATCTGGAAAGACGGGCGTTGACCTCAATAATGCAGTACTCCTTGGAGAATGGGTTAAGGGCATATTGAATGTTACATTCACCAATAACACCCAAGTGCCTGATGACATTAACAGCTGTTGTTCGTAGCATATTGTAGTCTTCATCTGACAATGTTTGAGACGGCGCAACAACAATTGAATCACCTGTATGGATTCCGAGAGGGTCAAAATTCTTAAAAGAAGTAGCAATTAGTTTCCCGCGCTAGTACCCAGAAACGTAAACCTTACCTCCATATTGCACACGGTTATGCAGTTATCGCGGCAATCTCGAACAACCTCGTACTCAATCTCTTTCCAACCCTTCATAGACTTCTCGATGAGCACCTGTGGGCTTGCGGCAAATGCCTTGTTGCATAGATCAACCAGTTCTTCCTCATTGTTTGCAAAACCACTTCCAAGACCACCAAGAGCGTAGGCAGCGCGAACGATCACTGGAAACTTGATGTCCTTGACCACCTTCAAAGCTTCCTCGACAGATGAGGCGGACGCGGACTTGGCACACTTCTCGCCAATATCCTCCATGGCCCTGGCAAAAAGCTCCCTGTCCTCGGTCTGGATGATTGTCTCGATGGGCGTACCGAGAACCCTGACTCCAAGTTTTTTAAATTCGTCCTTAAGCTCAATACCGACTTGTAGAGCGGTTTGACCACCAAAGGTAACGTAAATTGAATCTGGTCGTTCATGAATGATGACCTTTCGTACAAACTCAGCCGTTACGGGAAGGAAGTAGACCTTGTCTGCAAGACCCTTGGAGGTTTGAATAGTAGCAATGTTGGGGTTGATTAGAATAGTATAAATTCCCTCTTCCTTGAGAGCTTTGATTGCCTGTTGAATTTATTAGTTTATCAAATCCCAGAATACTAGTACGCTGCGCATAGCTTCTCAGGACAGAAAGAAGTTATACTATGCGCTCCAAGATCTCAACCAGAGAAAAAATAGTGGATCATGAATTCCAGATATCTAGATTTACGTACCTGACTTCCAGAATAGTCAAACTCTCCGGCCTGTCCAATACTCAAACCTCCACTACCCAGGACAAGAACTTTCTTTATTGAAACCTTAGGGTACACCTTCTCATTATCAGCGAGGAGGCCACCAGGCATTTCCACGGGAGTGTTCATGGCAGTGTTCTTTTCAGGGCCCAGAGTCTTCTTCACGGCGTTGAGGAAAACATCGAAGAGGAATTCGGTGTCTTTGGGGCCGGGGGTACTCTCGGGATGGAACTGAACACTGAAGAACGGCTTTTGTGTGTGCCAAATACCTTCGTTCGAGCCATCGTTGGCGTTGACAAACAGCTCTTCCCAGCCGTTTTTCAATGTTTCGGTGTCAACCGCAAAACCATGGTTTTGAGAGGTAATGTAGCATCGTCCGGAGATGAGGTTAGTGCAGGGGATGTTATGCCCTCTGTTACCGAACTTCATTTTCTTCGTCTCTGCGCCAGCTGCTCGTGCAAGAAGCTGATGACCAAGACAAATACCAAAGATGGGGGTCTTAGCATCGGCGAGAGCCTTCTCGAGGTTCTTTACCGTCTTGGAGAGAGTCGCTGGGTCACCGGGTCCGTTACTGATAAAAAGACCGTCATATTCCCCATCTTCCTGGGAGATATCATAGTCCCAAGGGACGGCTTTGACTTCCACGCCTCGAGAAAGAAAGCAACGGAGCTGGTTGTTCTTTCCGCCAACATCGACGAAGAGGATGCGGACAGTCTTACCATCGGGTCGCTTCAAAGCTTTATCCGCAGGTGGCGAGAAGATTTTTGGCTCCTTGATGGAAACTATTATACCAGCTATTAGCGACTAATAGGGAGATGGATACTGGCACGTAAATTACCTTCGGCGACAAGATTCTTAACATTGGGGTCAATCCAGTCAACCTCCTCAAAGTCGTTTCGCCAATCTTGGCTTACGCCCTTCGTACCAACAATAGAGCTCAAACCACTAGCAATTTTCTCTCCAACGCTAGTGCTCTTTTGAAGCATCATCTTTCCGAGCATACTTCCTTGAGTCCGGATCTTCTTCGTAAGAGCCCTGGTGTCGACGCCATAGATGGCAGGAACACCCTGCTCCTTCAACCATGATCCCAATGAGCTTTCTGCGAGGTAGTGGCTGTAGTCTTCTCCCGAATAAGAAGCACAGATCATTCCCGCAACGTGGATTTCCTTGGATTCAAAGTAAGGAGACAATGATCCAAGGAGCTCGTCCATGGTATCTCTAGAAGGCACACCTAATTTAAAATCAGTATTATTATTTAATTGCAACATTTGGGTAGGATAAGGTCTACCATAGTTTCCAACAAGGGGAAAGGTCATAACCAGAATCTGACCCCGGTAGGAAGGATCAGTGATCGTTTCCGTATATCCCACCATTCCTATAAGTGGCAAACTGTCAGAAAACGTCTCCCAAAGATAATTTTTCGTGGGATACAATAGCAAGAAAATCACTGCTATCACATGATCAATTACCTGTTTGGAAAACCAATTCTCCAGACACGCTCTTTTCGGCTCCAAAAGAGAACCCTTGGTAGGCACTTCCATCTTGCAACTCAAGTGTCATGAGGCATTCTTGAGCAGATACTTTACCATCTTTTCCTACGAATTGGGCTGCAACCGGCGGGTACGGCACAATCAAAGACTTTGTCTGGCCATCTTTGGACATTGTAACTTTTTACTGTTATTTGTTCTCGATAAGGTGGTTCTGGGGAAGGTTTTGCTGCGAACGGCGGGGCAACGCAATGTACCTGGCGACGAGCAAGTAATGGTATTCCGCAACAAGACAGTGCTCAATTCTCAAGTGTGAGAGTGCAAAAAAAAAATGTTTGAGAAAAGTGGTTGAGAATCACGGTGGAAGCGTGAGGATGATGTGTGCACACCTTACCGGAAAATGAAAGACTTCCATATAAAAAGAGAGAGAAGAAGAAGAGAGAGGGAAAAAAAAGAAGAGAAGCGGAAAAAAAAAAAAAGGAAAAAACTCTCATCCAGCTTGGGCTATTGGTAGGCACCACCCCACTTAGCGCTACATGGCTGAATTGCCCCTCCATCAGATGAGGCAGGGGTCCACTCGCCAAGATTTACATGCCGCGTCTGAGATCGCACCGTCACCCGTCACTCGCTGTTCTAAACTTTATCAAGCACTTATCTGATTAAAATCAGGGTCACGTGATTGATTTATTCTGACTAACGTGATCTATACTAATCTAATCTAATCTAACCACTTGTTGCTGCACACCTTGCTTAAACGTCAGTTCAAGTCACTTTCACGGAAAGATACATGTATCCCCGCAACATTGAGGATCAAGGTATTATTAGAGAGGACTCTTTACTAAGCCCCAATAATTACCTCTCGATGTAATTATTTGAAAGCCACCAAAAACCTCATTGTCCTTAACTCCCTTAACGGATAAGTTGGGCTGTCCGAACATCACATTACAGAGCTTTTCTCCTGCTTCATTATTCTACCATAAAAATCCGCAACAATTCGGGCCGTCCGAACGGAGCCTTAAAATTATTTAATAGCAACTATGATACACGCTTCGCTTACATAATCCCTGACCCTGAGTCTGCCTACCGATAAAAAGTTAGTTACAGTGGAGCGCACCCGGGAAAAAACTCCACCAGGTACTCACCTTCAATCCTCCATTGCTCAATGCGAATTTGATGCAATCCACCAAGATGGAATTCTCCTTCAACCATTTCTCTTTCTCGTCATCCATTGAATCAAATACCACAATCATGATGTTCGTCTTCCGAAACGATGTACCATCATATTCAAGCATTTGCCATTGCTCCCCCGTCGTAACGAAGCCATACACCTTGCCTTCACCATTGCTGTCTCTCATGGCTTTCATCGCCAACAGACACTGCTTCATCGCCTGTCCCAAAGAAGATCTCCTTGCCTCTACTATGAGGATGAACCTTTCTTGTTTCACCGAAATCAGATCCAATACAGCAAATTCCTCCGTGCCTCCTGTTTCACCGTCGGTAGAGACAATCTCTTTCTCGCTCCGTAACTGCACAGTCACGCGTCCGGTCTTGCATATAAAATCCCTAAGTATTGGACTGATGGTCGCATATACCAGATGATTAATGTTCGATTCTTTAAAGTCCGGATCCCCTTCCGTAGGATATCCTTCGATTTGAAGATATTCCAATATGTGATCATACACCTTTTCCTTGGTCGTCAAGATGGCATCCGGGCTCTCTCCTTCATTTGCGTTTGCGAGCATTCTCTGGACCGGTATCCCTTTGAGCGATCGGATTCGGAAACCTAGTCTTTCCTCTGCTTGCGCAATGGTCATGTTCGGATACGAAGTAGTCCACTTCGACTTTCGCTTCTTCAGGTTGTTATCGTCACCCATCGTATTCCACGTTGGAGGATGTGACTGTCGCTGTACGCTTCCTGTAACCACGAATTAGCATTTAATTCCAACCGTCGGGAATAGAGGGAGACTCACGATATCGTCTAGGGTGTTGCTGTCATTAGTATTAGTACTATAGTGGGGATGGTGTATACCGATCCGTGGCGGCGGGAATGCCTACATCTATATACCAGTGCAGTGGCCGGTAACTCCCCCGTTTGGTGAGTCTTGGCTGGCACGAAACCCTAGCCTGTGCCAGGCCTGATTGGCTGCGTGCCGGGCAGTAAACTGCTCAGGAGGTAGATATTCTATCCTTAACAAATTGCCCATGTGCCATGTGCCAGGAATCATATATGTAGATGCTCTAGACAAAAGTATAGACCGTCCCGGTCTCCTAAGAAACCCATTGTTCGCTCCGCTCACCATCCGTAGGGGATCAGGCATATCGATAAGATAACACAGGGCTCGCTTCGCTCACAAGTACTGGGTATCCCCCTCTCCATATTTTTTTTTTATCAAAATGAATAATAAGAATTAAAATTATTTAAATAAACATGAATTAATAGCAACTATGATGCACGCTTCACTTACATAATCCCTGACCCCGAGTCTGCCTACCGATAATGAGTTAGTAGTCACCGCACTCGGGAAAAAACTCCACCAGGTACTCACCTTCAATCAATGCCTCCATTGCTCAATGCGACATACATGCAATCAACCAGAACGGAGTAATTCATCATCCATCTCTCTTTGTCTTCTTCCATACGCGGAAACATCACCTTAAAGTCCTCTGTCACTTCAAACGTGCTTCCATCGTATATGACCATTTGCCAACTGTCTCCCGTTGTCGTGAATCCGTAGACTGTACCTTGACCGTTTATGTCCCACGTATCCTTCATCGCCAGCAAAAGTTGTTTCATGGCGCTTCCCAAATTAGATCTCTTCGCCTCTACCACCATGACAAACTTCTCCTCCGTCAGAGATATGATGTCTATGATAACAAATTCCTCCGTTCCTCCTGTCTCCGAGTCAACTGAAATGATTTCCTTTTCCCTGAATAACATCATGCTAGTGCCACTTCGTTTCCTCTTGTGTCTGAAGTCCGACATTATCGGAGCTAGGATTGCGAAAACCAAATCGTTGATATTGGCCTCTTTAAGTCAGACGACATCGTAGGATATGGTTCCACCTCGGGATACTCGACTATTCTGCCGTACACCTTTTCCTTGGTGCCCGGTACGTCGTACTTGACTCCTTCTCTCAGGCATATTATCTGCTCAACGGGCCTCGCCCTCCCCAAGAGTTCAAATATTCTGAGGCCAAGTCTTCGCTCAGAGTTTTCTATAGACATATTGGAATACGAAGTAGTCCACTTCGTCTTTCTCTTCTTCTGGTTCATGTTCGTGTTCTCGTCACCCATCGTGATTACCCGTCGGAGGATGTGACTGTCGCTGTACGCTTCCTGTAACCACGAATTAGCATTTAATTCCAACCGTAGGGAATAGAGGGAGACTCACGATATCGTCTAGGGTGTTGCTGTCACTAGTATTAGTACTACCGATCCGTGGCGGCGGGATGCCTTGCCTATATACCTTCCGGTGGGTAGGGTAACTTTCCCGTTCATCCTCCTCTCAACGCCCCCAAGACTTGACGAGAGTGGGGGATCCTCTTTAATAAAGACTTTTCTTTGGCTTCTATGTGTCTTCTATCTAGACACCTGAAAGACTCTACAGGCCACTTCTAGGCCATATCTACAAAGAACAAGCCCTGAAGGTGAAATGTGTCTAAAAGGGTCCTTTTATGGCACCTTTACCAGTATCTCAATTGGGCCAAGGATTTGAAGCATGGACCTCCTTTATCAAAACTATACTTGGTCGTTGATATTTTGGTTTAGGTGTGGGGCTTTTATGAGTTGTTGAAAACCTCGATTTTTGGTGTGTTTTGCTGGTTGGGCAAATACATAATTGACGTGCGAGTATACATACTCTAGGTGCTGGCGCATCTCTAGACAAAAGCATAGACCGTCCCGGTCTCCTAGGAACCCCATTGTTCGCTTGCGCTCACCATCCGTGGACATGAACCCCATCTCCGGTCGTTCCTCTCCGCGTCTTTTTTTAAAAAGAATAATAGAGAATAATATAACCCTAACCCTGGACCATGTTTTTTTCCATAAAAAGAATAAATTCACAAACACCATCACTGATTGATTAAAACTAATCTGTCTAATCTACGGTGACGTTAAGCGTACACCGGTGATGCTATCCATCACATCTAATCACTTAGCATATAGCTAATGCACAGCTAAGAAAATGTAGGCACACGCAAAGAAGTGGCCCGGTCTTCCTCGGCCTCTATCAGCAATTCCTATGTTATAATTGGCTACAAGTATCTTTCTCGGTTGGTAAAGATACAATCAGTATCATTCAACGGACACTTCTCGTCTAGGCACTCTTCAGGACTCTCGAAGCGAGTCTATATTGCGCGTCTTCATAGCTATTGTAACACCCAGGTAGTTCTTTAGCTGTCTTTTCCGAGCGGCCATCGTCCCTGCAGTAGGTAGACCATGGCTCTCGAGTAGACGGTTCAGCTCAACCGAGTTAGTTCTATCAATGTCGACCAGCGTCATGGGGAAGTTTTGAGTCTTGAGAGGAATCAACTCGTTGTCAGTCCTGGCGGCCACAGAGTTGTTCATGAACCGTGCGACGGCGTTATCATAGTCTCTGTGTTTTTTTCTATCAGCAAAAATACGGGAGAGAGATACCTAGTAATCTTAACTGAAGAGAGAAAATCGATCGTCAAATACTTACGCTGCATCAAGTCTGCTCTCTATGCGGTCGAGGCGTTGTCCAATGGCCCTCAACTCTGCCAAAATCTGGGCACTGCCGTCCAAAGCGGGGATATTCCTCATCCTGCCCAGGTTCGTAGCCAGCTCCATGGATGATCGAACAATGTTGTTCATTGATACTTCTATTTCCACGAAGTTAGGCTGTTCTGCAGTCATGTTTCTCTTCATTATCGTCAGTAAAAAACAAGTTAGTTTATATAAGCGAAGCGTTTAACGAGTATTATCCAGGTTATACGTTGATAGCGGGCGACTCCCCGTGGACGTTTAGAAGCGGTTTGGATGGATGGCAACGCTCCAGATTCAGAACCTGAATCGGGGGGAGGGGGTACGTTCAAATTTCTAAATCTTTAAAATTTGAAAGGGCGAAATACGATTGGTTAAGAAAGGTTCCGGGTGGGTCCTGATGTTACACACTAAACCAAAGCAGTACTTAAAATCTAGAAAATATTGTTCGCCATGGAAGGCATTCGCATCCAGATTCAGAAATCTATTTTCTAAACGCCTTCCAAATTTTTACGGGAAGTCGCCCAGTATCGAGCGATCTACTCGCGCGGCCGAGTTTCAACTTAATCACATGACCTATGGGTAACGCAAAAAACCTGTTAAATAGCGTCACGTGAGTAAGTCGAAACTCGGCCGCGCGAGTAGCTAGGTTGAAGGTCTTGGCAGGGCATTAAAGAGGACCAAGAGTGCCGATCTGATTACATGAGCATCAAACTTTGTGTTGAGCCTCAACTGCGGCGACTAACAAATGGGTTTCTCTTCATGACTCTTCAACACCACTGTCCAGGACCGCCTCTATTATTCCTAACAACGCCTGAACAGCCCGCGTAAGATGCCCCCACGCAGAAATCCTGCCACTGCTGCCTCTTCCACGGCGCCGCCCAAGCCGAATCCCCCTAAATTCCGCACAAAGGCCAAAGCCGAAGCAGTCGAAGACGAAGCGTCTGAGCCCCAAGGAGACGCATTCGATAATTTGTTACAAATATATTACAAGGGGAAACACTTGACGGACTCTATCAGCACTGCGGAGGATAAATGGACGCTACTACCGGCGTTTTTGAAAGTAAAAGGGCTTGTGAAGCAGCACATTGACTCGTTCAACTTCTTTGTGGATGTGGAATTGAAGCAAATCGTGAAGGCGAATGAGCGTGTGGTTAGTGATGTGGATCCGCAGTTCTTTTTTAGGTAAATATACTAAACTTGAGTTTTGAGGTTTTGTGAGGCCTGGACTCATATTGGCGACATAGGTACACGGATATCCGAGTAGGTACGCCCGAGCGCCTGGATATTCAGAGCAATGCCGAAATCACCCCCAACGAATGTCGATTGCGCGATCTTACCTATGCTGCTCCGATTTTCGTTGACGTTGAGTACAGCCGTGGAAAGCAGATTGTACGGAGGAGAGGAATGAACATCGGGCGACTGCCGATTATGCTGAGGAGTAGCAAGTGTGTCCTGTCGAATAAGAATGAGTGGGAGATGGCGAAGCTCAATGAGTGTCCGTTGGACCCTGGGGGCTATTTTGTTGTCAACGGTACGGAGAAGGTTATTCTTGTCCAGGAACAGCTGAGCAAGAACCGTATCATTGTTGAAAATGATCCCAAGAAAGGATTTGTTCAGGCAACCGTTACTAGGTAAGCAATGCCCCCGGTGTATTTGCGACCCTGGCACAGCTAAGTTTTCAAAGTTCTACCCACGAGAGAAAATCGAAAACCCACGTTATCACTAAAAAAGGATGCATTTATCTTCGACACAATTCTATCATGGAAGATATGCCGATTGTTCTGGTCCTAAAGGCTATGGGTATCCAATCTGACCACGAGATTCTCCTCCTCGTTGCTGGCACAGACATGGTGTACCAGGATAGCTTCTCCATCAACTTCGAGGAGTGTTCGAAACTCAAGGTATTCACACAACAACAAGCTCTTGATTATCTCGGGGCTAGAGCCAAAAAAGCAAGAATGCCTCAAAATGCGATAAACAGACGACCACCAGCTATGGAGGCTCTCGAAACTTTAGCAAATATAGTTTTGGCTCATGTTCCTGTGGAGAATCTCAATTTCAGACCAAAAGCCTTGTATTTGGCTTTCATGACGAGAAGAGTGTTAATGTGCATGACCAACCCAGCGTTAGTGGACGATAGAGATTACGTCGGGAACAAACGTCTTGAGCTGTATGTTATTTCTACTCCAGTTACACTAACATTGGGCACTGACTAAACTTCTAGTGCTGGCCAGCTCCTGTCTTTATTGTTTGAAGATTTGTTCAAAAAGCTTAATAATGACATGAAGATGAACATTGATAAAATTCTCAAAAAGCCTAGCCGAACGGAAGAGTTTGATGCAAGCACCCTACTAGCCACCGGCGCCAACCTTATTACACATGGAATGAATCGTGCTATCTCCACTGGCAACTGGTCTGTAAAACGTTTCAAGATGGAACGTGCTGGAGTCACACATGTTCTCAGTCGATTGAGTTATATCAGCGCTCTTGGTATGATGACGAGAATATCATCGCAGTTCGAAAAAACCCGTAAGGTCTCTGGTCCTCGTGCACTTCAGCCTTCCCAATTTGGTCTACTGTGTCCATCGGATACGCCAGAAGGTGAAGCCTGTGGTTTGGTCAAAAACCTGGCCCTTATGACACACATCACGACAGACGATGAAGAGGAACCGATCCGAAAACTAGTGTTTGCGCTTGGTGCGGAAGATGCAACATTAGTAAGCGGGTACGAACTTTACGCGCCGGGGGCGTATATAATATTCATCAACGGTACAGTCGTTGGTCTCACGAGGTATCCGGCAAAGTTCCTGCAGAACTTTAGACGGCTAAGGCGAACGGGCAAAATTTCCGAGTTTGTTAGCATTTTCATCAACCAACATCACAATGGTGTACACATAGCGACGGATGGTGGCAGGATTTGTCGGCCATTGATCATTGTTGAGAACAAGCGGTGCAAAGTTACACCACGATACCTCAAGGTTTGTTAAAGTATCAATTCCTGCCCTACTGTCGCTGATTTTATCAATAGTCACTCGCAGCTGGCCGCATGAACTTCGAAGACTTCCTCAAACGTGGTCTTGTTGAGTATGTCGATTGTAACGAAGAAAACGATGCGCACATTGCCATTTATGAGCACGAAATTACCGAGTCTACCACACATCTTGAAATTGAACCTTTCACCATATTAGGAGCCGTTGCTGGCCTCATTCCATATCCTCACCACAACCAGTCTCCGCGTAACACTTACCAGTGTGCCATGGGAAAGCAAGCCATTGGAGCCATCGCGTATAATCAGTTCTTACGAATAGATACTCTGCTTTACCTTATGGTTTATCCGCAACAGCCTATGGTGAAAACAAGGACTATAGAATTGATCCAGTATGACAAGCTTCCTGCTGGACAGAGTGCGATTGTGGCTGTCATGAGTTATTCCGGATACGATATTGAGGATGCACTGGTACTTAACAGAGCGTCGCTAGATAGAGGATTTGGAAGATGCCAGGTATTTAGGAAATACTCAACAACATTAAAGAAATACCAGAACGGAACTGTCGATCGTATCGGCGATATAAAGAGAGAGCCAAGTAAAGACCCGGACACCCCTGACGAAATGGTCCCGATAAAAAAGCACGCTGCACTCCAAGCCGATGGTCTTGCCGCCGTGGGAGAAAAGATATCTGCAGGCGAAGTCTACGTCAACAAACAAGTCCCCATAAATACTTCAAACGCCCCTACGCTTCTAAACGATGGCCCTCCGCTGGACGAATACAAAGACGCGCCCATGACCTATAAGCTTGCAGACCATGCCTACGTCGACAAGATCCTCATCTCAACAGCCGAGTCCGAGCAAACCCTCATCAAGGTCCTCACCCGCCAAACCCGCCGCCCCGAGCTAGGTGACAAATTCTCCTCCCGCCACGGCCAAAAGGGTGTCTGCGGCATCATCGCGCGCCAAGAAGACATGCCCTTCAACGACATTGGCATCATCCCGGACATCATCATGAACCCGCACGGTTTCCCCTCCCGCATGACAGTCGGAAAGATGATTGAGCTCCTGGCCGGCAAAGCCGGCCTCATGTGCGGGAAGCTGCAATACGGGACTGCGTTCGGCGGCAGCAAGGTCGATGACATGGCAAAGATCCTTGTCGACAGCGGCTTCAGTTACTCCGGGAAGGACTTTGTCACCAGTGGCATCACGGGCGAGTCCCTACAGGCATACATCTTCTTTGGACCAATCTACTACCAGAAACTGAAGCACATGGTGCAAGACAAGATGCACTCGCGCTCACGCGGACCCAGAGCTGTAAGCCCCCCCCCCCTCCCTCACCCCTCCCACCACACTAACACAACCACAAACCAGGTCCTCACCCGCCAACCCACCGAAGGCCGATCCCGCGACGGCGGCCTCCGTCTCGGCGAGATGGAGCGCGACTGCCTGATCGCCTACGGCGCCTCGCAGCTGCTGCTGGAGCGCCTCATGCTCTCGTCGGACGTGCACGAGATCGACCTGTGCGAGATGTGCGGGCTCATGGGCTACAGCAACTGGTGCACCACCTGCCAGTCCAGCAAGGGCGTCGTCAAGATGAAGATCCCATATGCTGCGAAGCTGCTCGTCCAGGAGCTGCTCAGCATGAATGTGCTCGCTAGGATAAAGCTCGAGGACGTGTTTCCGTATGGGGAGGGGGATGTGAAGGAGGCGTAGTGGTTTGGTGGTGGGAGCGTGTTTGGTGGGTGGGTGGGTGGAAGGATGGATAGCTTTGTGTAGTGTATTTTAGGTATATATATCCAATGCAATACATACTGGACTGCCCTTCCCTGTACGGTCACGATAGCTGTGAGATGTCAAATACCAATCAATTTTGCGAAAAATGCGCCACGCCTAACTAGGGGTCAATGGTGCGCTAGCTAGGGATCGAGGCGACAATAAAGTGTCGTTCAGAAGGCCGAGTATGTAGTATAAAAGCTAGGTGTGTGGAGGCGTTTTAAATGATGGGATGATCACACTCTGTAGATTATAAAAACAAGACAGATAAATTGAGAAAAGAAGGAGGGGAGGTGTATTTCCTCTCTAAGGCTCGAGACACCAACGAACTCTATAAATCGTCTCTACTCCCGCGGGAATTTTCTACATATAGGGGCGAAGATGTCAATGATCGTACCGCCAAGACTAATGGTTCAAGTCGTCGAGTGATAATTCATGATGCCAATCGCCCACCTCCCCCTCCCACTTTGTTCGATCGACATCAAGGAGGTGCAATAAGTACATATATCACATAAATAATATAATCTACGAATCACATCATATAATGAATTTCAAAAAAAAGTCCTACTCCGTCTAAAATCTACGCAGGTATGTAGTTAACCGGAAAAGACCAATATCACCACTGCCAAGTAGTCTAGCTCCATGTCTCATCTATAGGTACGAATTAAAATCTAGAGCTTCGTAGCCCAAGCCGTATGCACGATATAATGCACTGAAATCTCGCCCTTGTCATTACACTGGACATCCTGGCCCTCCAGCACCTCATCAAAACCCTTCCTCAGCTCCTATATCCCCCGCGCACCAACTAAATTAGCACCCTCTATCCCATCCGCATATACACCCATCCCACCCACTAACACCCCCCCAAAACCAAAGTCAGAAGCAAACAGGAAGAAAAAACTCACCTCCCTCTCCCCCTCCCCCAGATTCGCAATATTACTCAATGTCCCCAAGCGCTTCCACAGCGCCTCCTTCCCCAGCCATATCTCCACCTCAAAGATCTTCTCCTGCAGCGCCGAGAACGTCGTGGGCGGGGTAAACGCGCCGGCCCACTCGTTGCTCTTGTACCGCGGCGAGTCGTCAGTGGTGTGCTGCCAGTTGAGGTCGCGGAGCTGCCCCTCCCAGTGTGTCTTGGTAATGTGGTGGCGCGATTGGTTGTAGTCCTCGACGTTCCAGATTAGCCCTAGACGCCCGCCGGGGCGGAGGGTGCGCGCGATGGAGGCGAGAGATGTAGGGTTGGCGAACCTATGGTGGTGCTAGTTAGTTTTGTACGGCGGTGCGAGAGCGGAAGAGAAAAGGAGAAAGTGGGGGTGGGTGGGTACCAGTGGAATGCCTAGAGTGATAGACCGCCGCGCCGGGCGGGCGCGGGCTTTGCTTTAGCAAACCTGATTGAATTCTAATCCGCAAGCTCAACAAACCGCCCTGTGTACGAGCGACCCACGTACCTGCGCAACAACAACAGCATCCGCCCACCCGTCCTCCACTGGGATATCGTACGCATCGCCCTCCTTCACACTGACACTCTTCAGGTCCTTTGCCCTCAGTGTCGCAAGCATGTCCTTGTGCGGCTCGACCGCCACGATTTCATACTCCTCCGGGCGCGCGGCAAGGAGCTCCGTGAACTTTCCCGTGCCGGCGGCGAGGTCGAGGACCTTGGCGCGGGGCACGGAGGCGACGTTGAGCTGCTCGAGGAGGTGGGTGAGTGCCGGTGCGATGTAGGAGGGCCGGTGGGCGTCGTAGGAGGCGGCGGCAGAGAAGCCGGTTAGTGCGATGGGGTCGTAGGGCTTGGTGCTCATAGTGTTGCTGCGTGGGAGGAATGGGAGGCGCGATAGTGGGAGTTGGGATTTGGTGTGGAGGGGGAGGAATGGAAAAGGGAGGGAGCGGGGGAGCTTTATAGGCATTGTGCAGTTAGGTTTTGAGGATTGATGTGAGTCTTTTTGAGTCAATAGGGGATTCGCAATTGAGGATCTAGATGGGGTTATAATTAATTGCTGGTAGCCAAGTACGCAAAGCACAGCTAATAATTGTGATAGTCATACACATACACATACATGTACATAGTCTCGATTGCGGGGGCTTTGCCGATAACCGGCCGAGTGACAGGTTGGGGGAGGGGGTGTTTGTGAATTGACTATCTCCAATTGCTTGCCTGCAGTCGGGGATGGGTCCGTAAATGTTGCTCTACTTATGATTGACACCGGGCCGGGCTGTGTGGTACATACATGTGAATTGATGTAGTAATCCTCCCAGCCAATGAGAGCCGCCTAGGGCACGGGCGGAACTGTCGCCGCGATGATGTCGTTAGTAAGACAACAACCCCTGCAGCGTCCCCCCCTTCCCCCACCCCTAACCCTAGCACGAAGCTTGATCCAACGACAGCTCGGCCGCCGCCCATCCGAGTACCAAGCCTTGGCAGGCGTGTGGATCCCCGGATCTCTAACCCTTTCCTGTCTATCTCCCCTGGTATCTCGGGTTACTCAAAAGACCTGACCAATCCGTAGACTGTAGACCTGTCCATCTTCTCGTATTCTTCGTGTTCCTTTACATAAGTCCGCCAGTGAAAGTGACTGGTGTAAACCGCCCCCCCCCCCCCCCCCTCCCCGCGGACAATCATTACAATTACGCTTGATTTTAGAATTTCCACAGCTACAAAAGCCTGCTATGTTGCTCCACAAGGGCAAGAATCCTCTGCTAGAGCCTGACGCAGAATTATCCGAAATGCCTCAACCGTCCTCTTCACGACTAAGCTCACGAATATCATGTCTTCTTGTAACGCTCTGTGTAGTGGGTTTTATACTTTTTAATCCAGCCTCATGTCTCTTCTTGGGTACTGGTCGTGACCACGTCGCGTTGGCAGAGGATGGATCATCAATCAGCGACTCGGTTGAAGAGATCCTAAGTTTGACACCATTAATAGGTATGAGGGTCTGGACATGGATATATCGAGTATTGTACAGCTTGCGTGGAATATTGACTGGAGATTAATCAGATGGCCATGACGATCTCCCTATTGCCATCAGGTTCTTTTACCAGAACAAGATTTATAACGAAAACTTTACGTTTGATACAGAGTTGATGGGCCATGTTGACCTTCCGCGGTTAAGAAAAGGGCGCGTAGGGGTTTGTTTTCTTTTTCTGATAGGTTCTGCCAGGTTTAATTAATCATTGTTGGATCAGGGGACATTTTGGAGCATCTATGTCGACTGTCCAGGAACCGATAACAATTTTACGGATGCAGTTTATTATAAAGTAACCATTGCGTCCTGGTCTGACCTTTTCTCTATTTCGAGCTGACAGATTCTGGCCCAGGATGTCCATGACGCGCTCCAGCAGATCGACCTCGTCCATCGTCTTGTCGCCGCGTACCCGGATGACCTTGAGCTTGCGCTCACCCCCTCGGCGGCCGTCAAGGCGCATGCGGACCACAAAGTTGCGTCAATGATGGGCGTCGAGGGTCTGCATATGATTGGCAACTCCGCGTCAACCCTGCGCCTGTACCACGCCCTCGGCGTCCGCTACGTAACGCTTAACCACAACTGCAACAACAAATATTCTGATAGCGCCCTTCCTGCCGACGCACCTTTCTGGAACGGGCTCTCGAAAGATGGTGAGGCTATCATCAAAGAGATGAATCGTCTAGGCATGATGGTAGATCTGGCGCACACAAGTAAAGACACAATGGTGGACACCTTGAGTGTTACGAGGGCGCCTGTCATCTTCAGCCATTCCTCTGCGTAGGTCAACCAAGGGTGCTATGTGGAGTGAAAATCTGTCTTTCCAATTTGCTGACTTACTGGCTGGTTCTAGATTCGCAATCTGTCATTCCCCTCGCAACGTCCCCGACGATGTTCTCCACCTCGTAAAAGACAATGGCGGTGTCGTGATGGTCAACTTCTACCCCGAATTTGTGCACTGCGGGCCCGGGATTAACCCCGAAGACGCAACCATAGATGACGTCGCCGACCACATACTACACATTGCGGAACTTATCGGATGGGAGTATGTCGGTATTGGCTCAGATTTCGATGGAATCCCTATCGTTCCAAAGGGCCTGGAGGATACGTCAAAGTTCCCGGCGCTTTTTGAAATCCTTATGTCTAGGGGAATGACGGTGGAGCAGGGGAGAATGTTGGCTGGAGAGAACGTGCTCAGGGTTTGGCGGGATGTGGAGAAGGTGGCGAGGAAGATGTTTGAGGAGGGAGTGCAGCCGTTGGAGGATACGGTGAAGCAGTTGCAGTTTGAAATGTAGTTGGAGAGGGGAGAAGGGTAGAGATTGACGGGATTGACGGGAGGGGGTATTGGGACTTTATATAGCAATTTCAATATGACACATATACGAATAGGGTGGGCTTGCCAGATATCAGTTATGGCCCGAAACACTAAAGAAAACAGATTTCTTTCCGGAAGCAGGCAGGACTTCTTTTGCTACGGATTTTGGGTCATGAACGATCACTCGATGATTTCACACACCAAGCCAGGTGGAAAAAGACTCGACCGGAAGGGAGGGGTATAAACTTACACAGTAACTCCGTTTCAAGCCGATTCTATTCGCCCAGCTCCGGTCTCGTACGGTGATTCTAAGCTAATCGAAGAAGTAGGCATACACATGGGCGTGATCGAGGTAAGGGGGTGTGATGCACGTTGGCACTACCCGCGCTACCGGATTGAATCCGTTCAGACAGAATAGGTAATCAATCTGAATACTGCAAAGACGTGAGCTCTCATTGGCTGCCCGATCACTTGCCACAGTTCTTTGAGCGGCTTCAAACCGGCCGCGCGAGTAGTGGGAGATGTGGTTGAGGTCGAAATTGGGGTGGATGTAGCATATATATATTCGTCGTAGGCCTAGCTAGGAGTGCAGCTTACCTGATACGATGGAAGGCTCGAATGACCACGGCCTGCAACGCGTTACGTTGCATGTACGTAACCACTTGCATTGTGAATTTCTAGCCTAACATGCTGTGTTCGGCCAAGAGCATACACTCTTGGCATGATGGTCGTTTGGATTGCACCTCATTCCGTCTCTCTCCCATCTCTTCCCCATCTCTGCCCCATGGTCAACATTCTTGAGTGACTACCAAACCTACAGGCTACAGCCAAGGAATACTTAAGCAGAGAAACTGACACTCTGATAAAAATATCCTGCACATCCTATTGCCGGGACGGTTTCGAGGCTTTACCTAAAATAGCTAGAGTTGCTGTATAGCCCGCTCTAATTCTGTTCCAGTTGCGCAGCTAAAAGACTCTATTGGACGCACCATTCAGAATGTGGTTAGTACTTACGAGTGATACTTCATGATCCACGCATTATCTAGTTCAACTAAAGCCCTGCCACACGGCGGTGATTTAAGCCGATACTCCAAGTACTCTGTTCTTTTATCGTGTCGGCTGACATTTCATGCGGGTTTACGAGGCCATCTGACATCCGTTCCTCCGGACGTCACAGGCCGAATTGCCGACCATTGGCTAGGCTGAGAATTAGGATCATACAATGGGTTTTAAATACTACCAAACTGCCATTCTTCTTTGTCAACGCTGAAGAAAACAAAAACCTTTTGCAAGATACCTCTTTATCGGTAGCTTAGTACTGCCACTACTGTTTTTATTATAAAACCTTATCCCCATGGACTCGTCCTCTGGAGGGATGGACATATCCACCTAACTAGCATGAAACCCAGTCCTATCATTCCGGAGAGAAAATCACGCCCCTCTCATGGATTTCCAGGAGTCGACTCAAGGATGACAACCATTCATATCCGGCTCAAAAGGCACTGGATAGGGCCATAAAAAAGTTGCAAAAATGAGTCCCATCAACATCAAACTCAAACATATAGTTACATCGTATTGACTATTCATTTATCCTAGGTACTACACTACCATCCATGAGTCAAGTCTGAGATTTGAATATCGCAAGGCTTACAAGACTATGAGCGGGTGTATCATGTCCTACCTAGACTTTCATCAACATCAACTAGGCTACTACATTTGAAGATGCAGATTCCGAGTCTATCCGCCAACAATGTTCTTTTGGATGCCATACTTCTTTTGGCCAGAAGGGCCAAAAGGTTTGCGAAGGATCATGGTCCAAAGGCGGGGATAGCATGACGCCGCACATATATGCCTGCGGGAAATCCAACGCCGGTTTAACGGTGCGGGTACCAACCTCACCCGCCTCCCTCAGCTTTTCGACCGAGCCCTTAGTCTATGGCCGCCTGATTGACCAAAAGAGGCTAGCGTTTTGTGCACTTAAGTTGTCCAATCACTCGATGGACTTAGAGTTAACGCCTAGGAGGCTGTGCTGTGTGCTGTGGTCATGATCTTCCGACCTAGAGAGCCTTACGAGACATGAAGGCAGAAAAACGGAACCTCACGGAAAGAGGCAAAGCCCCGCGGATACATAGGTATCTACTCTCCTCACGCACGCGGGTTTACTAACAGCCCGAGCGGGAATACCTTTACCTAATTATCGATGGCTAGATAATCTTCACTGGTGTAATTGTGCTTCTACGTCCTAGGACGTCTTTTTGGCCAGGTGTACTTATGACCAATCCTGCTGACTACCGATCTGCGCCTTCCTAACTACAGAATTCCATTCTCTAAGCAACATCAAGGCTATCGCTATGTTCGAGATACCGTTGGGCCGCACTCTACTATTGTGAGCTGCTTGTGGTAGGGCCAGAAGCTTTTCGGGGCTTAGTCCCTGCTTGGTTAGCTAGAACATGTGGCCGTAGGCGTTTGTTTCTGATATCCTCTCTAGCTACCCTGCAATATGGTATCCGTAAAATGGCTCACCATGGAACCCCGCTGGTAGTCCACCTCGTTCTGCTGAGTTCTACCAACACCGCCGCCCTGCTCCGATGGCAAACCTAGGTATAGAGAATAGAACGACCAATCTCTCTATGGTAGCCTTCCTCATCGCCGCTGCGGACGAGGTGAATCCCATCTCCTCAAAATTCTGTATAGATGTCAGGCGGCTGCAGATCCTCGAACGGATGGCAGTGCTAGAGAGAGGCCTTTGATCGTCGTCCCTCAAAGTGTTCTAGCCTCGTTGCGGTTGAAAGTCGTGCGTTTTGTGTTCCTGAGAACCGCTCCCGATAAGGCTGTAGCGTGCCTTGGGGGCAGTAAACATGGTCCTTGTCTCCGCGGGGGAGAGAGTGAACGTGCAAAAAAGTCACTCCCTCCACCCGGTCCGAAGTTGAGGTTTTCAGCTGGTCAGGGTTCAGAAGGAAGATGGGGTATGGTTGTGTGGTCCCCGCAATACGTATGTAAGCAGCTCGCGTGTGCACGTGTCATCATACGAAACCCGAAACAAATAATACCTGTGGTTGTAAGGCCTATGTATGCAGCTCGACTATTTAAACAACACGAGTGATCGTACGGTATTATAATTAAGCGAGCTTTGCAAGTGGTTATGTTTATTTTGACTTGACAGTTCTTATTTACGCTTCCGCAGCACGTTGTAAGCTGACTGATAAGATCACCGGTATGATACGATAACCCCTAAAGGTATACGAAAAAAACGACTACTATAGGATCGAACTCTTAAATCGGCATTATAACAAGGCCGTACGAACACCGCATCTTTGCTGCATGAACGGGAATACCGTAGTGAATCCACACCCTTTTTCTCATCAAATTTTCTCAGTGTCGTATGTAACCATAAATGAATGGTAACTTCTGGTGCCCTCTTCTGAGCTCGGTGAGATGGTTGGGTGGACTGTAAAATAACAATATAAGAGCTTGATACTAAATATGAGTAGATATTATGAACTACTGAAGATATGTAGGTTTAGGTACAGCGCCGGACAGTCAAAATCAACCCTCATGTTCTTTTCAAGCCAGAACTAGTCCTAATCGGGTAATAATGATCATCTAATTATCCCAATATGGTAAGAATTATCCCAAATTAATGTGGCCGCCTTGGCATAAAGCTATTAAAGTTATTATTTCACACCTATGTTTTTTTCGGGCAGATTGCACCAAATGTTTGAGAGGTCATAGTGCAGCCAGTTCTTAATTATTTTAAATCCCCTTTTATGGGGATGTTTAAAACCATGATTAGACCCATTTTACAAAAGAACATTATTTCTGGACAAGTGTTGCGTTGTTGAAAGTCGATGGGGTGAAGGCGAGTCGGTGGTTGCTCTGGCCGGCTGGTTTTGGCTGTCCGGCACCGTACATGTATGTGAGTTAGGGAAACGTGTTCCTGCGGCAGAAATCACATTGCATTGCATTAGAGCCTCATTTTGATCCCCAAAAACTCGAGTTCAGCTGTACTAGGTGCACCGTACAATGTCTTCCCCAGGATAATAGATGCACATATATGTATGTATGAAGATGCAACCTTTTTTTTTTTTTTTTATATCATAGTGAAGATGCAACCTTATCACCCCACTATGCAGAATTTAAGTATAGTATTTATGTTGGTGCATGATTACAATCGAAGATAATTGGTATCGTACGTAGTATCAAGTAATCCAAACAAAACCGAAACCAAGAATGAAAGAGAGAAAACCCAGGCCCAACAATCTAAAAAGGAACTAAAAGTACAAGTCTAACGCCATATGTTCATCCATGACCCCCCAGAACCATTTACCCTGTATGAAAACGTCGACGCTAGAAAATATCGTCCATCATGCATGACCCAACCGAATCCCCAATATTATCAAACTCTTGATGAAACAAATAGATAAGGAAATTTAAAAACAAAAGAAAGGCGGTCGTGTGTTTTTTGTCCTTTTGTCCTTTTCCGTTTTGATACCTTGCTCTCCTCGGTCCCATCGAGAATAAATAAAAAAAACAGTCTTCATGTCACCTTCAAAATGTCAGTATACAATCATAGCATCCAGCAGGGCAGCAGACATACCTGATATACATCAATCTCTGTTATGAACACAATATGGGCCTCAATGCGTTTAAGTAGAGTTGAACCAGGTCTTGGAGGAGTCCTTTGCCGGCTGGTTGATATAGTTCTGCAACATTACGCTTTGAGTGGTAGCAGGTGGTTGGCCACCAGATTGTGAGGTGGAGTCTGGTGGAAGCGTTAGTATGGGGGGTTGTACAGTAAAGGACGACATGGAATCCTTACTTGTGCTGGTACCGGCAGGAGTGGCCTGGCCCTTGTTGGCAGAGTTCGGAGAAGGCATGATGAGAGAAAGAGGAAACAGGTAAATTGGGAAATGAAGGTTGGAGGAGGTGATTGGGTCTATGGGTAGAGATAGAGTAGGGTTCGATGAAGGAACAGTGAGG